AGTTACAATGGCACTGAAAAAAAGTGATTTATGATCGTTTTTCACACTTACAACTGTCACACTTGCAACGGTCACATGATTAAAATTCAGAGGCTTGGAAATTGACTCATATTTATGACAGTTGCACTATCCCAGGTTCATGTGATCACCTTCTGTGACCTTCTGACAGCCAAACCCAAGGCGAAAGCCAGTTTCACTTTGCAACTGTGTGACTAATTTAACAACTGCAGTGATTCACTTAACAACGATGGCGAGGAAGGTTATAAAATGGGGCAAAACTCACTCAGCAACAGAAATTTTGGGCTCAATTGTGGCTGTAAGTTGAGGACTACCTGAATATCAGCTCTGCACTGCCATTAAATGGAACTTCCATGAGCCACGGTGGCGTAGTGGTTAGAGTGCAGTACTGCAGGCTACTTCTGCTGCCTGCTGGCTGCCTGCAATTTAGCAGTTCGAATCTCACCAGGCTCAAGGTTGAACTCAGCCTTCCATCCTTCCGAGGTGGGTAAAATCAGGACCCAGATTGTTGGGGGCAAGAGGCTGACTCTGTAAACCTCTTAGAGAGGGCTATGTAAAGCGGTATATAAGTCTAAGTGCTATTGCTATTTATGATTGTGTTTTGGTGCATTTTTTTGTTCTAAAATGTTAGGGTTAAAGAAAGGCACCAGCAAATTCCAGGCATTTCAGCTAAAAGGCATCTGTAGTTGATTTCTTTTACATCCCTGGGTAAAAAAATAAAGCATTCTCTTCAGCCTCCTTTGTATCTCATGAGGTCTTGGAAGTTGAAGGACAGTAAAATCATTGATGAAACAGTCAGGGTTAAGTCTTGCCAAAACAGTTGCCAAAGAGAAACAGTTCAGAATGATCACCTGCTAATTCTGGAGAAAGACTGGGAGCTGGCTGGGATTTGTGGCAGACGCTCCATTTGCAGTCATGCGTAAGGATTTCAGACGGTTCTCAGAAGGAATTTCAGGATTTGACTGATGAGGAATTGAGGGTAATGAATGTTCATTCTGGACAGGAAAGAGGGAGGAAAAGATATAATACGAAGGTTCCGGGAGATAATCCAGTAAGGAGCGTTTGTCACGAACCTTGAAAAATACGATAGTATTTTTTATTTATTAGATTTTTTTCAAATTTATAATGCTGCTCTTCACACAAAGTAAGTGACTTTATAATCACCTATAAAGCAAGTATGATTGAAGGAAAAACTTCATCATGGTGGGATTTATATCCAACTAAGGACCGGAACAACTTGACGCAGGATTTATTTAGGTCCTTTTACTTTTGTTGACTTCGTGGTATTTCCTTCTATCAAAGGAAATCAATCCCATGACTACCAGCTTTTGTAATGTTTTGATGAATAATAAAAAGAAACTAGTCCCTATGCTGAATTGTCCAGTGGCAAATTGGCCTGTGGCAAGTTGGCTGCGGTGAGTTATCCTAAACCAGGGGTCCTCAAACTACGGGCCGCGGGCCAGACACGGCCCGCCGAAGCCATTAATCCAGCCCATGTGAGACCATGAGGTTGCCCCGCCCACCAGAGGTGGGTTTCAGCAGGTTCTGGAGAACCGGTAGTGGAAATTTTGAGTAGTTCGGAGAACCGGTAGTAAAAATTCTGACTGGCCCCGCCCCCATCTATTCTCTGCCTCCTGAGTCCCAGCTGATTGGGAGGAAATGGGGATTTTGCAGTATCCTTCCCCTGGAGTGGGGTGGGAATAGAGATTTTACAGTATCCTTCCCCTGCCACGCCTACCAAGCCATGCCACGCTCACCAAGCCATGCCCACAGAACCGGTAGTAAAAAAAATTGAAACCCACCACTGCTGCCCACATCACCCCACATACCTGCTGGCCCCCACCCGCCTTCTGGAGGCTGAGGCCAAAAACGGGATGCGTGGAGGCCAAAAACGGGCCCATTTTTGGGCAGCAGGGTGGTACTGGAGTGGTACTGTTACCCTCCCCAGCCTCCAGAGAGAGAGGGAGGGAGGGAGAGTGACACACACACAGGGGGGAGGAAGGGAGGGAGGGAGAGAGAGACACACACAAACAAACAGAATTCCCTCACCTGCCCCGAAGGCAGCCACATCTCTTCACTAATCTGCTTTCCACCCCCAGGAGCATAAAAAATTAAAGTTTAATTTGTGTGTATTGTTTAATGGACTGCTAAATTGGCCACGCCCACCCAGTCAAATGACCACCATGCCATGGCCCCCCCACAGCCTGTCCGGCCACCCAACAGTCTGAGGGACCGTGAATTGGCCCCGTTTAAAAAGTTTGAGGACCCCTGTCCTAGACCCTTAAGGAGGATAGGTTCTCCATTTCTGGAAGTCATTAAGAGGCTGGATGGCCACCTTTTAGGTGGTTGAGTTGGTTCTCCTGCACTTTGCAGCGGGTTGGACTAGATCAGTGGTGTCAAACTCAAGGCCCGGGGAGCCGGAGCCGGACTGTGGGGGGGTGCTTAGATCTGGCCTGCAGGGCCGCCCTGGAAACAGTGAAGGACCAGCCCGTGGTGCCTCTGCCAGCAAAAAGGGAACTTGGGTGGTCTGCACGTACCCCCATGGGCCCTGTTTTCAGCCGCAACGGCCTCCTACAGCCCTCTGCCAGCGAAAACGGAGCTTCATTTTTGCTGGCAGAGGGCTGCAGGAGGCCGTCGTGGCTGAAAACAGGGCCGGAGTGTGTACACGCAGCCCACCTGAGTTCTGTTTTTCCTGGCAGAGCGCTTGGGCCACCACAGGCACCCTGACATGAATGATGTCAAGGTGGCCATGCCCACCCCGCCCCCGAGGTCAAATGCAACCCTGATGCGACCCTCAATGAAATCGAGTTTGACACTCCTGGACTATATGATATTTGGTGTTCCTTCCCACTCCACCATTCTGACTCTTGACACTGAAATGATAGAAACGTTGGCCCATTGCTCTTGAAATGTCCATATAACAGGCTTTTTGCTTGTTTAATGTAACCAAGATATATTATTTAAACATATAATGTAACAGGAAGAGAAACAGGCACACTATTGTGGCTGCCATCTTGACTTTTTTGACACCTCCATCCCATTATCAGGATCAGTCCTTTTCCTCATCACAAACCACTTACCAAGGAATAAAAAGTGAGGGACTTGTCCATGAGTTGGGCAGCCATGTAAATTTGATAAATAAATAAGGAAGCCTATTGGCCTCGCTTAATTTTTCTGATTTAACATCCAAGGTTGTTCAGTTGCTTTTCAGTCCAAAGATGCAGCTTGAGGAAGATGATGATTTTATGACCCACAGAGTTACCCAAATAAAATATATCTTCTACGCAGGATCTGTTAAGAAGATATTCCATAAACTATCATTCTTTACTCCAGACCAGTGTTTGTCAACCTTACCAACTTAGTTCTGATTAAAACAAACAAGAGATGTTTATATTCCTTAGAGCAATATTTCTCAGTCTTGGAAGATTTAAGCTGGGTGGACTTCAACTCCCAGCTATACTGGCTGGGGAATTTTGGGAGTTGAAGTCCAGGTTGAGAAACATGGCTGTAGTCAGTTTAATGGGAGAGATCAGATGACACCAAGCTGGCAGGAATAGCCAACACCCCAGACGACAAGTCTAAGATACAGAAGGATCTTGACAGACTTGAACATTGGGTGCTATCTAACAAAATGAAATCCAATGGTGAAAAAAAGTAAGGTTCTACATTTAGGCAAGAAAAACAAAATGCACAGGTACAGTATATGTGGTACCTCGCTCAATAGTAGTAACTGTGAGAGGGATTTTGGAGTCCTAGTGGACAATCACTTAAATATGAGACAGCAGTGTGTGGCAGCTGCCAAAAAAGCCAACACAGTTCTGGGCTGCATTAACAGAGGGATAGAATCAAGATAAGTGAAGTGTTAATACCACTTTACAATGCCTTGGTAAGGCCACACTTGGAATACTGCATCCAGTTTTGGTCACCACAATGTAAAAAAGATGTTGAGACTCTAGAAAGAGTGCAGAGAAGAGCAACAAAGATGATTAGGGGACTGGAGGCTAAAACATATAAAGAACGGTTGCAGGAACTGGGTATGTCTAGTTTAATGAAAAGAAGGACTAGGGATGACATGATAATAGTCTTCCAATATTTAAAGGCTGCCACAAGGAAGAGGGAGTCAGCCTATTCTCCAAAGCACCTGAGGGTAGGACAAGAAGCAATGGATGGAAACTAATCAAGGAGAGAAGCAACCTAGAACTAAGGAGAAATTTCCTTGAGTTAGAACAATTAATCAGTGGAACAACTTGCCTCCAGGAGTTGTGGATACTGTAACACTGGAAGTTTTGAAGAAGAGATTGGACAACTATTGGTCTGAAATAGTATAGTATAGGGTTTCCTGCCTGAGCAGAGGGTTGGACTAGAAGACCTCCAGGGTCCCTTCCCACTCTTGTTATTCTGTTCAGCCCATCCCGAAACAACTTACGAAGAGCAGAGAGCGAATGAGGTTATTTGGGGAGGAAAATGCTAAAGATTGTCCTGAGGGTTGCTATGGAGGAAAAACTTCATTATATATTTTTAAAAAAACAACAAAAAAGTCTGCTGTAATTCAGAAAGAGTTTTTCTTGATGTCTGTCTGGAATTGAATTGTAATGCCATACATCATTCTTCCCCCTCCCCTCCTCTTCCCTGTACATGCACTGTGTAATCAATGCAGGCCGTTTTCCTAATGCTTTTCTCATTCTGTTTATTTTTCTAACAAATTCTCTGTCTTCTCTTTTTCTCCCCCACCCCCAAAAAAACCCCCAAGAGCCAGAAATGACGTCTCCTACATCAGAAGGGAGAAAACTTCAGTTGAGCGGAATGCGGCTTCATAAATAGCAAACCACAAAACGCTTCACGGGGGCAGCAGAGGTGAACTATTCAGGTTTACTAATTCCAAATCTTTTTTTTTTTAAGCGCAAAGGGGGGGGAGGTGGAGAGAATATTTAAAAAGGTACAGGGCCACCCTTCAGTTTCACAAGCTCTGAAAATGAGGGACACCGGAGTTTTTCTTTGCGTGCTGGCCTTCGTCTCTTATGCATCAGGTCAAATGCCTGGTGGGAGAGGTAAGTAGAATTCGATTATAGAACATAGAATCATAGAGCTGGAAAAGGGACCTTGGAGGTCTTCTAGTCCAACCCCCTGTTAAGTATGTCTAGCTCGTATCAAAGAGAAGGTTTAGTGGGGGCATAACTGTCCAGTCCTTGAGAGATTGTCACGGACAAGGGGGATGAAATTATTTTGCAAAGCAAGAGGACAAGTCAAGAAATAACGGGAAGAAATCTGTTAATTATAGATCCAACCTGGAAGGAAGGAGAAATTTTTTGACAGTGAGGACAATTAATCAATAGAACAGCTTGCCTCCTGGAGTTGTGGGTATTTCATCAGTGGATATATACCTGCTTAGTAGGGCTTTCGCCCCCCCCCCCAATGTGGTGTTCTATTTTATACAAAGTCAGCTTATTGCCCCCACAAACTGGGTCCTCATTTCACCTAGCTTAGAAAGGATGGAAGGCTGAGTCAACCTTGAGCCTTGGAGAGATTCGAACCAGCAAGTAATTGCAGGCAGCTGTGTTAATAACAGGGTGCTTAGACCACTGTACTATCAAGGCTCTTTTTAGAAAACAATTTCAAATTTCCGGGCTGAGAATTATAGATCTGTCCTTTCTGGTGGTTGGTCTTTTTTTTTTTTATTATTTGCTTGTTTTCTTATTAAATTCTGTTGCCGTTTTATTGATTCCAAGTCTTACAGACAGGCTTTAAGCTGGCAAGTAAATATATTTAAAGGATTACGCTGTAGCTTCTCTCGCTGATATCTACGTTTATGATTTGGCTCTTCAAAGTCTGTCAGAAGCCTTATGCAGAGAGTTGTGTTCTGAAGTTAAACTTTTTGAGTTTAAATCATGTACTTTTGTTATACTTTATGGTCACACAATATTTAATTGCATGTACCGAATGAGCAACTTATGTGCCACAGTGTAAGTATCGCTAGTAATTTTATACAACTACATATTCTAGTAATTTTTTCCTCTCTCTTTACAACTCACGTACCTACAAAAAATTAGGAAATTAATCCAGATTTGGGCAGAAATAAGAACTGAATGAAATTTAGAAATGAAAAGCAAAAAAAAAAAAAATTGATTCTATCTTCCTTATCTTAGTCCATGTACCATGGAACTCCTTGCTACAAGGTTTGGTGGCAATGTTTCTTGGAAATTGAGAAAAGAGAAAAGGTTCAGATTAACAGAGTTGGAAGGGACCTTGTGGATCATCGAGTCCAACTCCTTGCTTAAGGCAAAGACCTTATACCATCCTGATCATGTTGTACATGTTAGTCCTTGGCTTAGGACCACAATTGGGATCAGACTTTCCGTTGCTAAGCAAGATGGTCGTTACATGAGCCACATCCAATTTTATGGCCTTTTTTTTTTTGCCACAGCTGTGAAGCAAATCCCTGCAGTTGTTAAGTGAATCATGCAGTCATTAAGAGAATCCGGCTTTCCCCCATTGACTTTGCTTGTCGGAAGCTGGCCGGGAAGGTCGCAAATGGCGATCGCATGATGCCATCGCTGTCGTTAAGAGCATGCCAGTTGCCAAGCACCTGGATTTTGATCATGTGACCATGATCAAAAGATGGTTATAAGTGCAAGGACCTGGTCATAAATCACTTTCTTCAGTGCCGTTGTAACTTTGAACAGTCATTAAACAAATGAACATAAGTTGATGACTACCTATACAATGTTTCTCAACCTTAGGAACTTTAAGAGGTGTGGACCAACTCCCAGAAGGTGGCTGGGCTTAAAATATGCACCTCTTCAAGTGTCTATGGAGATTCTCCGTCATCCAGGTCATGGTTGTCCCAAAGGTGCTTTTTCAAAAGGCAACTGGACTTCCTTTGTTCTTCTTTGTTTTGCTTCTCATCCAAGAAGCGAACTGAACTGAACTGAAGAAGCTTCTTGGATGAGAAGTGAAATATCTTCAAGCAAAAGCAAAGTCTAGTTGCCTTTTGAAAAAGCACCATTGGGATTACTCAGCTGGGTAACATCATCAATGCTAGAAGGGTTAATGGATTTTTTGTGTGTGTGTGGGTGGTGGTGTGTCACAAGTTATAGAAGCACTTCAAAATCAGCTGAAGAAGCTTCTTGGATGAGAAGCAAAACATCTTCAAATGTTGAGGACCCAGTTTGTGGGGTCAATAAGCTGACTTTGTATAAATATACAAAAGGATGAAGGCTATTGCTTAGCGCATTGTAAGCCGCCCTGAGTCTCCGGAGAAGGGCGGCATATAAATCAAATTTAAAAAAAAAAAAAGAAAGAAAGAAAAAGCAGAAAGTCTTGAAAAAAAGCACCTTTGGGACGCACTTCTTCAAGTTCCCAAGTTGAGAAACACTGGTTTCGTAAACGCAATGCACCATTACGGTGTCCATTTTTTCCGATTGCTAACTTGAGTTTCTTCAGACGTTAGTTCTTATGGAGGCACAAACCTGGACAAAGTGGGTTAGATCAGAACCAGATGAAACATCTTGTGCAAATAAAGATCCTGACTCTTTATTGACTCTTTCTAAGGATGCTTTTCAATATCAGATTTAATTTATTCCTGGAAAAAAAAAAAACTCCCCGAGTGTCCATGGGCCGGTCTTTCTGGATAACGCATGTTCCTGAATTAATCCATTTTCTGCAGCTGCAAGCTAAATAACCATATTATCGTCTGTTCACAGCAGTGTAAAACCACAACTCGTGCTTTAGCTGGCCTTCATACGCATTCAGTTCTTCCCACACAACTAGTATCAACACAGTTTATGTGAGGATCCAGGCAGTGTGGGGCCTTTTGTAATTACCAATGAAAATTTGGTCAGTCTGCACAGTTTCTAATATTTTCTAAATTTTGGCATGTGACCAAGCGTGCCGATAAGCACTGTGACCACCACGGCTGGTTTATGCCATCATCTTTCAATTTTGATTTTCAGATCTTGATACTTTGCTATCGTCTCTAATTCTTTATCTTCTGTTCTACCATCTCTTGCTAATGCCACATTAATTATCCACACTGTCTTCCTTTCAACCGCAGTTAAATCTGGTGTGTTATGAGACAAAACTTTTATCAGTTTGTATTTGGAAATCCCTCAATATTTCAGCCTGATCAATTTTTTTTTTAGTATTTTTTCCAACTCTATGTTCCCACCAATTTTTCTTTACTGTTATCGTTATGGTTCTTTGCACAGTCGGCCAGATGTTTGAACTGGATTTGGCATTTTTGTCCACTTTTTGAGTCTTTTCCCAGGACCTGGGATAAGCAGTTTGATGATGTTAAAGCAGGGGTGGGCAAATGTGGCCCTTTTACAACCTGTGGACTTCAATCCCAGAATTCCTGAGACAGCTTGGCTGTCTCAGGAATTCTGGGAGTTGAAGTCCACAGGTTGTAAAAGGGCCACATTTGCCCACCCCTGTGTTAAAGGTATCATCGCGGGATGTAAAACGGTTCCGAATTGTTATTTTAACCAAAGGACCAGAATAATGGGGAACCTCAGCACTTTTAGTCCTGCATGTAAATGTGGTAACCAGCTTGTTAACTTTCTTGGTACCTTTGGGGGAGTCAACACCTCTCTCAGCTCAGCCTCCCTCACAGGGTTGTTGTGGGAATAAAATGAGGAGCTGTCCTGTATCCACAGCAGCCTTTTGCTTTCAGAGAAATGACAGGATATAAATACCTTAATGGAGCCAATATCGCCTCCTTGTAACCTGGAAGAGACGCTCTGCATTTTTGAGGCTGAGAGAAACCGCTTTTTTTTTCAGGAGCAGAAGAGCAAATATGCGTTTTACAGCTTTTACAGGGAGGTGTTTGGCTTAACAGGAACCCGCATGTAAGAGAAAGATATTCCTGAGCCATTTTCTTTGCAAGCCAGGAAGATCAAAGCTGCCAAATCTAACTAGGGCTGAAATTGCTTTTATACGGCAAGTAGTTGTGTGCATACATGCCTCCCCTTCACACAGAATTGCAGGTACCGGTCGGTACGCTCTCATAGAGAGGGGCTCCTCCGAGTGCCGTCAGCCAAACAATGTTGACTGGCGGCCCCCAGGGGAAGGGCCTTCTCTGTGGGGGCACCCACTATCTGGAACGAGCTCCCCCCAGAGATACGGAGGATCCCGGATCTGCGCACTTTCCGCCGTGCTCTTAAGACCCTCCTATTCCAGCAAGCCAGCCTGGCCTAATTTTCTCCCCTGTTTTAAAATTCTTTTAAATCGAAATTTTAATTTGTTTTAAATTATTGGGATTTTTAATTGTCTTGGGCTAAATTATTTAATCTGGTTTTAATTATGTTTCTAACTTTTGTATCTATGTATTTTATTTTGTGCCTGTTCACCGCCCTGAGTCCTTCGGGAGTGGGGCGGTATATAAATATAATAAAAAGAAAAAGAAAGAAAAAAAAAAGGTAGGAACCACACAGGATCACTGAGTGAAGAGCATCTCAAAAAGGATATTGTGGCGCCAGAAAAGAGGCAGAACTAAAATGACAGCAAGGTGACAGCTGATTTGCTCATCCAGTGGTTAAGGCACTAGGCTAAAAACCAGGAGACTGTGAATTCTAGTCCCATTTTAGACGTAACAGCCTGGGTGACTTTGAAATGGCTTTGAAAAGAGATGAGCTAGCTAGATAGAGAAGAGAGGCAAATTACTGAAGGTTAATTATGTGTGGACTCAACTCCCAGAATTTCTCAGTCAGCCATGCTGACTGGGGAATTCTGAGAGTTGAAGTCTACACATCTTCAAGGGGCCAAGACTGAGAAACCCTGCTTGGGGTGTTGTGCAAATGCACTCTTATAATCAGGGGTGAAATCCAGCAGGTTCTGACAGGTTCTGGAGAACCGGTAGTGGAAATTTTGAGTAGTTCAGAGAACCGGCAAATATCACCTCTGGCTGGTCCCAGAATGGAGTGGAAATGGAGATTTTGCAATATCCTTCCCCCAGGAGTGGGGAGGGAATGGGGATTTTGCAGTATCCCTTCCCCTGGAGTGGGGTGGGAATGTAGATTTTGCAGTATCCCTTCCCCTGCCACGCCCACAAAGCCACACCCACAGAACCGGTAGTAAAAAAAAATTGAATTTCACCACTGCTTATAATGGAGGTGAAAATTTAGCACTCAATTAAATAGAGTTGCTTAATATAGTCTCAGCCTTGACTTCCAATTTGGTTAATTAAGGAAAACTACACATCTCCGTTTATTTTAATTTTTTTGTAAACTACACTTAAATATTGCTCTTCAGAGACAGACGGGCTACAAATTCAATCACAGATAATTAAATCACATAAAACTATCAGCCAAGGTACACTGACCTTAATTATTATTATTTTGCAAACCTTGGGCAAATATGGATATTTTCCCAATCTAAGCCCTTTTAAATGTTTTATTCCTCAAGAAGAAAAGAGAATGGAAGAAGATGTTGGATAACCATTTGTCTGAAGTGGTGTAAGGGTTTCCTGCCTGGACAGGGGGTTGGACTAGAAGACCTCCAAGGTCCCTTCCAACTCTATTATTCTGTTCTATTTCTAAGCAGAGATTTTAAACATTTTACAGGTGGTCCTTCTTCATATAGCGACCGTCTGAAGTTACAACAGCACTGAAAAAAGTAACTTACAACCAGACCTCACACTTATGACCATAGCAGAATCCCCTCAGTCCTGTGATCAAAATTTGGCTGTTCCTAGCCAGCTTCTGACAAGCGAAGTCAGTGGGGGAAGCTGGATTCGTTTAATGACTGCTTGGTTCTCTTAACAACTGCAGTGGTTCATTTAACAATCATGGCAAAAAGCTTGATAAATGGGATGTGAACTCACTTAACAACCACCTTGCAAGGCAATGGAAATTCTGGCCCCAGTTATGATCATAAATCGAAGAACACCTGTAAATCAAGTCCTGGTTTTGAGGCAGGATCTCAAGAAAAAAAAGATCCATGCTGAAATTTCAGCCATCCCCAACCAGTGCCCACATTGGTTGCAACAGATAAAATTCCACCCTTCGGGCTATGAAAATATGCAGAAATGTGGCGGGAAGTCTCCAGAAGAGCCACGTAGCTTCCCAAAGCTGCTTTTTAACCCATTTAGTGTTTCTCTTCTGTTCTAGGAGGAGACCTCTCGCCCCAGATGCTAACGGAGATGAAGGAAACCAGCAAGGCACTGAGAGAAATCAGAGAACTGCTAAAACAGCAGGTAAGAAGGACGAAGATGGGTCTTTTCTTTGCAAGTACCTTAATTTTTCGTTGCAACGAAAGCCAAACAGAGATGCCAAACAGTTTTTAAATTAACCCACTCCTCTAAAATTGCTTGCTGGGAATTCACTTGGGGGAAATATTGCAACAGCCACACATGCAAAACATTGAGCTTGTGGGTTGAAACGAGTGGCTTGCAGAGTTTGCATAAAAGAAGGACTGATTAACACATGAAATAAGATAATTCAAATGTCATTATGTTACAAAAAGAAAACTTTAGCCCAAACTCAGCCTTTCTCAGCCTTGGCCACTTTAAGCGGTGTGGACTTCAACTCCCAGAATTCCCCAACTAGCATTAGCTGGCTGGGGAATTCTGGGAGTTGAAATCCAGACCGTTGAAAGTGGCCACGGTTGAGAAACACTGCGCTTAACCAAAGGTAGCATTTTTTTCCAAACGCAAAAAGCTTCATTTAAAAATTTATCTTGGCTCATACCCTTTTGGGACCAGGAAGGTTGCATAAATTCTGGTCCTTTTCGGGAGGTTTGTGCTTCAAGGTGGCACCAGAGAGATTAAAAAAAAAAAAAATCAAAATGGCGGCCCAAATCATGTGACTGAAGCCCCGCCCTTTTATATGTGCATTGTAGCAGATATTAAAAAGGACAGGGGGTTTCATGGCATGGTTGAGCTGCCATCTTGACTTTTTTGACCCCTCGCTGCAGACATCTCTGCATGGCTAAGGCCCAGAAAATGGGCTAATGCCAAGCGTTTACATGGCGTGGCAATTTCACTCAATGGTCCTTATGCAAATCAAACGAAAGCCCTCCCCCGCCTGAATTTTTCCACAGAATAAAGGTAGTCCTTGACTTAAAACCAGTGGTGGGATTCAGCCAGTTCGTACCTATTCAGGAGAACCGGTTGTTAACTTTCTAAGCAGTTCGGAAACCCCGTTGTGGGAAGAAATCTTATTTTGTGTTTTTTCCCACTTTACAGGGCTAATCCTGTAAGGAAGGCAGGAAGGAAACATTCTGGTGGTGTTTCTAGCCTAATCTTTATTGCCCTGCTTACAGAAACTGCCTCTCTGGTTTAACCCTTATTACATTGTAACAGCTAAGGCGAAGCCCCCATTGACGTGAGTGATGTTGAGTTGGCCATGCCCACACAGACACATGACCACCGAGCCACGCCTACTCAGCTGGTCATAAGGGCAGAGAACCGGTTGTTAAATTATTTGAATCCCACCACTGCTTAAAACCATTCATTTAGTGACCGTTCAAAGTTACAACAGCACTGAAAAAGGTGACTTATTATCTTTTTTCACACTTACAATGTTGCCGCATCCCCATGGGTCATCAAAATGTAGACGCTTGGCAACTGATTCGTATTTAGGACGGTTGCAGTTTTGTGACCTTCTGACGAGCCAAGTCAATGGGGAAGCCAGATTCGCTTAACAACCATGTTATACGAACTAAACAACCGCCATGATCCACTTAACAACTGTGGCAAGAAAGGTTGTAAAATGGGGCACCATTCGGTTGACAGCTGTCTTGCTTAGCAACGGAAACTTTGGGCTCAGTTGTGATCATAAGCCAAGGACTACCTGTAATGTTCAGAGTGCGAATATGCATCCTTTTCTCAAGGCTATGCAGTACCCAACTGCGATATAAGAGAGCTAAAAGCTGGGGGAAAAAAATCAAAAGCTTAATCTCTGGGAAGGTACAAAGGGCTCCTGAAAAGGGGTGTCTGGAGACAGTCCCTCCCTTGGGCTTCCAGAAGCTGGCTAAAGTGGGGAGGGGGAAAGTAAAGTTTCTTAGCCCTATGTACTAAATGGAACCTCCACAGGCAGGAGCAGTTTACCTTTGACGGTGAAAATTCCGAGGCGGACAACTGTCGGCCTTCAAGCCTTACTCGTGGATTTGCCTGAAGGACTCAGATGGCCGCTGTTGACCTTTTCTGGTCCTGCTGTGTCTGCCTGCCTCTTATGCAATGCCACATTCCTCTTTTCCTCCTGCTCTTGGCTGCGGCCTCTGCCTGCCAGCTAACTGGAAAAACAGACGGGCAGACCCCCGTGCCAGGACAAACTCTGGGCAGCAGCACAAGGGCTGGCGGGGCTGTGGTGGGGGGATGGATGTGGAGAGGTGGCTGCCCTTTTGGCTTTCCACTCCTGCTTTGTCCTACATAAAATCTGCAGCAGTCCTGGGTAGCAGTTGGGGAGAATTCCAGAGGCAGCGCTGGAGACAGGATACTGGGGAGATCTTGTCTAATCACCCACACATACTGCAATTCCCAGCGCCCAGGCCATTTCTGTCAGCCTCATTGGGAATCACTACTAGATGAGCGAATTCAACTTTAAGACACCTGGACTTCAACTTCCAGAATTCCCTAGTTAGCATGCTGGCTGTGGAATTCTGGAAATTGAAATCCATACGTCTTTTAACGTTGAGACTGAGAAACACTGTGAAGTTTAGAGTCATCTTTTTTTTTTTATAATTTGATTTATATGCCGCCCTTCTCCAGAGACTCAGGGCAGCTTACAGTGCGTTAAGCAATAGCCTTCATCCTTTTGTATATTTATACAAAGTCAGCTTATTGCCCCCACAGTCTGGGTCCTCAATTTACCTACCTTAGAAAGGATGGAAGGCTGAGTCAACCTTGAGCCTGGGGAGATTCGAACTTACAGTAATTGCAGACAGCTGGTGTTAATCACAACGCTATTAGTCTGCTAAGCCACCAGGCCCGTACTTACAGAAGTCTAGCATGGTAGAGCCTCCAAGCACAGAAACAGACTACCTGAGGTTGGGAGGATTTCTGTAGATAGCCGAATGTTGAACTTTCTTTATCCCCATTCCATCCCATCCTATCCTGCTTTTTCCATTGAGGATGATTATGATGTTATTCATTCAGTCGTGTCCGACTCTGGGCGATTCTATAAGTCAGGCCTCTCCACATCTTTGGATCTTTTTCCATGACACAATTCCATTCTTTTATTTATTTATTTATTTATTGGTTCAATTTATATGCCGCCCTTCTCCAGAGACTCAGGGCGGCTTACAATGCATTAAGCAATACCGTTCATACTTTTGTATATACCTGCTTAATAGGGCTTTTGCCCCCCCTAAGCGGTGTTCTTTTTTATACAAAGTCAGCTTATTGCCCCCAGAATCCGGGTCCTCATTTTACCTACCTCGGAAGGATGGAAGGCTGAGTCAACCTTGAGCCTGGTGAGATTTGAACTCGCAGTAATTGCAGGCAGCTGGTGCTACTTAACAGTACTTTAGTCTGCTGCGCCACCAAGGCTCTTTTCAACAGAAGGAAGCTTGCATGCAATTCCCACCTTCCCTTCTAACTAACTAACTTGTTCTGTAATCTCCTGTCTTTGAAAAAATTAAACTTTTTAACAAACGCATTTGGCATGGAGGGAGGTAAGGGCACGGCTGGGCTGCTGGGGGTTTGCAGGGGTTTGGGAGAACCTCTAGCTAAGATTCTGTGATGTTCAGAGAACCCCCAAATCCCACTCCTGGCTGGCCCTGGCCACCGTGCCCCACCCCTCCCAGGAGTCTCCACGTGGCCTGTTTTGGATGCAGGTAAGTGCAGGGTGCGCACAGAGGCTCGGGGAGGGCGAAAAACGGGCCTACCGGACGTTCAAGAAAGCCAGAAATGGGCCTACTGTTTCCGGCCTCCAGAGGGCCTCCAGAGCTTGGGGAGGCTGTTTTGTCCTCCTGGAGGCTCAAGGAAAGCCTCTGGAGCCCGGGGAGGGCAAAAATGCCTCCCACCCGTGATGCAGGAGGCTGACTAAGCCACGCCCACCATGGCCACGCCCACCCAACAACCGGGCAGAGAACCCCTTGCTAAAATCTTTGAAGGCCACCCCTGAGAAAGGACACTTCTATCCTCTCCGGTGTCCCTACCGGGAGTGGAGCAAGGAGGCTCGCTCAGTTCTGTTCTGTCCCACTCTCCAACAATGTCTAGATTTGATTAAGGGTTTTGAAAAAAGAAAACACCAAATTGTATGGGAAACGTTTACACATTTGCTAGAGAGCTAACTCCACCAGATGAGAGGGATGCTCACAAAACCACCTTCGTTCCCCTGGGTCCCTCAATCTTTCAGTTGGACTGAACAAAGAGACCATCCAAAATCCTTGACTTACGACTATTTAATGACTGTTCGAAGTTGCAACAGCACTGGAAAAAAGTGACATGAACAGTTTTCAGACTGATGATGACCGTTGCAGTGTCTCCATGGTCACATGATTGTAATTCAGTGCTTAGCAGCTGGCGTGTATTTATGACAGTTTGCGACAACAAAAAGAGGAAATAACGATCAGTTTGGGGTTAGAGCTGGAAGACTGTTACCTCATAGCTTGCAAGAGGAAACCGGAAATGTTAGCTTGTCTAAGCAACCTCTTTTCCAGGTGTTCATGAGAAATGCACGTCAATCACAGGACATTTCCCACCCAACATCTGACCAGGTCTAATCCTGCTTAAATGTTCAAAACCCTGCAATAGAATAGAATATCTATAGCTCAGAGCTGAACTGTGGAGTCTTTGGTGCTCTCTGAGCTCAGTTCTTTGCTTAGACATTTCATCACCCAACTAGGTAACATCATCAGAATGAGGGAGGGAGAGAGTTTGTTTCTTGTTTATATACAGTTGTTTGCCCTGCTAGTGTTGGTGGGGTGTTGGTTTTCTTCTGATGGTGCCTTGATTAAAGTGTTGTTTTCTGCTTGTCTTGGAATAACATTAGACAACAATCAAGCAGGATTAACACTAATTGTGGAGTGACAAACTTGGACAAACTTTCTTATTCTAAATACTACCAAGTTTTGCTGTTACTAAAGCCTAAATCTTCTCCCCTTTTTTAAATGTAAATTTTAATTTGTTTTTAAATTATGGGGTATTTTAAATTCAGCCAAATTATTTAATTCGTTTTTAATTTATTTTAATTTTTTGTATTTATGTGTCTTATCTTGTGGCTGTTCACTGCCCTGAGTCCTTCGGGAGAAGGGCGGTATAGAAATGTAATAAAATAAAAATAAAAATAAATAAATAAATAAATTATGAGCTTTTTCCGATTATGATTTTCCACAGGTCAAAGAGATCATCTTTTTGAAGAACACCGTGATGGAGTGTGATGCCTGTGGTAAGTCCACTTGAAAAGTGTTGATTCTAAAAGTCCTGCTTTGAGTTTTTTAAAAAACAAAAGGAGGAAGAAAGATTACCCTGGTTTAGGGCCAGGGTACTTACGGGACCGCCTTCTGCCACCAATAGCCTCCCACCGGCCAGTTCGCTCCCACAGAGAGGGCATCCTCAGGGTGCCGTTGGCCAGACAATGCCGGCTGGCGACCCCCAGGGGGAGAGCCTTCTCTGTGGTGGCACCTACCCTTTGGAACAATCTACCCCCAGAGACACGAGTGATCTCCGAACTCCGAACTTTTCGTCGGGCCCTAAAACCTTATTTTTTTCAGTTAGCCGGTCTGTCTTGATTTTATGGTTGGTTTTAAAATTTGATACGGATTTTAAATTGATAAATTTTAAACTACGGGCCAAATTTATCTAAATTATTTTAAATCTATTTTTAACTGTAACTTTATGTATAAATGTTTTTATTTTGGCTGTTCACCGCCCTGAGTCCGAAAGGAGAAGGGCAGTAGAGAAGTTTGAATAATAAATAAATAAATAAAATACATTATCTTGACCAGGCCCCCAGTCCTGACCATTATCACTCGGATGTTTCCTGCAATAATTAGACAACTGAGAACCAATTGTGCTCATAAGTTGAGGGTTACTGTACTATCTTTAAACATATAAGAAATATATTCCAGCAGTATCTAAAATGATATTAAAAGATCTAAAAGTATGTAAAGTACATCTGTGTAGCAGGAGCTTGGCTCATTGAGGACTGGTGGTTCTTGCTGCTGGGCAAAACAACAGCCACATGTGCTGTGGCTATGCTATAAATGGCATTTCGTCTGTAAGCAGCATCTGGAACCAGGCTGGGTCTAAGTGAGCAGGATATTTGCTAATCAGAGGGAGGATCCTTTTCATTGTAATCTGCAGAAGACGAGGAAGCAAGCAGCAGAGAATCTCCCCCCAACTTCTTTGCAATTTCCTCCCTGCCAAAGACTGAGGCATTTCCATTTAGGATCACAGTGTTTGTCTCCCACTAATCAGCCGTGAAGACATGGGAAGGTGCCTTACACTCGCTGATAAGAGTAAATGGTTGAAAATGAAGGAATGAGCAAAAATGCCAAAAGTTACAGGCTTTCTTACTGCTAAGAATTGGTGTCTTTAAAGAGTGTATATGCATATATATATATATGCATTACATATATGGGGAGCGGATTTCCCAGTTGGGTTCAGTTGGAGTTGGCAACCTGTGGTGGAGAAGGGGGCACTGCTGAGGATTTATGTCATTGTTTTTAATTGTTTTAAAACATCTATTAAGGGTCTGTGTGGGCTGCATTGCACACTGCCAATTCCTTGATTTAAAGGGGAATTATTGCTGTCCCCAAAAATTATCATAGAAGGGAAGAAAACATCAGTGGCATCATGCAATAGCTGGAAAGGGGAAAGGGAAGGAGAGGAGGAGGAGGAGGAGGAGAAGGAAAGGGAGAAGAAAGGAGAGGAGGAGAAGAAGAAGAAAGGGAGAGAGAAAGAGAAGGAGGAATTGTAAGAAGTTAGCACCCTCCCCTCTCCTAGGAAAATGAGATATTATAGGAAATATTAAAAGGGCAGGAATATTTCCCCTAAAAGGGAGGCAGAAACTCATCCCCCCCCCACTTTGTCAATGGGCCATTAAGGCCTGGGCCAGTCTATTCTACATAACAAAGATCTACCTCCTTCAGGCAGAGCCATATTACATCATTCATTCATATTACATTCATTACATCATCACCCAGCAAGGCTCAACCAAGCCTGGGACAAAGATAACCTACAAAGTTACCCCTGCATGGGAATTGAAATGGATTGGTATATGTATATGCAAATACAAACAAGATATGAAAAAGATGTTAAACTACATGGTTTTTACTTAGAGAAGACTGAGCTGGATAAGATACTCACAGGAACAGAGGATAAATTAATTAAAAAATGTTATAATTTTTTTATTGAATTAGAGGAAGAACAAGTAAAAGAAACAATGATAGTTTGGGCAAAAAATGTTGGACATTAAATTGATTTTGATAAATGGTAACAATTATGGAAAAGAAACTATAAATTAACAATGTCCACTGCATACAAGGAAAATCAATATAAAATGTTTTACAGATGGCATATGCCCCCTGAGAAACTGGCAAAAATGTTTAAAGATAAATCAGCTAAATATTGGAAATGCCACCAGTTACCAGATTCATATTACCGTATGTAGTGGACATGCTCTGAAGCAAAGAACTATTGGAATAAAATTAAGTTATGGTTGGAGGAAATGATACAACGTATGGATTTAAAACCAGAGCTATTCCTATTGGGCATTTTACCAGAGAAAACTAGTAAAGATAATATATATTTGATTATACATGTAATAACAACAGCAAGGATTGTTTATGCACAAAAGTGGAAAGCAGAGAACATACCTTCAGAGGGAGAAGTAATTAAAAAATTTTTAGATTGTGCAGAAATGAACAGATTAACTATGATGATAAAAGAAAGAGAAGATTCAGAATATTTTAAGATATGGAATCAATTTTACTATTGGTTAAAAAAAGAGATATTAATAAGTTTTAAAAGAGATTTTTTTAAAAAATGTAACTAGAATATTATATTAGTGGAAAATTTTTGTAATAGATTTGGTGAGAACGAAGATAGAAGAGATAAGAGAAGAAAGAAGTTTTTGGAGATAACACCGAAATGTCACATGAAGAAATGAATGATGTATTAAATGTTTGTCTTAAAAAATAATAATTTTTTTAAAAAATAAACTTACCCCTGCATGGCCCATGGGAGTCTAACGACCAATCAGAACAGAAGCTCAAATTAAAAGCCCAACGGAGGGCATAAGATCTAGGCACTCTAAGCATCTCTGCCTTTTTGCCCAAGACCTCAAAACCATGTGGTCTTGTCCACCATTAAACCATCTTTTCAAGCAGTCTCCATGTTTCCAGTGTCTTTCTTCCCCACTTGGAATTGAACCCAGATGGACATTTCTTCCAACAGAATAAAAGGGTCTGTCTGACTGTGCAGCCAATCACAACAATAATAATAATTGAGGTGGCCAAATCTCTTTTTTTCTCTCTCTCTCTCCAGGCTTGGGCACGGGAGCGACGGGCCCTGGGATCATCGTGGCTTTGAACCGCTGTTCTCCGAATCCATGCTTCCCAGGGGTCACCTGCACCAGCACCCCGACCAGCTTCCATTGTGGATCCTGCCCTCTGGGTTACACAGGCAACGGGACTCACTGCACCGACATTAATGAGGTCAGGATCGGCTGCTGCTCTGGACAAGTGACCTTACCACCAACTAGGTGCCTCCAGAAAGAAAGGGCTGTGATTGGGGAGTGGGGGGGGGCTGGCTGTTTTGCAGCGTTAAAAAGAGCCTTTCTTGGATCCAAGCCAGACATTTTTTTCCTCTAGAAGAAAAATAGGAAAATTCTGAGTGCCCTTTAAACCAGGAGATTGTGAGTTCTAGTCCGCCCTTAGACATGAAAGCCAGCTAGGTGACTTTGGGCCAATCACCTGGAGCCTGTGAGTTCTAGTCCCGCCTTAGGCATGAAAACTGGCTGGGTGACTTTGAGCCAATCACCCGGAGCCTGAGAGTTCTAGTCCCGCCTTAGGCATGAAAACTGGCTGGGTGACTTTGAGCCAATCACCCGGAGCCTGTGAGTTCTAGTCCCGCCTTAGGCATGAAAACTGGCTGGGTGACTTTGAGCCAATCACCCGGAGCCTGTGAGTTCTAGTCCCGCCTTAGGCATGAAAACTGGCTGGGTGACTTTGAGCCAATCACCCGGAGCCTGTGAGTTCTAGTCCCGCCTTAGGCATGAAAACTGGCTGGGTGACTTTGGGCCAATCACCCGGAGCCTGTGAGTTCTAGTCCCGCTTTAGGCATGAAAACTGGCTGGGTGACTTTGGGCCAATCACCCGGAGCCTGTGAGTCTAGTCCCGCTTTAGGCATGAAAACTGGCTGGGTGACTTTGAGCCAATCACCCGGAGCCTGTGAGTTCTAGTCCCGCCTTAGGCATGAAAACTGGCTGGGGGGTCCAGGTGGCACAGCCTGCCCATGTTAGAAATGCCCACTCCCAACAGGGCACTGAATGGTGGGTGGACAGCAAAAGCCACAGTTGCCCTCTTGGTCCCCCAATGAGTGCCTCTTCTTTCTGCAGTGCACAGCCAACCCCTGCTTCCCCAGTGTCCGCTGCATCAATACCGAGCCTGGTTTCCACTGTGAGTCATGCCCTCCTGGCTACAGAGGGCCACCGCTGAAAGGAGTCGGTTTAGCGTTCGCCAGGGCCAAGAAGCAGGTAACAAGGACCTTCTCTCCGCTGGGGCGAATTTGTAACTTTGGCAGCGCATGCAGGTAGTCCTCGACTTATGACCGACCACAGGGGTGGGCTTCAAAAATTTTAGCAAGGGGTTCTCTGCCTGGTAGCTGGGTGGGCATGGCCATGGTGGGTGTGGCCTAGTCGGCCTCCTGCATCACTGTAGAGGGGAGCGTTTTTGCCCGCCCCGAGCTCCGGAGGCTTTTGTTGGGCCTCCGGGAGGGTGAAAATGGCCTCCCCAGGCTCCAGAGGCCCTCTAGAGGCCGGAAACGGTAGGCCCGTTTTTCGCCCTTCTGAGCCTCTGTGTGCGCCATGCACTTACCTGCATCCAAAACAGGCTGCATGGGGACTCCTGGGAGGGGTGGGGTGGGCGGGGCCAGCCAGGAGTGGGATTTGGTGATTCTCTGAACTGCACAGAATCTTAGCTAGAGGTTTTCCCGAACCCCTACGAACCCCCAGCAGCCCACCCCTGTTACCACATGGCCGCTACTGATTTTATTACCATTTTTGCAGTGGTTGTTAAATGGATCCGTTGAGTGGAAGGTTTCTGGCAAAAAAATGCAAATTGTGGTCACTGAGGGATGCTACAAATGGCCACAAATCTGAGCCAGTTCCCGAGCGCCCGTAATGTGATCATGTGACCTTAGGGGGCAGGCAGCCGTTCAAATTTAAAATATGAGTTAGAAGTAGCCCTGGGGAGATCTGTTAGCTATGGGGGTTTTTTGCCAGAAAATAGAAAGAAATGCTGATTTTCAACAAAAATGTCATGCTTTACAATCACGTAACAGTGGGATGCTGCAAAAGGCAATGCCAATTGGTGGCTGAGCACCCAAAATATGGTCATATGACCACGGGAGAGGGTTGGCCTGGCTATTGAAACTTTGGGGGGATTCATTGTAATCTTGAACAATCACTACATTTGAACAATCGCTAAATTGAACAATCACTAAACGATCACTAAGTCATAGATCAGGTCGTCCTTGATTTACAACCACAATTGAGCCCAACATTTTTGTTGCTAAGTGAGACAGTTAAGTCTCACTTTTGCCCCCATGTTACCCCAGTTAACAGTTGTTAAGCGAATCACTACAATTTTTAAGTCAGTCACATGGTTGTTAAGTGAATCCGGCTTCCCCGTTGACTTTGCTGGTCAGAAGGTCACAAAAAGGGGATTGCATGACCTCGGGGACACGTCAATCGTCATAAATATGAACCGTTTGCCAAGTGTCTGAATTTTGATCGTGTGATCATGGGGATGCTGAAAGTGTGAAAAATTTTCAGTGTATAACTTTCAATGAATGGTTGTAAGTCGAGGACTACCTGCATGATGCTCCCATCATTGGATCCAGCCCTTCCTCCTGATCCCTGTGTGTTTGTTTTGCCTAACAGATCTGTAATGATGTCAACGAATGCGAGGAAGGGACTGCCAGAAACTGCGTGTCAAATTCCATCTGCATTAACACTCCGGTAACTATTCTTCACCATTCTGTCGCATAACTTCTCAGACCTGGACTTTATTGCCTCCAGAGTGGGTGGGGAAAAATTGGACCAGCCTTCTCCAACCTGGTGCTCTCCCCCTCCCTGATGTCTCCTTCCTTCTCTTGCAATTGCAATTGATCTTTGTGGGTTGCTTAGCTTTCCAAGATTAGTGGATCTCATCTAAGAACCACCAGCTGCAGGCAAGTCTCCTGACTCATTGTTTCCATCCCCTGGATGTTTCAGAGGAGAAGGGCTGGTGTCCAGCCAGCCATACTGACTTAAACATCCTGTTGTGTCTTGTGTTTGGATGAGCGTCAGAATGCATTGTCACTGCGTTTTTGTATTTACCAGATGAGCTTTTATTTTTGGATTTTCAGACTTTCCGTAGCTTGCCAAGTTTCTTATCAGTAAGCTAACTGCGCATGTCCACATTCCTTCACTTTCTTTCTTCTATCTTTCTTTGTTCTCCTGCCAAGAGATCCGGCCGCAGAGAGGTGGCCGGCAGGAACGTTGCCAAAATGTAACTATTTAGATTAGTGAGATGTTTTATTTTCTTTATAACAAATAAATGAGTTTTTCTTAGAAAAATATATCTTCGGGTTTATTTTCTTAATGTATACTTGCAAGGAAAAGTCTCGATCCACGTCTCTAAGTCAAGGTGCGATTACCCAAAAGCAGAATGGGATTAATTAGCACCCTGATATGCATGTCCCTGGGAACGGCTTCCAGAGTTGGACGTGCGTTCATTGAAAACCCGGAAAAGAATCTGAGTTTGGGTTCCATTTCAGCATGTGCTGCAGTGGAGCCAGAGGGATTCTATGAATCTCAGAGCATTACCACCCTTTGGGATGCTTTAAACCAGCGGTGTCCAACCTGAGCAACTTTTAAGACTTGTGGACTTCAAGTCCCAGAATTCCCCAGCTAAGCTTGGCTGGCTGGGGAATTCTGGGACTTGAAGGCCACAGGTTTAAAGTTCCCAAGGTTAGACTCCTGTGCTTTCAATAAACAATTATTGTTTTAAATAAATAACCAGTAGAATGCCTTGCCTCCAGAAGTTGTCAGTGCTCCAACACTGCAGGTTTTTAAGAAGAGATTGGACAACCATTTATTTCTAATAGTATAAGGTTTCCTGCTTCATCAGGGGCTGGACTAGAACAGGGGTCTCCAACCTTGGCAACTTTAAGACTTGTGGACTTCACTCCCAGAATTCTGGGAGTTGAAGTCCACAAGTCTTAAAGTTGCCAGGGTTGGGGAGCTCTGGATTAGAAGACCTCCAAGGTCCCTCCCAACTCTGTTATTTTGTAAAGGATGGAAAAGATGGAGAGAAGGTCTCACAAGAGTGAGCTGGTTTCATCCATCTGTTGTGGGGAGGAGACGAATGTCAATCCAGCTGATTGACTACCACATTTCCTCCTGCAGGGCTCCTACAAATGTGGGGCATGCAAGAGTGGCTTTGAAGGGGACCAGAGTTCCGGCTGCCGGGTCAAGACCAAGCGACGTTGCCCCAATGGTCAACCAAGTCCTTGTCATGAGAAAGCAGAGTGCATTGTCGAGCGGGATGGGACCCTCATCTGCCAGGTGAGTTGGAGGCTTTCTCTGGAAGTTCCTCACCGACTTCCCAAACAGGCCCAAGATTTGGGAAACGGATGTTGTAGTTTCTCAGTTGCAAACGGTGGAAAGGCCTGGATTTGTTTGCTCAGAACCTGTTTTACGCTGGGGAACACTCTGTGTCCACAGTACAGAGTGCCTTTGAGTGCAGACGATGTCAGATTCCAGACAGTAGTAGTAATTTATTTTAGGAAAAGAGGAACGTTAAAGCTGCTAGCAATGGAAGAACAAGCTGTTGACCAAGGCAGGTTACAAGGTGATACACAGGTTCCTTGTCTCTGTTAGAAGTAGAGGCTAATCCAGGACAGTGGAGTTCTTGGTCCTCTCTGAGCTTGCTTGTTAAATTTAAATTTAGCGACAAAGAAATAAAGGGAGACTAGTATAACTATTTCAAGCTTTTTAACTCTCATCAGCTAGCCATACCCTTCTGGGATTCGAACCTGGGCTGCTTGCATATTAGGCAGATGTATTAACCTCTAGGCTATGGGCTTTCCTTGCTTTGTCAGCTGTACCAGGGGAAAGATTAAGTGTTTTTCTGGTCTATCAGGGCAACCTGGTCTACCCAAATATGGGACGGAGCATACGGCTTCTGCTTTCTGAGCTTGGTTGTTTTCTTGCAGACGTTTCACTACCCACCCAGGTAACGTCACCAGTGCTACATGTTACCTATTGAGCAATGAAATCCAATGTTACCTGGATGAAAACAACCAAGCTCAGAAAGCACCAAGGATTCCACAGTTCAACCCTGAACTACAAATATTATTTTTTCTTGGTAATTCAGGACTTGATCGAGTCATTGTTCGGACGTGATGGTGATAAGTGTTCTGACCTAGGCTTCCCAAAAGCACGAAGCCGACTCCTCGTCCCAATAAAACCCCTTTTATTTAGTTTAAAGAGAATTCCTCTCCAGCAAAGTTCTGGCCAACAGTCTTTCATGAGATTTCACAACTTACAGACCTTTATCAGGCTTGGAGAGCTGTCAGGCTGATATCTTCCATACCGCCACTCTGTAGCAGACAATACTTGGCAAGAAGTCAGGAACAGATCTTCACTCTAATGAATTGAACTAATTGTTTCCTGCAAACTCCCCTCCCCTTTCGCTCCTCTTTATTCCCTTTGGGAGGGGCCATTCACTGTCCACCTGTGGCTTTACTCCTGAGTTGACCCTTGTTTCTTAGCTGTTCCCTTCTCCTGGCAGCTCTGTGCATGCGCACACTGGGAACAGGCTCCAGCTGTTCTTCTGCCCCACTGACGTCCGACTCCGAAGGCAGCTGATAACTGTCAGACAGCCCTGGCCCCATCTCTGCTTTTGACGCAGAGGCCTCCTCAGAGCCTTCCCCAGATTCTAGGACTGGCCCATGTTCCTCCCCAATCTCCTCACTGTCCGAGTCTGCCACTAGCTCCGCTGGCCGCTGGTGGGCCACAACAGATAGTGAGGATGAGTTGAATTTGGTCCCCAAATTCCTGACAGGAATTTCCCATATTGGGGTCTGCCTCAATTTAGAGCCATTTTTTTTTTCTTGGGAGGCGGTGGCAAGGATGGGCATTCACGATTCCTTCTGCTTCTAGTGCATCGTCGGGTGGGCAGGAAATGGCCACATTTGTGGAAGAGATACCGACATTGATGGGATTCCAGATGAGAAGCTTCCTTGCAATGATGAAAAGTGCCAGAAGGTAAGAGACCTCCTTTGAGTTAAGGTTTTCTTTCAGCCCATGGTTTCATCCGTTTCTCCTGCTCTGGTGGGGAATCCAAAAAAGAGGCTGAGACCTTAGAAAGAGTCCAGAGAAGAGCAACAATGACGATAAAGGATTTGAAGCAGGGGTGGTATTCACTTACCTTTGCTACCGGTTTGCAAATGTGAGCTCACGTGGGCGCTCGCTTTGTACGCAACACCTCTGCATATGTGCAGGACCTTCTGCACATTGCAGGACCATCTGCGCATGCACAGAGCGTCAAAAACGGGATGTGATGATGTCCGGGAGGGTGGGCGGAGCCTCCCACAACCGCCGTTACCGGTTTGCCCGAACCGGATAGAACCGGCTGAATACCACCACTGATTTGAAGGCTATATACTATAACAATGACGGCTAACCTTTTCACCACCGAGTGCCAAAACTGGAGTGCACGCACGCCGGAGCGCTGGCCAGCTGCTCTCATCCAGGTTCCGGCGCATGCATGGGTGCCATGCACCTGGTCTTCCGGCACACATGCGCGTGCCAGAACCTGGAAGACAGCAGCTGGTCAGCGCCCATGTGCATGACCAAACCCAGAAGAGCAGCTGGAGGTGGCGCGCCTGCCCACAGAGAGGGTTCTAAGTGCCACCTCTGGCACGCGTGCCATAGGTTCGCCATCACGGTACTATAAGAACAACTGAGAGAACTAGGTATGTCTAACCCAGTGTTTCTCAACCTTGGCAGCTTGAAGATGGATGGACTTCAACTCCCAGAATCCCCCAGCCAGAATTCTGGGAGTTGAAGTCCACCCATCTTCAACACGTCAAGGTTGAGAAACATTGGCTTAACCTATCTAAAAGAAGAGTTAGTGGGAGCATGATAGCTGTCTTCCAGTACTTGGGAGGCTGTCACAAAGAAGAGATTTATTCTCCAAAGTGCCAGAGGGCAGGACAAGGAGTGATGGGTGGAAGCTTGTTAGAGATCTAACCTAGGAGGAGAAATTTTCTGACAGTGAGAGCAATTAATCAATGGCTTGCTTCCAGAGTTATGGGTGATCCATCCCTGGAGGTTTTCAAAAATAGACTGGACAACCATTTGACCAGTATTGATATAAGGCAGTGATGGCTAAACGTTTTGCCATTGCGTGTCAAAAGCGGGGGGAACGCGGGGGGGGGTCGTGCACGTGCGTGCCCACACCCATATTTCAATGTGCCCCGCACATGCGCGCATGAGTGCCCCATGCTCCCCCCACTTTTGGCACATGATGGGATGGTGGGCCCGGTAGGCCTGTTTTTTGCCCTCCCCAGGCTCCAGAGCCTTTCTAGGACCCTGGGGAGGACAGAAAGGCCTTCCCCACTCCTCTCCATTTCTGGCCATGGGAGGTGGGGGTGGGGAGGCTGTTTTTGCCCTTCCCAGGCTCCTAGAAAGGCTCTGGAGCCTGGGGAGAGCGAAAAATGGGCCTTCCCCCCCCCCCGCGGAGGCCCTCCGGAGGCTGGAAACAGCCTGTTTCCCGACTTCCAGCGGGCCCAGAGGGTCCAAAAATGAGCTGGCCTGCGCACACATGCTGAACTAGGGCAATGGTTGCGTGCCCACCGATATGGCTCCGCGTGCCACCTGTGGCACACGTGCCGTAAGTTCGCTATCATGGGTATAAGGTCTCCTGACATGAGTAGGGGGTTGGACTAGAAGACATTCAAACTCCTTCCAGTCCTACGATTCTATCAGTGAAGCCCACTTCAAGGCAGGGGAATAAAAGGCAGGGAGATAAGTTTGGGAGGCCTCTGTTTCATTAGTGGGATCTTTGTTATTTTGGGGCAGAGGAGAAAAATCACAGAACAACTGATACCATGGAGAGAAACATAGACATAGAAGCATCACCTTCAAATTTGTCCTGCATTGGTAGTTCTGACTTACGACCACAATTGTGACTAGAATTTCCATTGCTAAGCAATGCAATTGTTCAGTAAGTCGTGCTCAATTTTACAACCTTTTCTGCTATTAAGTGAATCACTGGAACTGTTAAGTGAATCGCATGATAATTAAGTTAATTAAAAGTCAGCATCGGAGAAATTTGGCTTCTCCCCTGGACTTTGCTTGTCGGATGCCTGCTGAGAAGGTCGCAAATGGCCATCACATGCCCCAGGATGCTGTTATCATTGTAAATACAGGCTGGTTGCCGAAAAGTTGAATTTTGATCTTGTGAATTTGGGGAATTTCATTTCATTTTTCATTTCATTTATTGGATTTCTATACTGCCCTACTCCCGAAGGACTCAGGGTGGTGAACAGCCACAGAATAAAACACATAAATACAAAATTTAAAAACAGAATAAAACCAAATTAAACAATTTGGCCGAGACAAATTTAAAACACCCAATAATTTTAAAAACAAATTAAAATTTACATTTTAAAGGGGAAAGATTTAGGCCAGGCCGGCTTGATGGAATAAAAAAGTCTTGAGAGCGCGACGGAAGGTGCACAGATCCGGGATCCTCCGTATCTCCGGGGGGAGCTCGTTCCAGATAGTAGGTGCCCCCACAGAGAAGGCTCTCCCCCTGGGGGCCGCCAGTCGACATTGTTTGGCTGACGGCACCCGGAGGAGCCCCTCTCTATGGGAGTGTACCGGCCGGTGGGAGGCTATTGGTGGTAGCAGGCGGTCCCATAAATAACCAGGTCCTAAGCCATGGAGCGCTTTAAAGGTGGTAACCAAAACCTTGAAGCGCATCCGGAAGACCACTGGGAGCCAGTGCAGCTCGCGCAGGAGAGGTGTTACATGGGAACGCCACGCCGCTCCCATAACCACCTGCGTGGCCGCACTCTGCGCCAGTTGGAGCCTCTGAGTGCTCCTCAAGGGGAGCCCCATGTAGAGAGCGTTGCAATAGTCCAGGCGGGAGGTGATGAGGGCATGAGTGACTGTGCGTAAGGAGTCCGGATCTAGAAAGGGATGCAACTGGCGAATCAGGCGGACCTGATGAAAAATGCTCCTGGTCACGGCCGTCAAATGCTCTTCTAATGATGCAATGGTTGTAATTGTGAGGACAGGTTGTAAATCACTTTTTTCAATGGTCACTAAATGAATATTTGTAAAGTCAAGTCAAATAACTGCATTAATGACGCAATTCCAACAATAAGGCAATTTTATTCAGTCCTTCTTAAACATTCTTAGAGGAATTCATTGTGCACAAAACAAAACGATTTATGATGATTAAACTCATGTAAACACCCCTGGAAATTAATTTCACATGACTTAAGCATTTCTCTGCTGGTTTTACCAAGATAGGACATCCAAATCCCCATTTTGGAGGTCATGTAAATAAGTCATAGTCTTGTCTTTAGCATCTTTGAACTTTTTATATGAAAAATTTACCGGCTGTAATTAATTCCACCGACACCTCTAACCGCAGCAATAACATCTGGAGCAAATAGACCAAATGACAAATGTTGAACAAACTGCCAAGAAAATATTCTGAGGTAAATGAACCTCATTTTTAATTCTGCGCAGGCCTTTCAAATGGTTTCTTTGGGACGGAGTGAATTCAAAATAATAAAACACCAAGAGGCCCAGTTTACTCTTACCACTGCCCCCCCCCCATCATAGATGTAAACACCATTTTAAAACTGAAATTGTCTTGGGATATAACTGTTCACAAATAAACAGGTTGCAGTTATAACTATGACCCAACAATTTCCGTGTAATCAAGGCATCCCAATATTTATTAGCAATTAAGTGGGGTCAGAAGCCTTGAGTTGAAAACAGAGTTGAGTTGTGAAGTTTGTTATTTCAGTCAGCAAGTAAAGCTGGGATAAACAAACTTCATGATTATTGAAAGTGTGGAAAATTAAATCCACCTTTCTTAATTCATACCTGTACAATTGGGACAATGAAAATTTTGCAGGATGTCTTTGCCAATTAAATGCACTCAATATCCTATACATTTGTTGAAATAAATACAGTGAGGATTAATTAATAATAGATACTGAGCTGAATTCAGCTTAATCACATTTCTCTTAAACCAAATACTCCAAGAATTCTAAGTCACCTTTATAAATCAGTGTTTTTCAAACTTGGCAACTTTAAGATATGTGGACTTCAACTCCCAGAATTCCCAGTCAGCAAAGTCAGGATGGAGGCCATGTCAGTGAGATTGAAGCTCTGTGATCCACTCTACCCCCTCCCAAAAAAGGCAGGGCTTTGATTGCACTGTTGTGCCCGCCATCTTGACTCTTTTGACCATATCTTGCAGATACCCCTAGAAGTGCACTTCTTTGATGTATTTCTGGGAATTTGGGTTTTTAAAATCAAATTATTGGCCTCAGTACACTTCTCAGATCAGACTGGAGTAGTGCAGAAATCACAGGAATAAATAAATGTTTTAATTCAAAAAATAAATGCCTTAATATTCTTGGCACACACAGACCAACATAGTTCAAATCTAATAACTGAGAAACTATTTTGCCAAGTAATTAAAAGTCAGCATTGGAGAAATTATATCTTGCGTTGACGGCTGGCACTCTCAGGCTAAGAGAAAATATCTCCCAAAAAGTTTGGTTTAGCAGTTAGCGGTTAAGACAACAGGCTAGAATTCAGGAGACTCTGAGTTCTAGTCCTGCTTTAGGCATGAAAACCGGCTGGGTGACTTTGGACCAATCGTCAGGAGACTGTGAGTTCTAGTCCCTCCCTAAGCATGAAAGCTGATTGGGTGATTTCAGGCCAATCACCAGGAGAGGGTGAGTTCTCGTCCTGCTTTAGGTATGAAAGCTGGCTGTGTGACTTTGAGCCACTCAGCCCAACCCACCTCACAGGGTTGTTGTGCGGAAAATAAAGAGGAGAAACAGTATTGAGTTTGTTCACTGTCTTGACTTAATTATAATAAAAAAAAAATAAAGGTGGGATACAAATTTTTGTTTTAAGTGACATTTCCTCTTTTTGGTCCTTCAGGATAACTGTGTGACGGTTCCCAACTCTGGCCAAGAAGACGCTGACAGGGATGGGATTGGTGACGCCTGTGACGATGATGCTGATGGGGACGGGATAAAAAACTCCGAGGTTAGGACGCCTCCTGACAGTGACCCGTCATCTTCAGACCGTTTCTCTCCTGTATTTCCTAAGACCAAAGAATCTTTATTCTAATTTCAAAGTGATCCATTTAGCAGTGGGTGTCCAATCTTGGCAATTTTAAGGCTTGTGTGTTGAATTTATGTTTTACCGACTAAGAAATAAAGGGAGACTAGTATAGAACTAGGGAAGCGGTCTTTACAGCGCTCCGGTATCAGTATATCTCCTAAGTACATACAAATTATTTTCGTTATTCTTCCGCTGTAAAGATCAAAATTGTGATATAAAATGAAGAAAATCATTTAATAAAAACTATTAAAAAAAAAAGATCTGGGGATGCGGTGGCTCAGTGGCTAAGAGGCTGAGCTTGTCGATCAAAAGGTCGGCAGTTCGGCGGTTCGAATCCCTAGTGCCGCGTAACGGGGTGAGCTCCCGTTACTTGTCCCAGCTTCTGCCAACCTAGCAGTTCGAAAGCACGTAAAAAATGCAAGTAGAAAAATAGGGACCATCTTTGGTGGGAAGGTAACAGTGTTCCGTGCGCCTTTGGCGTTTAGTCATGCCGGCCACATGACCACGGAGACGTCTTCAGACAACGCTGGCTCTTCGGCTTTGAAATGGAGATGAGCACCACCCCCTAGAGTCGGGAACGACTAGCACATATGTGCGAGGGGAACCTTTACCTTTACTATAGATCTATTTCAAACTATTCAGCTCCTATCAGCTAGCCATACCCTTCTGGGATTCGAACCCAGACTACTTGTATATTAGGTAGATGTATTAACTTCTAGGCCACGGGCTCTCCTCCCTTTGTCAGCTAATACCAGGGGAAAGATACTTTTGTCATGGCAACCTGGTCTACCCAATTATGGGACAGAGCATACCGCTTCCGTTTTTGCCTTTCAGCCCCAATCCAGAAGCCTTCACAGGCAGTCACTTTTGCGACAAACTATTTTGTGTGTTTGTCTCAAACATTTAAGGCTTGTGGACTTCATCTCCCAGCATGGCTGGCTGGGGAATTCTGGGAGTTGAAGTCCACAAGCCTTAAACTTGCCAAAATTGAACACCTCTGCATTGGAACTTGTACGATGCCTAAAGAGAACATCAACATTTTGGGAACATGATGTTCATTACTTCAGCAGGAGATTTCCCCAACGTATCCTGCTTGCCAGCTTCCCTTGAAACATCTCACTGTGTATTGCAGGGAAAAACCAACATCTCAACAAGCAGGCTTTGTCAGCTACTCCAATTTTTTGTAAAGCCGAGCTGGTTTTCTCGTTTCTTTCCGACTTACGAATCTTTCTCCCTGCAGGACAACTGTGTGTTTGTGCCCAATGCGGACCAACAAAACGTGGATCTAGACAACTTTGGGGATGCTTGTGACAACTGCCGGAATATCAAGAATAACAACCAGTGGGACAGTGATGGCGACGGATGGGGAGATCTGTGCGACAACGATATGGATGGAGACAGTGAGTTTGGGCTTTCTGGGCTCAGAAAGTGGGCCGGTTTAAAATATATATATTTTCTCCAGAGTTTCACAGAGCAAGATCATTACTCTGTGAAACCAGCTTTTCTTGCTTTCTTGAAGATACAGGTAGTCCTCGACTTACGACCGCAATTAAGCCTGGCAATTACGGTTGTAAAGTGAGTCACTGCTTGAGTGGACCTGATTTTAGGACCTTTTTTGTAGCAGTTGTTAAATGAACACTTAACATTAAGCATATCCATTGTTCGTTATGGGGTGCTTTTTTCCTGAAAACCGGAATTAAATGCCGGTTTCCAGAAAATACGTCATAAATCACTGTCACGTGATTGGTAAATATGGGGCTGTTGCCAGGTACCTCAATACTGTTATGTGACTATGAGGGGAGGGGATGACATTGGGATTTCAGAGTCAGGTTATAAGGTTTTGGGGGGGTTCCATTGAAACTATGAATGATCGCTAAGGGACTAGTCATAAATCAAAGTGTCAGGTTACGATGTCGTCTCAAATAAATTGCATTTCCAAACAAATAGTCTTTGATGAAATCTTTCATTTATTGAGCACAACAATCTGTCCCCGAGTCCATCGTAGTCAGCACTGACCTTCTGACCCCAAACCCTCCCTTTCCGTTCCCCAATTCTCTGCGTCTCATTGGCCATCTTCTAAGTCACTCTCCCCATCTCTACTACTTCAGCTCACAGGAATATCCCCCCCTCCCATCTCCTAGGGGATAATATCTTCAGGGAAAATAAGTAGGTGAAGAGTCAAGCATCCTCTTCTCTTCCTTATGTCAGCACTGGAGTGAATGTAGCTTGGAGTGCGGACACAAAGATTATCTCTACCATTTTTATACAAACTATTTTTTAGCTTGCTCTTTGTTAAAAGAAACCTCCCAAATTTATCCAGGCTATGATCTACATAATCTGGCAAGTGTGATGCTGGGGTGCCCCCCCCAAAAAACTCCCAGCCATCACAACTGAGGCTTAAGAGCAGAGACCCCCATTGGTGCTCTCTGGGCCCAGGAACTCCCCACATTCTTTGCTCCTTATAGTTGCTGTTTCATTTACTTCCTCTTCTCCAGAAATTAAAAATGTCTTAGACAACTGTCCGAGGATCCCAAATAGTGACCAGAAGGACACCGACGGGGATGGAGTTGGAGACGTCTGTGACAGCTGCCCCTTCATCAGTAACCCAGATCAGGTGAGACATTGGCTTGGATTCATACAATATGCTAATTGAGTCGCTTAATGATCTAAACAGCTGCGCTTGCTAAGGAGAATAGCAGTAGCATTTATATACTTTATAGCAGGGATCACCAACCTTTCAGACCTCAGGGACCACTAAATTCATAATTTAAAATCCCACGGACCACTAATGTGATCCGCCTAATGACCAGCTGGGTGCGCATGGCTAGGTAGTCATGTGACTGAGTGGGCATGGCCAACTCGATGTCACTTGTGCCGAGGGGAACCTCGCCAGCCTCTACTCACCCCTCCCCTCCCAGCCTCTCCTCGCCTGCCCGCCCGGGCTCCTTAGAAAGCAGTTGTTGGAGCTAAGCAGCCACCACAAAAAAGAGCTGGCAAAACAGCTGGCTAAGTTCAAATTGGATCTGGCCGAGAAGGAGGTTCAGCAGAAGCACCTCACTGAGGACTAGGAGCATAGGTTTTCCAAGCAGAGGGAAGACCTGCGGGAGTGAAGGCCAGGTACCTGCGCCTGGAGGCTCAGCGGGCTGAGATGGTCAGCCAGTTCCAGGCCATGAGGCAGTCCCACTGGAACAAGGCCCTCCGACTCCTTGCCACCAGTAGCGCTTCCCTCCAGCCTTCACCCAAAGCCCTGTACCAGGAGGCTGAAGCAGACTCCAAGTGGAAATTTCTGTCCCCCTCTAACCCGCACAAAAAGACCCCGAAGGAGATTATCTGCAGCAACACTCATTGCACGTATTCGGCCCGGGGCCGTAGTTTGAGAACCCCTGATTTAGTGCAATATAAAAAATGCAAATAATTTTTCTGAGGACCACCAAATTTTTCTCACCAGTTGGTGACCACTGCTTTACAGCACTCTCTGGGCGGTTTACAATATTTGCATTTTTTTGTGTGCACAGGAAACGGTGTCAGAAATGGGTAAAATTCCATGACCTGTTTACATTGCATTCTTTAGAGCAGGGGTGTCAAACTCGATTTCATTGAGGGCCACATCAGGGTTGTGTTTGACCTCGGGGGGGGGGGGGGGCATGGCTAGCTTGACGTCACTCGTGTTGGGGGCACCTTTGGTGGCCAAGTGCTAAGGCAGGACTTCCTTCAGACCCTCCCTCCCTCTCATTATAATCTCCTCCCTTCCCTTCCCTCCTTCCTTCCTTCTTTTTTCTTTCCTCATCATTCTTTCTTTTTCCTTCCCCTTTCCTTTTTTGCTCTCTTCCCCTCTTTCCTTCTTTTTCTGTCTTTCCTCTTTCCCTTTCTCCTTTCCTGTCCTGTCTTGGATGCTCAAATGCAAATCCTTCCAATCAAACCTTCCCTTGAAGTGTAAAGGGCTATTTTAATTGGAATTTCATTACTCATAATTTGGGATGGTGCCCTGACTTTTTCATTCTCCTGGGTGAATGAGCCTGGAAAATCCAGCACAGGATAAAATCTTTTGACTTTTGATTGTGGGAAGCCACCTGCTTCAAATCTTTTTGTAAACAACTATAGCTTAAACAATTCAATAGAAATGTACGTTTAGAGCAAGGGTACGTTTAGGAATCTTAGCCTTTATGGAAAAGATTTTGAAGATAGAAGTGTTGATAGAAGTGGAAAATGTTTCACTTGAAACATTCAAGTATTCCAAGTCTGCATCTGATAAAAGCATCTTAGGGAGGTTTCTAAAGGAAGGGAAATTAAAAAAAAAACCAATTAAAGCTGTTGGTTTGAGCTCCAAGGTTGGCAATTTGGTTGCAAACGTTTCGGCCCCATTTGCTTGTGACCAAATCGCAACCAAATCGTCAACCTCGGAGCTCAAACCAACAACATAGCTACTAACCCGAGCTACTAATATTCCAAAGACATTTCAATTCAATTCAATTCAATTCAATTCAAGAGCCTTGGTGGCGCAGCAGACTAAAGTGCTATTAAGTAGCACCAGCTGCTTGCAATTACTGCAAGTTCAAATCTCACCAGGCTCAAGGTTGACTCAGCCTTCCATCCTTTCTAAGGTAGGTAAAATGAGGACCCGGATTGTGGGGGCAATAAGCTGACTTTGTATATATAAAAAAAGAACACCACTTAGGGCCCCCCGAAAACCCTACCAAGCAGGTATATACAAAAGTATGAAGGCTATTGCTTAACGCATTGTAAGCCGCCCTGAGTCTCCGGAGAAGGGCAGCATATAAATCGAACCAATAAATAAATAAATAAATAAATTAAAACTGTTTTCTACTTTTCGTTACTTAGAAAGATACTGACCACGATCTTGTTGGAGACCCGTGTGACACCAACCAGGACAAGTGAGTTGAAGAATTATCTGCCTTCATTTCACATGTAGCAAGGTTTGAATTTCTGTCTGCATCCTTGCAAGAATAATTGCTCTATGAATCCTTTCTAGCTGGAAGGGAGACAAGAAAGTAGGTAAGTCACACAGAGATGGAGAAAGCAGACTCTTTCGGCAACACCTGTTCCACTGTGTTGGGAAGGCCTTGACAGCTTCAGTCACCACACGGGACAGAAATAAAGACCTTCTGTCTATGGAGATTCTCAGTCATCCAGGTCATGGTTGTCCCAAAAATGCTTTTTCAAAAGGCAACTGGACTTTGTTTTTAGAATAGAATAACAGAGTTGGAAGGGACCTTCGAGGTCTTCTAGTCCAACCCTCTGCTCAGGCAGGAAATCCTACACCATTTCAGTCAAATGGTTGTCCCATCTCTTCTTAAAACACTTTCCAGTATTGGAGCATTCACAACGTCTGGAAGCAAGTTTTCCCACTGATTAATTGTGCTTATTGTCAGTAAATTTCTCCTTACTTCTAGTTTTAATTCTCAATTCTTCTAAGTTCTGAAGAACTGAACTGAAGAAGATTCACAGATGACAAGCAAAACATCTTCAAGGAAAAACAAAGTTCAGTTGCCTTTTGAAAAAGAACCTTCGGGATCATAGCCTTCTCATTTCAAATAGGTGTGCCAACAGTAGTAATTGGGAACAATTTAGGGCTGTGATGGCGAATCTATGGGTGTCACAGCTGGCACACGTAGCCATATTGGTGGGCACGCGAGCGTTGCCCTAGCTCAGCTCCAGCGCGAATGTGTGTGCTGGCCAGCTGATTTTGGGCCTTCTGGGCCCAACGGAAGTCGGCGAACGGGCTGTTTCCAGCCTCCAGAGGACCTCCGGGGAGGTGGGGAAGGCTGTTTTTGCCCTCCCCAGGCTCCTAGAAAGCCTCTGGAGCCTGGGGAGGGCAAAAAAACCGGGTCTATTGTGCCCACCATGCCATCACATGCCAAAAACAGGGGGAGCATGGGGGGTTCACGCACGTGTGCGTGGGGGGGACAGGGCGCATAGAATTATGGATGTGGGCACGCATGCGCGCGACCACCCCCCACTCCCCCAGCTTTTGGCACGCGATAGCAAAAAGGTTAGCCATCACTGATTTAGGGGATGCTGAACTTGGACAAAGATGTCCCTTTTGTATAATTCTCTTATTTCACTCATCACCCAACTCTTAAGTTTTCTTTTCTTTCCTGTTGGCAGAGATGGAGATGGGCACCAGGATTCCCGCGACAATTGTCCTTCGGTGCCTAACAGCTCCCAACTGGATTCTGACCAGGATGGGCTTGGAGATGAATGTGATGATGATGATGATAATGATGGCATCCCAGATCACAAGCCCCCAGGACCTGACAATTGTCGTTTGGTCCCCAATCCTGGCCAGGAGGACACAAATCGTGAGGACAACATGCTTTCTCTCTCAATTTCTTCCTTTATAGGGAAGCACAAACATGGAACAGTTTGGTGTCCACAACTGAGTTAAAATAATCCTGGATTTGGAAAAAGGCCATAGTCCCTCCCCCTGACCAACTTAGTATTGACAAGAACAGGAGTCTCCAAGTTTGGCAACTTTTAAGACTTTGGTCTTAAAGTCTTTGGTCACCATAGGACAGAAAGCTGATATAAACTTAAATAAATATACACTACATATTTTGAGAGTTGAAGTCCACAAGTCTCAAAATTGCCAAGTTTGGAGAGACCCTTGCGCTAAAACAGTGTTTCTCAACCTTGGCAATTTTTAAGATCTGTAGACTTCAATTCTTAGAATTCCCCAGCCAGTTAACTTGAACGAAGCATGTCTGAATACAACTGGAAAAGGTTGTTTTCCTACTCTCCCAAAGGGCTGTTGTTGAGACCTTGTGGAACAGCAACTTGGACATTGGAGAGAGAAGCTACAGCTACTTCCAGGAAAAGTTAAGAATACTGGAAGGGTTAGTCCAGTGTTCTTCAAGCATAGCAGCTTTAAGAATTTTGGTGGTCGAAGTCTACATGTCTTAAAGTTGCCAAGTTGGAAAACACTGGGTTAGTCTAGAGCAGAGGTCTTCAAACTTGGCAACTTGTGGACTTCAACTCCCAGAATTCTCCAGCCAGCATAGCTCTAGAGGATAAGTTTTCTAAAAACACTGACTACTTTAGGAAGTATAGCTGAAGATGTTTGGCAGGTAGAAACAGGAAGAGAAAGAGATAAAATTAAACAGAGAAGGGAAGAACGGAGATCTCCAAGGTTGAGAAACACTGCCTGGAGGCATCTCTACTTTTCCAACCAGCTGTTGGAAAAGTAGAGGTGAAGAATTCACCAGTTTAGGCTAATAGATCAAAGATAGGAAGTTTCTCCGACATCTAACCCAAACTTCCTTCCTTGTCATAATATTCTACTTCTAATCCTACCTGTTGGAGCTATGGAGAATAAATCCACTCCCTCTTCGTGATGACAACCATTCAGATATTTGAAGCCCTCTATTCTCCCTTTCTTTAACTGAATTTTTCGTAGGTCAAATATTGTACCGAGAAATAACATTTAATCATTCTATGTAGGGCTTAGTTTTCAGACCCTTCAGCATCTTAGGAGCTCTCCTTTGAATAATTTGTCATTGTCCTAAACTGGACTCTCTTCTCTAAATGGGTTCCAGCCAAGCCACAGTAGAGGGGAACAATTATTTCCCACAAACTGGACTTTATTTCTTCTTGTTACACTCGAAGATAGCAAGTGTCACTATCCATTTTCACTTCCAGTCTGTTTTATAAATTCACATACAGGGAAAAATGAGATTGTAACGTAATGATTTGTACCAGTTCTGTTTTGAGGAAGGGGGGGAATTTCTAAGTTTTGCGTAATAGCAATAGCACTTAGACTTATATACCGCTTTACAATGCTTTACAGCCCTCTCTAAGCGGTTTACAGAGTCAGCCTATCGTCCTCCAACAATCTAGGTCCTCATTTTACCAACCTCGGAAGGCTGGAAGGCTGAGTCAACCTTGAGCCTGGTGAGATTTGAGCCGTCAAATTGCAGGCAGCTGACAGTCAGCAAAAGTAGCCTGCAGTACTGCACTCTAACCACTGCCCCACTGTGGCTCTAACGAGAACAGAAAGCAAGTCATTTGCAGGGGGGGAAAAAGACTTTGATCTGGATTTATTGCACTGTATGACTGTAAACATGCATGGTTAGGCTGGTGTGTGATGCTTGTGGTCCTAGTTCTGCTTTTGAACCCAGGGCAATTGTGGAAAGCTGATTCCCCACTCTCTCTTCTGCAGGAGATGGTGTCGGAGATGCTTGTCAGGGTGACTTTGATAAGGACCACGTGATTGACCGGATTGACGTTTGCCCTGAAAATGCTCAGGTGACGCTGACTGACTTCCGGGCCTTTCAAACTGTTGTGTTGGATCCTGAAGGCGATGCCCAGATAGACCCCAACTGGATTGTCCTCAACCAGGTTAGCTATCAGTTCTGAGGTTTTTTTAGTGATTTCCTGGTGTGCTTGCTCTTGTTTTTGGCCCCGATGATGCTTTGCACTATTGAAAACTCTTCTGGTCCTGAAGAACGACTGCATTACTCTCAAACGTCTATGGAGATTCCCAAAGGTGCTTTTTTCAAGAGTCCAAAAGCTGAAGAAGCACTTGAATGAGAAGCGAAACGTCTTCAAACAAAAACCAGACACTCCAGTGGCCTCTTGAAAAAAGCACCTTTGGGGTTACTCTCAAATATTCTGATGAAGGGCGAGTCCAATTCTTCTAGTCTTACACACATCGGAGGCCTTTCCCTCAACAAAGTACCAAGTGGTACCGAAATTTTCACAGCTGTACTTTCCAGCCAGCACAGCCAATGGAGAGGTTGACAAGGCATTATGGGAACTCTGCAAACCATATGACTGGGAATTCTGGGAACTGAAGTCTAATTCAGCTTTGGTTGGGAAAGGCTAAGTTTCCGTGATGGGAAATATTTTTGATCGGAGGAACTTTATGTCTTGCTTTGGTGTGGGATATCACTTACCTTCCTGGGCGAAGATGATTCAAGGCTGCTGGTGGTGAAGTCTTGGCTGCAAGGACACGGGTCTGTTCTTCATTCAGTTCATGGTGCAGGAGAAAACCAGGGTCTGGTCTAGGGCAACTCTTGTTTCAATAATTTTGGGAGACTTCCTCCTTTTTCAACTCCCCTACTCTTCTCCGAGTCACTCCCAAGTTGGGGAGTAACAGAGGAGACTTGTGGCCCTATCCAGCTAAAGCAGTATTTCTCAACCATGGCAACTTTAAGATGTGTGGACTTCAACTCCCAGAATTCCCCAGCCAACTGGCTGGGGAATTCTGGGAGTTGAAGTCCACACATCTTAAAGTTGCCATGGTTTTGAGAAACACTGGTCTATAAAATGGCCACAAGTAGTCAGATCAAACAGGGAGTGTCTTGTTGAGAGACTACAGGTAACATTCTGTGAATAAAAAGGTTTTTATAACATTTTCCCAATAGCCACTTTGTCGAAGGGTAAAAAAATCCCATTTTGCTATTTGTCATTTTCTGACAATACCCGCCCGTTCTCAAAATTCAAGATAGAGGTTGGAGTCTCCGGATCTATAGCATTAAAAAAAAAAAGAAAATTCTTATTTTTGCAGGGCATGGAAATCGTGCAGACCATGAACAGTGACCCAGGTTTAGCTGTGGGTAAGTTACAGTTTAAGCTCTGAAAGAAAGCAATCACTTAAAAAATATTTGCAACACCCACAGGTAGTCCTTGACTTACAACCAGAGTTGAGCCCAAAATTTCTGTTGTTAAACAAGACAGTGATTGGGCTTTGCCCCATTTTATGAACTTTCTTGCCATAGCTATTAAGTGAACCACTATTGCTAAGTTAGTAACACAGTCATTAAGTGAATCTGGCTTCCCCATCGATTTTGCTTGTCAGAAGGTTGCAAAAGGGGATCACATGACCCCGAGATATTGAAACCGTCTTAAATATGAACCAGCTGCCAAGCGTCGAAATTTTGATCACCTGACCATAGGGATGCTGCAATGGTCATAAATGTGAAAAACGGTCAGAAGTCACTTTTTTCAGTGCCGTTGTAAGTTTGGTCACTAAATAAACTGTTGTAAGTCGAGAACTACCTGTACAGGATGCAGAAATGCTCCTTCTTGAGGTCCTCATGCTGCAACGTTCACTTTTAAGAGACAGTCCTAGGGAAGAAATTGCAATCCTTGGGAGCCAAGAGTTAGAACTTTTAGTGGTGGGGTCAGTGTACAAGTTCCAAGTAGACGGGGCCAGGTCAAAGTTTTATTTTCCTCTGGCCCAACTCAAACTGAAGCAAAAGTCATGACACAGCATGGAATAGGTTTACTTCCGTGTGATCATTTCCTTCTTCAGACCCATTACACGTAGTCCTCGGCTTATGACTGTAATGGAAGACTGTCCATTATGTTCAGAAGTTGTGATGGTTGTAAAGTGGCTCACCCATGGGATCAACCCAATGTGACAATTTTTGAAGCAGTTGTTAATAGAATAGAATAGAATTTTTATTGGCCAAGTGTGATTGGACACACAAGGAATTTGTCTTGGTGCATATGCACCAAGTGTACATAAAATAAAAGATACGTTCATCAAGAATCATAAGGTACAACACTTAATGATAGTCATAGGTTACAAATAAGCAATCAGGAAACAATATCAATATAAATTGTAAGGATACCAGCAAGGTTACAGTCATGCAGTTGTAAGCGGGAGGAGATTGGTGATGGGAATGATGAGAAGATTAATAGTAGTGCAGACTTAGTAACTAGTTTGACAGTGTTGAGGGAATTATTTGTTTAGCAGAGTGATGGCGTTGGGGAAAAAACTGTTCTTGTGCAGTGCTCTATAGCGTCGTTTTGAGGGTAAGAGTTGAAACAGTTTATGTCCAGGATGTGAGGGGTCTGTAAATATTTTTGACTCGTGCGGTATACAGGTCCTCAATGGAAGGCAGGTTGGTAGCAACTGTTTTTTCTGCAGTTCTAATTGTCCTCTGAAGTCTGTGTCTGTCTTGTTGGGTTGCAGAGCCAAACCAGACAGTTATAGAGGTGCAGATGACAGACTCAATAATTCCTCTGTAGAACTGGATCAGCAGCTCCTTGGGCAGTTTGAACTTTCTGAGTTGGCGCAGAAGGAACATTCTTTCTAAGCAAACCAGTTGTTTGCTATGGAATGTTTTTTGCTAAAAACTGGAAATAAAGGCCAACTTTTGGCAAAACCATCGCTAAGACATGGACCTGTGACGGCGGGATGCTGCAAACAGCCATTGCTGAGCGCTGGTATACAGTCACATGACCATGAAGGGGGCGGTAGCTGTTGGAACTTCAGAACTGGGTTGTAAATACCCCTGGGGATGTCTGTCCTAAATTTGAACGGTCACTAAGCGATCGGTCATAAGTTGAGGGCTACTTGTAACGACAATTGAGTGAGGATTGCGGGCACGGCTGGCAGGAAAGCAACGTACAGTCTGGGGAATTGGGCTTTGCATCCTCAGATGCAAATCTCCAATCCGTGAACTTCGTTTTGGAGCTGGTGCGAGGAGAGCTAGGCTGTTGCAATGGAAAAGGCTTGCGTCAACAGGATTAACAGGATTTGGGGGAGGCCATTCAGTTACTTGAAATGAGGCATGTGCACATCTTGTAAGAAATGTACACACGAACTGCACAAACCGGGGAAAAGGCAGGTGGGAAAGCACAGGGTTGGGTTGGGAACAGAGAGGCTGCTTCTAACGCCTCCCCACTGGGAAACCAAGCAATGATTAAAGTGTCTGGGATTCTTACGGCGAAAAAAGCTCTCTCTAAGAGGAAGCATCTCAGATTGAGCCTCCCTCGTTCTCTTCAACATAGAGGCAGGAAGGGCGGGAGGGGACACACATCAGAATAATAGAGTTGGAAGGAACCTTGGAAGTCTTCTAGTGCAGCTCCCTGCTCAGGCAGGAAATGGTATCATTTCAGACAAATACTTGCCCAATCTTTTCTTAAAAGCCTTCCAGTGTTGGGAGCACCCACAACCTCTGGAGGCAAGTTATTCTACTGATAGTTCTCACTGACAGGAAATTTCTCCTTAGTTCTAGGTTGCTTCTCTCCTTGATTCGTTTCCATCCAGTGCTTCTTGTCTCGTACAAGTCTAAATGTATTTTTCCGTTCCCTGCCTTTATCTTGAAAAGAACTAAGGAGGGTCAAATCTGAGAAGCTTCCTCAAATTACCTCCCTGCTTTAGACTGAGATTTGTCTTCTCTGACTGTTTTCTTGGTTGTGGGCTTTTCTTCCTATTCCTCGAGGCTGTTCTATCAAGGGTCTTTGGTGAGCACTGATCTTGGTTATCTTCTTGGAGTCGTTTCGTTAGCCACACTAGGTAACATCATCAGTGCTAGTAAGGAGTGGGGTTTTCTCTCAGTTAAGAGACAGACAGACAGACAGAGAGAGAGACAGACACGGAGAGAGAGACAGAGTGAGAGAGACAGAGAGAGAGACAGAGAAAGAAAGACAGAGAGACAGAGACACACAGAGAGAGACAGAGTGTGTGTGAGAGAAAGAGAGACAGAGAGACAGAGACAGAGACAGACAGAGAGAGAGACAGAGACAGAAAGAGAGAGAGACACACAGAGAGACAGAGAGAGACAAAGACAGAGACACAGAGAGAGAGACAGAGTTTGAGAGAGAGAGACAGAGAGAGAGACAGAGAGACAGAGAAAGACAGAGAGAGAGACAGAGAGAGACAGACACACACAGAGAGAGAGACAGACACAGAGAGAGAGACAGAGAGAGAGACAGAGAGAGAGAGACAGAGAGACAGAGAGAGACAGAGACAGAGAGAGAGACAGAGACAGAGACACACAGAGAGAGACAGAGACAGTGTGAGAGAGAGAGAAACAGAGAGACAAAGACAGAGAGAGACAGAGACAGAGAGAGAGAAACACAGAGAGAGAGAGACAGACACACACAGAGAGAGACAGACACAGAGAGAGAGAGAGAGAGACAGAGTGAGAGAGACAGAGAGACAGAGAAAGAGAGACAGAGACAGAGAGAGAGACAGAGACAGAGACACACAGAGAGAGACAGAGACAGTGTGTGAGAGAGAGAGAAACAGAGAGACAGAGAAAGACAGAGAGAGACAGAGACAGAGACAGAGACAGAGAGGGAGAAACACAGAGAGAGAGAGAGAGAGACAGACAGACACACACAGAGAGACAGACACAGAGAGAGAGAGACAGAGAGACAGAGAAAGAGAGACAGAGACACAGAGAGAGACAGAGACAGTGTGTGAGAGAGAGAGAAACAGAGAAACAGAGAAAGACAGAGAGAGACAGAGACAGACAGAGAGGGAGACAGAGAGAGAGAAACAGAGAGAGAGAGAGACAGACAGACAGACAGACAGACAGACACACACAGAGAGAGACAGACAGAGAGAGAGAGAGAGCAAGAGCAAACCTCATTCCTTACTAGTCCTGATGATATTACCTAATTGGGTAATGAAACGTCTTCAGGAAAACAACCAAACTCAGAGAGCACCAGAGACACCTTCTTTCAACTCTTGAGCTACAAATATTCTTTTACTGCTATCCTCAAAGTCTTTATGACATGAGCTACAAGAAATAAAAATGCAATATATTATTGTGACGCCCTTCTGTCTCCTCTCCCCTCGGGTTCAGGGTACACGGCATTTAATGGGGTGGATTTTGAAGGCACCTTCCACGTGAACACGGTCACGGATGACGATTACGCAGGGTTCATCTTTGGCTACCAGGATAGCGCCAGCTTCTATGTGGTGATGTGGAAGCAGATGGAACAAACCTACTGGCAGGCCAATCCTTTCCGGGCTGTGGCAGAACCTGGCATCCAGCTCAAGGTAAGGGCAGAGTCCGCCATCTGGCTCCCTTCTCATCACGGCTCAACCAGGGAAGAGGAGCAGGAGAAAAAGCATTTCAGGACACATTCTGAATCTCTCTGGCAGCCTTCTAAAAATTCAGAAGGAGAAATGGTGGCGTGTACATCTCCTCTGCTCCGGCACTGTAGCAGGAGTGGGAAAAAGGGCCGTTATATCCCTCCTGCTTTTCCCTTTCAGGCGGTGAAATCAAAGACCGGCCCTGGAGAATACCTGCGTAACTCACTCTGGCACACAGGGGACACAGCTGACCAAGTCAAGTTGCTGTGGAAAGACCCCCGGAACGTCGGCTGGAAGGATAAGACTTCTTACCGCTGGTTCTTACAGCACCGGCCCCAGGTGGGCTACATCCGGTAAGGAAAGACCGATAGAATCTCGGTAGCTCAGGGTTGAACGGTGCGGTCCTTGGTGTCCCTGAGCTTGGTGGCTTTCTTGCAGACGTTTCATTACCCAACTAGGTAATATCATCACTGCACTTGACTCAAGGGTGGGTTCTACATTTTTTTACTACTGGTTCTGCGGGCGTGGCTTATTTTGTGGGCGTGGCTTGGTAGTCATGTGACAATTCTTTAGGATTTAGCAGAGGTACTGGTCTACCAGGCTTTTAACTGCTTGCAGAGCTGTACCAGTCTACCCATTTATTTTTGCAGGCACCGATCTACTCATTTGTTTTCTTTTAACACTGATCAGCTGTAGGGCGGCCCTTTGAAGCCCCGCGGCAAGAGTTTAAACAGTTTTTTTCCTTCTAGCCGATCAGCTGGGATTCAGGAGGCAGCAATAGATTGGGGGTGGGGCCAAATAAAAGGTAAGAATAATGCGGGGGGGGGGCAGAACCGCTTTGGTGACGTCATATCATCACCGCTACCGGCTCGACGGAACCGGGCCGAACCAGGAGGAACCCACCACTGACTTGACTGCACTTTGAGCACTCGGAAATACAGGCTGCATTTATGGCTGTTTGCAGCATCCCTTGGCCATGTGACCCATGTTTTACGAGTGTTTTGCTGAAAACTGGCGCTTCCAGTTTTCAGCAAAACTGCCAACAGCGGGTTTGTTTAACAACCACCGTGTTTAACAACTGGTGCAAAAAAAAAAAAGTTGTAAAAATGGGTCGATATTGTTCCATTTTACAACCGTTACGATTGGGGTTGTAACTGCAGGACTATCTGTAGTCAAGGTTTAATGGCTTGTTTGAAGAGAATTTTATATCATTCCAAGATTTCCAGACTGACTTTCAAGAGAACTTTTATATTTAAGAGTTTGTAGAACACTGAGGCATTTAAAAGATGCAGATATATATACCATTCTTCAAAAATTTCCTGAAATCTGTCAAGATTTCCTACCAATGTTTATAGCTTCATTTCGTCAGTTGAAGCAATGTAATCTCTTAAATTCCTTTGTGAAGTGGTGGAAAATGCCTTAAGCGGTGCTCGGAAAGTCTTCAGCAAGACCTGCAGTAGGCTATTCCCCCTTATTAAAAGATATTTATCTACCACAGAAGGCTCTGAATTATTTACATAAATAGTGGGCAATTTATCCCTTTTCCAGTTTCAAGATAAACTTGCAAAGTAGTCCAAGGTTTAGCTGTTGTGTTTTAGAGATTCGACAGCAGGAGTCTTACAGGATAGGATCAAACAAAGCAAGACTGTGGCCAACGATAGCGCAATTGAAGTTCCACCTATTTCTATGTGCATCACAACGCACACAAAATGGGTGGAATTTTATTGTACATCACATCATCTTTTTAACAGGACCCTCATTGGAGACCCTAGAACAGGGGTGGGGAACGATGGCTCTTTGATGACTTGTGGATTTTAACTTCCAGAATTCTGGAGGCAGCATGGCTGGCTCAGGAATTCTGGGAGTTGAAGCCCACAAGTCATAAAGAGGCCATTGTTCCCCACCCCTGACCTACAACAGAACAACGTTCAAGGCAAGATTCCGTAGGACTCAGGATAAACATTGTGACTCTTGAGAAATAAGCTAACTCCTTCTCCGGATTTGTACTTCAGGACTCGGTTCTATGAGGGGTCTGAGGTGGTGGCCGACACTGGCATTGTCCTCGACACAACTATGCGAGGGGGCCGTCTGGGGGTCTTCTGCTTCTCCCAGGAAAACATCATCTGGTCCAACCTGCGGTTTCGCTGCAATGGTGAGTGAGGCTCGACCTAATCCTGTCACTTGTCCCCCAGGGCCGCTCTGACTCCATTGGAGACGTGGTGGCACAATGGTTAGAATGCCGTAGTGCAGGGCTAACTCACTGCTCACTCCAGGAGTTCGATTCTGAGCGGCTTAAGGTTGACTCAGCCTTCCATCCTTCCGAGGTGGGTAAAATGAGGACCCAGATTGTTGGGGGCAAGAGGCGGACTCTGTAAACCGCTTAGAGAGGGCTGTAAAGCACTGTAAAGCGGTATATAAGTCTTAAGTGCAGTTGCTATCACTGGAGGAAGCGTAATCCACAGCTGGAGGATTGGGAGAGTATTCACAACCCAGAGCTCCCTTGCTCTGGATCGTGCAGTGGCCTTTAGCATCCCTCTGAGGGGTTCCCCCTGGGAGCCCCCATTAACGTCAAGAGCATCTAGGCCTGAATTTGGCTCCTGACCTTCTCTTCTGGTTCACACGCTCTCTCTTCCTCTTCTCTTTCTTAGACACGATTCCTGAAGACTACGAGGCTTACCGGAACCAACATGACTACTAAATGCTACTGCCGCTGGCTGAAAAGAGACTTGTTGCGCCCGCGCCACATGCACTGCTTCCGCTCCCTTCAAGATATAGCAAATGGTGAACCGTCTCTTCGTACGTGGCAAGCACCGTGTCCGCCAGCCCCTGTAGCATCCCCACTACTCTTCCTAGAACCAACCTCAGCCGAGATCTGCTTCCGCAGGACTCCGAGGACCCTCACTGCTTGACATAGCGCAGAAGAGCCGTTCATGCTCTGTGGCAGCTGCTAACAAGGGAGCCCTCCTGGAAGGCTGAAGGGTCAACCACCAAAGATGTGGCTTCTTTGGGCATCCTCCACTGGGTTGTCCCCTGCCCTTGTCTTGCATCCTTTTGGGTCAGCCACTGCTGATGCTGAGGTGGGACACGGGCAGCCACCTGTTGTGGCCTCCCAGATTTCGCTGCATGACCTCTACAAGAGAAGGAAGGTGCCTTTGGGGTCTCACTCCGGGTATATACAGGCAGTCTTCAACTTACGATAATTGAGCCCCACATTTCTGTTGCTAACCGAGACATTTGTTAAGTGACTTATGCCCCATTTTATGACATTTCTTGCCAGAGTTTTTAAGTGAACTACTGCGCTTGAATAAGTTAGTTATCACAGTTGTGAAGTGAATCTGGCTTCCCCATTGACTTCACTTGTCGGAAGGTTGCAGGTGATCACATGACCCCCGGAACGCTGCGACTGTCATAAAACATGAACTAGTTGCCAAGCATCCACACACCCCCAACCATGGGGATGCTGCAACGGTTGTATGAAAAATGGGCATTAAGTCACTTTTTTCAATGCCGTTGCAATTTTGAATGGCCACTGAGCGAATGGTTGTAAGTCGAGGAGTACCTGCACAAGCTGAGGCTTCTCTTTGATTCAGGAATTCACCACCGCCACTCCCAACAGCTGATGGGAATCTGTCTGGTTTGGAAGCCATGCAGGCGGCCTTCAAAACCTCCAAGCATTTTGGGCAGGGAGCAAACCTTAATAGTAGAATGCTGGCTTTGCACAGAGAAGTCCCTGGGGCCACACCTCCAGTTACGAGGGAGCAAGTGATGAGCAAGTCTCTCTTGGCTTAAGTCCTGGAGAGTAAGTGCTTTCTGGGCTACATCTGATCTTGGATAAGGCAGTTAAGTTTCCTAAACTAATACACTTAACCCAATAATCCAAGATGCTTGGCTCATTCCACTAGAGCAATATTTCCCAACCCTGGTTCACTTGAAGATGTGTGGACTTCAACTCCCAGAATTCTATTCAACCCAGCTATGCTGGCTGGGGAATTCTGGGAGTTGAAGTCCACACATCTTCAAGTGGCCAAAGTTGAGAGGAAAAAACTGCATTAAAAAAATGTAGCTCTTCATTGTTTAGGAGAAATTCGGAGAGCCGTTTGTACAAATACAGACTGTTTGGTTAATAAAATAACATTTGTCTACCAAAGGTTAAGTTGTATTTATTATCTGCCACTCCTTTCGGAAGAGGTTTGGAAAAGGGGAGGGGAAAAAAAAAAAAGCTAGCCAGGCATTCAGCACAGGAGATGCACTTCGAAACGACAAAACTTCTCAATTTTTGATATAAAACACTTTGATTAAACATTCTTCAGAAAAGCAGAGCTGAACAGCCGGAGAGAAAAACAGCTTAACTTTATTACATTTCATTTACAAATAATGCAAAGTTACAAAGACAAAAAAAAAAAAAAGCCTTCACAGAAAAAAAGGGAAACAAACAAACAAAAAAGAGAGGTTGAAAAGAATGTGCACAGAATTTTGCTTTTTTTTTTCTTCACATCGTCATGTTCTTAAGTTTGCAAAAGGAAGAACACACACACACACACATACACACACACATACATACACACACGCACACGCTTACAAAGCCATCTTCAGGGCTTTTTTTTTTTTTTTTTTTTTTTTTGCCAAGAGAGAAAAAGCCACAATAAATTAAGCCTCAATGCTCCAGAGTTCAGAACTTTTTACTCCTCCTGCCCAAGTCCTCCCCCCTCCCCCAGAAAAACCTGTAGCTCAATGGTAGGATTTGCATATATCGGTAAAGTCATTCTGCTAGTCCTCATGGATTAAAAAACAAAACCCCTGTAAACAGGATGTTACACAGTTCAAACACCAAAAATAAAACTAAAAATAGACTGTTCCCCCTTCAGTTCACCCCCAAATATGAAGTGTGTACGTTGTTTTTAGCTGCCTGTCAATAGGAGAAGCTGCTCTGGGAGCTGAATTTACATGATTTGGATAAAACTTCTTTTTTCGTGCTTTCAGATACCCCGTAAGAAATTTGGGGGAGGGGGGGAGACATGAATTTCCTCCCCCAAAGAAAGCCATGTCTCAATAGCTACCACGCTACTAGCTAGAATTAATTAGATTTTAACTTGCTAACTTTAGTCCAATGTTCCGGATGCTTCCAGGAATACAGTTCAAAGTTGTACTACAAACACAGATAAACGTTAAATGTGCAACTGCTTATGCCCACAGTTAGGAACTACTTAATGGTGGAAAAGATTGCATTCCCCAAGAAAGAAACGCAAAGCCTACAGAATAAAATACTGTTGTTCTGAGCCGCAGTGGCCTCTCGGTTCATCCCCAATTCAAAATAAATTCTGCGGAATCGGGGTGGCCACTTCAAGCACTGGTTCACATCTCCAATTTTTTGGTGCTGGAGGCGCTGGGAAAGCCTGCCGCGGCCCAGTCCTCTGCATCTCCTTCTTTTCCCTGCCTTTGATCCACCACAACCAAGAGACAATACCTGAAAGCCACACACACCTTATAGTTCTGCGTAGTCTCTCACTGCAAGCTTCCTACAGAATAATAAATAACCTTCCTTTCACAGCAAAAAAACAAAACAAAACCTTCCAAAAAAAAAAAGAAGAAAAGGAATGACACGCGCAGAATTGCAGAGAGTTCTTTTGCCTACAATTATTAGCAGCTGAAGAAATTTAGTCATGACCTTTCAGAAACCGAATGCGAAATAATCTCATAACCTACAGTATTATTGACACTGTGATATGCAGCTGCATCGGAACAAATAAGAAGACACACACAACTAGTGGTGCGACTAGTCCTCATGCTTTTCAACAATCCACTAAAACAAGATCTTTTTTTTTTTATGATCCCCCCCCCTCCCCTTTTCTTGATTCCAAGAAGCTTCTTGGATGAGAAGCGAAACGTCTTCAAGGAAAAATAAAGTTCTGAAAAAGCACCTTTGGGGACAAGCTTCCCTCAGTTAGCGGAAGCTTTGTGTATGCACACAAACGTTTAGAATCTACTTTGTCGTCGTGCCTGCACAACGACAAAAGAAAAGGTGATAAAAACGAGGCTAGCGGCCAAATGTTCTGAGCTCCACAAAACAGGAAATTTTATTCCACATTGTTTGGAGGCCACAAAACTGGCTGGATTTTGACTTAAGTTAATTCTTTCAAGCTACTGAAATTCAAAGGAGAGGAAAACAGCAAGTGAAATATTGTCACCCTAAGTTCTACATCCCCTTGGGCTTTCTTTTCCAAGTAGCTAGCCAAGCAAACCAGCCACACAATGGAAATGTTGTTAGCAATTCTCAAGCCAATAGCCAGAAAAGGATAAATTTACTCCTGGCTGTGTTGTTCGTGGGCATCAGTGGGGTTGTGGAGACTTTGCTGCTTCTCTGCTGGTTCATTTCTTGCGGCTGGCAGTTTGTGCAGGCAGGGGTTATAAATATATATTTCTATTGCTTGACGTGGCAATTTTAGAAATACTTTTTTTTTTTTTTAAATACATCCCCTTGGCCAATTTTTCTTTGTTTACGAATAGCCCTCAGCATGAATTACAATCCTTGACTTATGACCGTAATGGAGCCTGGAATTTCCATCGTAAGTCATGATGGTTCCAAGTTGAGGCTCCCACCTGACCAGACCTGATGTTACGGCATTTTTGTGGCAGTCATCATGCCAGCCTCCCTTTCTATTTGATAAACCAGAAAGTGGTCAACTTCACAATACTTGTGGGGTGTCGTCCCCTCCCCCCAATTAAGGCTGGGCTCATACAATCTACTAATCCCAGGTGAACAAAGCACAAGAATTGTGTTTTGTAACATGCTTACGATAAATTAAATCCTTCTAACACAACGACCTGCTAAGACAGTGGTTGGGTTTTGAACAATACTATTGAAGCACAAACTACTGGAGCCTGCACAAACACAGCAACTGAACTGCTCTTATCATATTATTTCAACCCCGTAACCCACAGATGGGATCCAGTCGTCTTGCATTTATAGGAAGCTGGTCTAAAGTCTGCCAAACTTCACAGGGTTTAGATGCACGGCAGAAATGGCAGCCTAGAACTGGAGGTGATGCTGAAAACCATCTACTCCAACAGCCAATATGTTGTTATTCTGAATATTCATATTTAGGCAAGACTTGAGTACAGCTTTCCCAAGAGTCCAGGATCCGCTTAAATACATTCAAAGAGAGCGCCCATCTTTTCCTGAAATAGCTAGATTCACTGCCACATGGCCCTTAATGGGTGGAAATTGTCTCTTCGTTTTTAGCACCAGTCAGCTCCCTTCTGTTTCCAGCTGCTTATTCTAGCATCTTCTGGAATAACAGAAAACAAGCCTATCCATCCTGGGTAAAGTCTTACAAAATTCCCTTATTGTTGTTGCTGTTGTTCAGGCGCTAAGTCGCTTGCGACCCTTCACGACCTCATGGGCCAAAGTACGCCGGACCCTACGCTCTCCCGTCTCCTGGAGTTTGCCCAATTGTCCCCTTCTTCCTTTGCCTTCCAACTTTCCCAACATCATTCCAACGAGCCCTCTCTTCTCTTCTGGTGGCCAAAGCATCTGAGCTTCAGCTTCAGGATTTGCCCTTCCAAAGGACGGTCAGGATTGGTTTCCTTTAGGATCGACTGATTTGATCTCCTTGCAGTCCAAGGGACTCCATATTCTTGGGTCCTCCTTGATCTTTTCCCAGTCTAAAGGCTATAATTCACTGGTCTGGTTGCCCTGATTCTTAGAGCCTCCTTCCCTCAGGACAGGCTTCAGTTTATTTTATTATTCATTAAATTTATATACTACCCATCTCTGTTTGGGAAGAATCTAGGCCAGGAGTGTCAAACTCAAGGCCCGGGGGCCAGATTCAGCCCATGGGGTGCTTAGATCTGGCCCGTGGGGCTGCCCTGGAAACAGCGAAGGACCAGCCCATGGTGCCTCTGCCAATGAAAATGGAGCTCGGGAGGGCCACAGGCAGCCTTCATAAGCTTTTTTTGCTGGCAGAGTGCTTGGACCACCACAGACACCCCCGACATGAGTGACATCGAGCTGGCCATGCCCCCCCCCCCGGCCACACACACACACCCCGAGGTCAAACACAACCCTGACGTGGCCCTCACTGAAATCGAGTTTGACACCCCTGCTCTAGGCGCTTTGCCAATAACCCCTTAGAAGTATGGAGTCAAAAATGTTCCTCCAGATGTGCCTTCCAGCACAGAAGGGAAGAGTGGCAATGTGGACGCTAACACATTTCCAGCAGCCACACTTGTGGGGAAAAGAGGGGGGGAAACTTTTTTAAAAAAAGTTTGGAGGGGAGGCAGTTTGGATTTTGTTTGCTCTGAATGTTAGAGCGAGCAGAAGCAGTATTTTGGAGCTTTGTCTTGACAATTTTTTGGGATCTGTTTCTCAACAAAATCGGTTTGTTTCTTAACCCGCTTAACGCATGTTAATAAGCCTAGCAGATGCATTCACACAACATACTGCACTTGGTTAGCTCTCTTCGGAGCCACTTGGCTAGTTTATGGTTCAATAATATTGAGCCGGCCCAGAAAACACATTCATATAGCAACCAGGTTAAGCATCTAGTATAAACACAGTGATAGTGTAGTAAACTTACAGAGATTTTAATGCACCCATTTTGCCATTTTACTTTTTTAAATATGAAAAAAAAAATAATCATGCCACATGAATTCAGCAATTTGCCGTCAAATTTCTATGGACAAGCGAGGGGTAGGGACTATGATTTATAGATATACGTCATTTTCATGCATCGTGATGTGCTTGGCTCCTGGAACCTCTGAAAAGCTTCCCAAAAGAAGATACCAAGACAGGGTCTCATACCAGGAAGGGGGTACTTCAAAGGGAATAAGGATGAAGGCAGACCAAAGAGTATTTTCAGCCCTTAATGACTTGCAAAAGCTCTCCCTAAGAAAATGAAGAGTTGAACTGGACCAAAATGTTCTCTTCCCCCAGCGTATTTATAGGCCGGTGTTTTTCAAACTTGGCCAATTTAAGTTGTGAGGAATCCTGGGAGTTGACGTCCTCTACTACTTAGCTGGTTATTGTCATTCTGATTATTATATCCTTTTTTTAAAAAAAAAAGTCAGTAAATTTATTATGTCGTTGATTTCAAATTTTTTTCAGGCAAAATAGGGCGATTCTAGTAACTTTGCAGCAAATTTCTTTCTTCGCAACATGTAACTTAAATGGAATGTAGTGTTAACAGAGTAACAGAGCTGAAAGGGGTCTTAGAGGTCTTCTAGTCCAACGCCCTGCTCAAGCAGGAGACCCTGTACCATTTCTGACAAATGCCTGTCCAATCCCTCCTTTAAAAACTCCAGTGTTGGAGCGCCCACAATTTCTGGAGGCAAGAGGTTCCACTGACTAATTGTTCTGGCAGGAAATTCCTCCTTAGTTCTAGCTTGCTTCTCTCCTTGATTAGTTTCCACCCATTGCTTCTTGTTCTATCCTCAGGTGCTTTGGAGAATAGCTTGACTCCCTCTTTTTGTGGTAGCCCTTTAGATATTGGAATAGTGTCCATACATCTTAAAGTTGCCAAGTCTGAAAAACAGTGATAGACTGTTCTGTGTTCATGGGACACAGCTGTTTTTGAGTATTTATAGACCCTCTGCCAAATATGCCTTGTGGATATTGACTCTTACTAAATTTTGCTTTTAAATAAAAAAGAATAATGCTCTGTCAAACAGTGACTCGCTTGCATCTCCAAAGAAGTAATACATAACCATCCCTTTTTTTCCCCCAACAGTGAAAACTGGCCAATCTCTCATTTATTTTTATATACAGACATATCATACCAAAAGAAAGAAAGGGGGGGGGAGAAAAGAATGATAGCACAAACAGATTAATAAGTGCCTTGATGTAGTGTTTCTCATCCTTCCTGCTTTTTCACATCTTGCCACAAAGAACCACAAAAATGATAAAAGTTCTGCTTTTAAAAAGATAAAAATGATTCATGTTATTAAATGTCATCATGACACCCTTGCGTTGTGTGAACTGTAGTGTCACACCCACTGTTGCTACTCCTATAAAACACAGAAATGGGTTTTTTTTTTAAAAAAAATATTTTTTTTCCTTTTTATTAAAAAAAAAAGTGTGCATAAGTAAATATTTAAATTGCTCTGTCACAATGTCATCACAGTGACAAGGGAGGTGTGTGTTTTTTCCTTTCCTTCTAAAAACTAAAGCGCCTTCACGGTTTTAAAAGCACAGAGCTTTTATAAGGTCAGGGAGATGCAGCCCCATTTTGAATATTTTGGAACGGTTCAGCCAATGGAGAAGGGAAATGAAAACGGCAGGTTGCAAAGCATCCATCCATGAAAGAAAAAACAGAAATACTTATCTTCATATATATATATATATATATTTATATATAAATCTCTTGGGTGACTACTTAAAAAACAGAAACAAAACAGGAATACCTGGAGACATTACGCTTGCGGAATTACGCTCGTGGAAACTATGTTTCCAAGGAGACTAAGCCCAGAGTTTTGTTAACATGCAGCAGTAACAATAACAAGATGCAGTTTCTTTGAACATGCAATAGCTTGGCCTTGAGCAAAAGGCGAGCTTTGCCCGCCTTCATCCAAAACGTGCTGCTGAAACAGACAAGGGTTTTTTTTTTCCCTCTAAGACAGTCCCAGGGTCCAAGGGGTCTTCCGAAAGCCAACTTGCAAGTGGGATTTACCCTTGACCTGGAATTCTTCTAAGAAGGCCGTCTTTCTCAACTCTGGCAACTTGAAGATGTGTGGACTTCAACTCCCAGAATTCCGCAGCCAGCGGCTAGGGAATTCTGGGAGTTGAAGTCCACACATCTTCAGGCTGCCAAAGCTGAGAAAGACCACCGTATGGGGATGTCCCACCCTCTGGCTCTCATTCTCTTTTTTTCAAACAGAAGACACTATTTAAACAGAGAAATAATTTAACCTCCCTCCTCTGCACTGTCAAACTCAGCTTGGCCCAAATCTCCGTTTCCCCTGAGAGAAAGGATTATTTACACTGAATTCCCCCTTCCTCTCAATCTTAGGATCACCCTGAACCAACAGCAAGTAGAAAAAAAATCAAGATATGTCAAATTAAAGCAAACCCCCTGGTGAACATTTTGATGTGTCCCCCCCTTCCCCCCCGGGAGAATCAAGAGACCTCAAACGTAAAGGTGTCAATCTTCTAGTTTCTTCAGAGGCCCAGAGTGGAAGTGGAGAAGGGAAGAAGAAAAGTTTGGCCAGGGGTAGTTAGGGGAGACAGGCAATGTCCTGCTTATACCACCCAGTCCTTCACGAACCAGCTTATGAAGAGAGAAATGAAGGGTTCCTTTGAAATGATATGGAAATCAAAAAGAAACAAAGCCTCAGGGAGGGGGACAGGTTATTTTCCAGCATGAGGAAAATAAGTCTCCAAAAACTTCCTAAGAGGGGTGTCTTTATTCACAAAATATCCTTCATTCTGTCATAATATTCCTTCAGTCTGACCAGTGGCACTCTGGGCTTGGCTTTAAGGACAAGGCGGGGAATTAAGGCCATCTGGCAGGGCAAATGAATGCATGTCACCCCAGTCCGTAGGAATTGGTGTCTGCCTAAGGAATGGCAGCCTGGAAGCTGATAGACACGGCAGAAGTTCTGAATAAGAGGCAACCTGGTGGTTCCAACAGAAGAGAACAATTGTGGCTCAAACTATGAGCTGCAAAACTGAACTTGGGGTCCTTAGTGCTCTCTGGGCTTAGTTCCTTTCTTGCAGACATTTCATTGCCAAATAGGCAACATCATCAGTGCTAGAAAGGAGTGGGTTTTGCCCAACAGCCAAATCAAGGGATCACAAAGAACGCTCCCACCAACACCGACAGGGCAAGCCACTCGTATATAAATAAAGAGCAAACACTGATGATGTTACCTAGTTGGGTAACGAAATGTCTGTGAGAAAACCATGAAGCTCAGAGGGCCTCACGAACTGCTGGTTTTCAGATGTTTTGGGTGGCAAAAGCCACAATCCCTTGCCACTGACCATGTTGGCAGGATATTGGAAATGGACAGGAAAAACATCCGGAGAGCCTCAGGCTTCCTCCCTCTCGATTTTAGTATCAGACTCAAACAGGAGCTCCTTTTCGCCCCAAAACTTACTTAATGATCTCGGGCCAGTAATTTTCTCTTGGCTGAGGTTCTCTCTTGTGCTGATCATGAGGCTAAAATGAAGGAACGGGGCAGAGAATTGTCAATCCTGCCCCTAACTTTGGGGAGGGGGGAAGGGGGAATGAAGTCAGATTTTAAGGAATGAAAATAAAGAAGGACCGCTTCATAACTATGTGGGGTCAAATCCAGCTCCAAATTAAGCTCACAGTTAAGACATATCTGTTTTATTTTAAAGTCTTAATTCCCTACCTAAACAACAGGCACCACTTTTTGACAGATTCTTCACCATTCATGCAGACATCAACAATCATAAAAAGGCTTATTTCCCCAGACAATCCCCTCCCCCCCTTTTTTTTTTCATAGAACAAAAACACAAAGCGGAACCCGAAAATATAGAATGCAACTTTGGGGTTTCTAAGCCCTACACGTAACAAGATTCTTTTGCCTTCCTCCCACCCTGCATCAGTTTTGGCAATTTGCAGATCCCGTAACTTGGAGCTCTAGTGCATTTATTCATTATTTTTCTCCTCCCCCACCTCCTTAATCTTTAATGCAGATTTTACTCAAGAATTGAAGGGAGGGAGGGAAGTTTTCCATTTTATAAAGCAACAGAAAGTAAGGTGCGTAAAAAGAGATAACCATAGGGCCCATAATTAATACCTCAACCAGCAAAATCAGATCCACATCACAGCTTAGGTTGCTGTTTAAGTCTTCAATTTCTTCCTTGTTCTACGACCTTTTTTTTTTAAACATGTACTTCCAGCTTCCCCCAGCCTAACAAGGGAAAACTGAAATAATATTTGTTGAAAGCAAATGGTCCCTGATGCTCAGCTATTTCAAATTAAATTGCATTCAGATCAGGTTTTGTCTGTTGGCGTGGATGTCTATGTGTGTGACTATGTACACACATATACATGCACAATCGCACACTGTTATGTATATACATAAATAGTAAATTAAGGCCATTTTGTAAAACTACTTACAATTTATCAATACACAAGTTTTCCTATGTACATGTGTAAATCTAAAAAATGAGAGAGAAAGAAAATAGCCATTTATATCTCCATGTAAAAAAATCCAGCTCAAGAATCAATGAATCTTTCCCAAACTGGAAAGGATTGAGTCAAACTGAGAGGATTCCGCATTTTGCTTTCCAATTGCCCCAAAATTACAGGTCAAGGTTCAAAGGAAATTTTGGCATGCTGATGAAATAAGACGAGAGATCTGACTGAAAACAAACTAACTGTGTTGTCGGAAATGAGAGAGAGAGTTGCAAACGGACTGCTTAGTACCTAGGGCCCTGTATTTAAAGCAGGATAAAGCAGCCTTTTGATTTTTCCGGTGGATTTCCTCTGAGAAACAGCCATAGAAAATTTGAAATAAGCAGACCACTAGGAGTATTAGAGGCGGTCAAACGAAAATACTGACAAGGGTTATGAAATGGAGAGAGCGTTTTTCAGAATTTAGAAGATGGGGTGGAGGGGAACACATCACAGCAAAAAACGTTACACAAAGAACCTACAACACTTTTTTTTCTTTTAAAAAAACCCCCCATCTTTTTTAGTGCAAAAATTATTAAACTGACCATGGCACAAACAAAACATAACTGAACACGTACTCGGAATGGATATCCCTGCTACCTGCATGTGTGCGTGTTTATACACACAAAGATCCAGCTATAACTCATTGGGGGAGGAGAGGGGTAAGTCTGAAAATAGGGAGAGCAAAGAATAGTAAGAGGCATTTGGGGGTGGGGGGGCCTCAAATCTTAGATTCAGGACATATTGTGTGTGGGGCTGTGGGGACCGACCCTCCAGCTTTGGCTAGAAAGAAGGTACTGCAAAGCTAGAGAATACAGAACAACAGAGTTGGAAGGAACTTTGGGGGTCTTTAAATCCAACCCCCTGCCCAAGCAGGAGACTCTACGGTGGCTGAGGAATTTTGGGAGTTGAAGTCCACAAGTTGTAAAAGTTGCCAGGGTTGGAAACCCCTTGGTTTATGGGCCACTGAATCCACCCACTAGCCAGACAAATCTCAGATTGGGATAGTCTAATGGATGCCCTCACCTGAACATGTCCTGGCCTTCTCCTTGTATGGGTGAAGCCACTTGAAAGGATTTACATCTCATCAATATGGAGCACAAAGATAATAACCAGGCCCTGATTTGGTCAGAGGCAGATTATTTCATGCACGAGAGAAAGCTGGGGTGTTCGTTTTTGTTTTAATATATGCAGAACAAGAACTACTTCTTCCCAAGCAAAAGGGGAGGGGGGGAAAGGAGGGGGGAGAGATTGCTGCTTTTAAAAAAAAGTTATTAAAAAAAAAAACCACCAAAAGCAACCTTGCAGGAGACGACCCAGATCTCATTCCTTCAGACAAATTGCAGAATTTCCATGTATAATTAGAAAAACGTTTGTGCCTTCTTTTCCTCCCTCGGCTTGCCTTTGCCTCTCCCTGAAAATTCTTTGAGGGAACAACAACAACAACAAAAATAAGGAAAAAAACAAAACAAAAACAAAACAGTTTTTACACGGTCAGTTTGCCGAGAGGAATTATGTGGCTCATGCAACTAAATCTCCCAAACGGGGGTGGTGGGTGGTGGCGGTCAGACAGCTGTTTCTGAAAGCTGCTGCATGCACACAGGCAAATGAGCTAACAGGCCATGATGGGACTCCAGAAAACAGTCAAGGATTGGAGAATCAAGCAGAGAATTGCAAGCCACTCTTTCACCCCGCTTGCGCCCCCCACCCCACTTCCCAATGCAAGCGGCTGCTTTACGGAGTTTATTCGGAGAGCCACAGCTGGCTTTCTCCACCTCTCCAAGTCCAGTCCTTCTCCATGGAAAGGCAGTGGTATTCACAAAGTAGCTTTAGAAATCATGTCCTTCTCTTTCTCCCCGCTCCAAACTCCCCATTTTCATCAAGCGGTCCCTTAACTCCCTCTGGGCGGGGATGGGGGGGATGGGGAAGCCCTCAGTTCCATGCGGGATGCCTGTTTTTGTAACAGAAGCCAAAGGTCGGATAGTTTACGTACACAAGGAAAACAAAACAATACACCTATTTTATCTTCTGAATAGCTCCTCTGCCTTGGAAAGAGGAGGGGGAGGGGGAAATATAACTTTCGCTGCCACTCCACTTCCCGAACACAAAGCCCAAAGCTTTTAGGGCAAAGGAAAGAGGACCAAAAATGCTGGAACTTTGGTGACAGAGGGAGGGGAGATAAGAAGGGGCTGGGGTAGAAGAGACGGCTCTTTGAGGAACGTTCTCTCAACAGCAAGGCATGAACCAAGGTTTGAAGTTGGTGCTGGGGGAGGAGAGGCGAGCAGGACAGCCGCCAGGCAAGTGTAGAACAAGCGATTGCTAAATTGGACACACAGTGGAGCTGCGGCTCTCCGGGGACCCTGATGGGATGCAAGAGATCTGAGACGGGCTCGGCCCGATCTCCCTCCGAGCACCAGAGTGGCATGGACATTCCGGGACTTGGTGATTTGGATGCGCTCCTTTGGACTGCGTGGCACACCCCCTTTTCCCGTTCTCCAACGCCCCACGCCCCCCTACAGCCGGTCCATCCGGAAAGTGTCCTCTGTGGCGGGATCCGCAAGGACCATGTCAGGGTCGTTGAGCATGTGAAGCCCATCCAAGGTCAAGGGGTCGATTTTTAGTTCGTCCAGAGGGAACTGGGAATCTGAGTCAAAGCCAACATCCCCCACCCCGGCCAAAGAGTTGGTGAGGTCTTTCGACAGACTGGGAGGCGATTCCCCGGTCACTAGAGAGAGAAAGAAAAAGAGAGCGGGGGAGGGAGAGAGCGAGAGAGAGAGAATTTTGATCAAGTTTGCTCAGTTTCTCCTTCAATCTGAGCTATTTATTCTCACCTAATGAAGCTAGTAAAGAAAAAAAAAGGGAGGGGGGGAAAGAGGAATCTTATTACCTGGATGTTTTCTCGCCTAGTCTATCTCCCCCCCAAATGGCATACCATGGGAACCTTCACATCAGCCCATCCCACCGAGTCAGGTAGGCAGGGAAGGTATGTTGCGGACCTTGTCAGCTAAAGAATTCAACTGGTGGTGTCCAGGAAGGCATCTTTCTCTGCCATCTTGCCCCCGCCTGCAGATTATTCTTCCCCAGAGGTGAGAGAGCTCCCCCACAATCTCCTGGCCTTCCAAAAAGGAGTTAAAACATGTCCCCTACAACCTTGCATGGAGAGCATGCAGCCGTGGGGCTGGCTAGTGCTCCGAGAGCCCTCCCTTTGTTGCCTTTTAAATAAATTTAACAGTGTTTTATCATCCTTGCCTCTAACTTTTTATCGATTGCTTTTACAATTTTAATACCTTGCTGTGCACTCCCCAGAGTCCCTCTTTGAGGGAGGTGGAGGGTTTTGAAATGTACTAACTAGCTAACTAACTAACTAACTAACTAACTAACTAACTAACTCCAAGTATGGTAAAAAGAATTCTTTCCTAGCTGATTGTCTCTCCAGTAAACCTGTGATGGGCCCCTGAAAACAGAACCTGCTAAGCAGTGATGAAAGGCTACCGGTTTGCACCAGTTCGGGCAAACTGGTAGCAATAAAAACTACCGATTCAGGCAAACCAGTAGTTAAAAAAAAAAAAAAAGCTACCAGTTCCTCCGAACCAGTATTTCTGATGATCAGCTGTGCCGCGTGATTATGGGAGCAACAGGGCGCTCCCACATAACACCTCTCCTGCACTAGCTGCACTGACCCCTAGTGGTCTTCCGGGTGCGCTTCAAGGTGTTGATTCTCACCTTTAAAGCGCTCCATGGCATAGGGCCAGGATATCTGCGAGACTGCCTGCTGCTACCGATAACCTCCCACCAGCCAGTACGCTCGCACAGAGAGGGCCTCCTCAGGGTGCCGTCGGCCAATCAATGTTGGCTGGCGGCCCCCAGGGGGAGAGCCTTCTCTGTGGGGGCACCTGCCCTGTGGAATGAGCTACCTCCTGAAATACGACTGATCCCGGACCTCCGCACTTTCCGCAAGGCCCTGAAGACTTATTTATTCCAATAAGCTGGCCTAGTTTAAATGGTTTTAATGGGGATTTTTAATCTTTTAATTTTATTGGTTTTTGGGGTTTTAAATTGGGAATTTTTTGATTTTGTAGATTTGGGATTTTAAATTGGTAATGCCGCTGATTTAATCTATTTTAGTTTTTTCTTAACTTTTGTACTATATGTGTTTTAATTTCTGGCTGTCCACCACCCTGAGTCCCCCTGGGGAAAAGGGCGGTATATAAGTTTAATTAATAAATAATAAATAAATTTAAAATCGCTAGAAAGCAGGAAATCCTGCTTTCTAGTGAATCTAAATCATGCGGCACAGCTGATCCCCCCCTTGCTGTTCTGCTTACCTTCCCAAGCCTCCTTTTGGTGCATATTGTGCATGGGCAATGTATGTTTGGTGCACACTGTGCATGCACGCAGCACGTGTTTGGCATGCAACCACACATGTGTGCGCACACAGCGTGTGTTTGGCACAGCCAGCAAACCAATAGCAAACTGATTCAGATTTCACCACTGCTGGGTTTTTTCCTACCAATGAGCCAGCTTAATAAAGAACTTCTGCCTGCCTTTGGGCCCTTTTCGAAGGGACTTAACTGGCCCTCAGTCACTAACGGTTCTTCATCCACTGGTCAAAATACATCTTATTCCTAACCCTAACTCCTCCTAAGGGTAACTGCTGGTCAGCTGTGGTCTTTACTCAGACTCAAAGTGGGCTCAAGTTCTCCACACTGGAAACGGATGGTTCCTCCTGCTATTTCAAGTCCCAAGTGGATGACCAATGGCCATGAGGAGCCAGGGTCCCGTGTGCCAGAGCTGTAGGATAGCACTGAGGAAGACATCTCAGCCAACCTCCTCTTCAGTGCAAACAATTCAGGATTGGTGCAGAATTGGGGGTAGGCTCTGCTTGACCGTGGACAGCTCAACTTTCCTTGAATTCAAGATTCAGCCATTGTATAAATAATAAATAAAAAACAGGGAGTTCACCAAATCTCTTAATTTTTTTTTTAATGTTCTCACTTCTGAAATGTTGGGGATGTCATTGCCAAAAACTCACACATGATCTAAGAGAGCTTTAAATTCCCTTTCTGATCTTTGCTACAAGTAACAAGATCCATTTTTAAATTACTCTGGCAAGTTTCTCCTTGTGTTCAAGGGAACAAAAAGCAAACAAATGGATGTAGCCTTGGCCTCCAACACAGAATGCAAAAAGTCTTCTTCTTCTTCTTTACAATAAGCTTTCAGGAAGTTAATTATCTGTCCCCACCCAGCCAACCTCCTATTTGTTCTGTCTATCTTTTCTTACTCTCCTCACTATCCCTTCATGTATATTTAAAAGAGTCATCAGAGAGGACATAACCCTTGCTTGCAAATGCTTCCTTTTCCAAGCACGAGTGGCAATTCATAGACTACAGACCATAGGCAGTGGTAACCGGCCCCCTTAACCTCCAATTCAGAAGGTTTTTCCGTTTTTTGATTGTTATGGAGTTTAAGAAGTGAATTAGTGATTTGACCTCTTTAAAAAAAATATCCCCCCCCAAAAAAAATCAGGCCATTTTTTTCCCTAGGGAGGGGGGCAAAATAGATGCCTGAAGTTTCCTATAAAGTTTGAAGTACTCATTTCAACCCGTTAACACAATTCCCTGAAGAAAAGACTCTTATAACCCTACTATTCACAAAATAAATAAATAACTTAAGCACCTCCCCCGGGTGCAAGAAAGTTACCTATCCCTGAACTTACAGGTTTAGCAGCCCCTGCTAACCTGTATTTCCCAAGGAGCTAAAACCAGGGTGTTCCGTTACCTGTAAGGATGATGTTTGGGATGTTCCCGTGGCTGGTGTAACTGAGCTGCTGTGGGTCCTGGAGACTCCCGTGGCTCCCGGTCAGCCCCATCATGGCTGCCTGGGAGTAGTTGAGGGTAGAGCAGGGGCTGTACAAGCTATTGGAGCTGATGGCGTTTTCAATCATGTTGAACTGCTCGAGCTGAAGGAAGGAATCCTGGAGATCAGATCAAAGGCCTATTTCTAAGGCCACCAGAGGTAGGATGTGAAGGCCACCATTTCTCCCCTAGTTCTCCTCCCCAACCTCCTTTGAGATAGATTGCATCTACAGACACAAATCCCACTTGGCTCCATCATTTGCCCTCTGCAGGGGTAGGGAACTATGGCCTTTTTATGACTTGTGCTGGCTCAAGGATTCTGGGAGTTGAAGTCCACAAGTCATAAAAGAGCCAGAGTTCCCCCACCTCTGCTCTAGAGCCTTGGCAACTTTTAAGATCTGTGGACTCCAATTCCCAGAATTCCCCAGTTGGAGTAGAAGTCCACCCCACTTTGAAACCAGAGGGCTTTTACATGCAGGGGCTGAGGGAAACCGGCCTCTCCTCCTGATTTTGCTTTTGGTTCTGGAGGAGGCTAAGTGTCAACCAGACACTACGAGTAGCCTAGTTGAATATCTAGCATCTAACCACACAGTCTAGTCCACGGGTGTGAAATTCAAGGCTTGTGGGCCACATCTGGCCCGTGGAGCCACCTTGGAAACAGTGAAGGACCGGCCCGTGATGCCTCTGTCAGCGAAAACAGGCTCCCGAGCTGTGTTTTTGGCTGGTACAGCCTCTTGCAATTCTGGGGCTCTTTTTATATTTGGAAGTTGTCATTAAAATCTGTGCTGTTCGAACTTTTTTTTACACACTCTAGAATTCCTGACCAAGAGGCAAATTTCTAGTGATAGAAAACTGACTGCTCCAAGTTAACTTTTCCCCCCCTCCTTAGTCTCCTCCAGAACCCCACCAAGTTTTTGTAGAAACCTGGGATTCCCCCAAACACAGCTTGAAAAACCTGGTCTAAGCCAGTCTATGGTGGCAATGCAAAACAGTGTTATTGCTAGGAATTAGTGAGATATTTTGATTTCTCCTTCATATTAAGAAAAAACTAAAAATTTAGTTCATTCTGAGCCAGCCTGTTTATTTTTCACTCTAGCTTGCTGAACAAAGAAGATTCCGGAGGTTGGGGGGGGGGGAATCTTCTCATAACTAAAAAGTGTTTCCCACTGTGAAAGTCTCAGATTTTCGATTCCCATCCCAGAATCATGTGCCACCCAAACAAGGTAAGGTCTTACAGTCTCCTGAACATAGCAGGGCGATGAATTCATAATGCCAAATTTTGATAAAAATTGTGGGGTGGTTTTTATTAGGGGGGACATACATGGAACCTAGAATTAGAGTCTATAAAGATTCTTGGTCATCCAGGTCATGGTTGTCCCAAAGGTGCTTTTTTCAAAAGGCAACTGGACTTTGTTTTTCCTTGAAGACGTTTTGCTTCTCATCCAAAAAGCTTCTTCAGTTCTGAAAAAAACACCTTTGGGACAATTTAACATTAGAGAAATTGGCTGCCCTTGGGCTATCTCTATTGTTGTTATGAAAGAGCTCCTGACATCCTATAAGAGATTTGGGTATCATCTTGTTTGGTATGGATGCTTTTTATTTTATACTTTTTTATGTTATACTTTTTACTCTGCTTCAGCTAATAATGCTTAAAATCCCTTCATTTACTGGAATGTTCATTGTCTTCGGATAAAAAAGAACCAACTGGACACTGATCACTGCCCTGACACTTGGCAAAACATAGCCAAAGTCTTAACGTATCCACTTTGCTACATACTTTATCACAGCTTTAATGGATCTTATTCCAAAGCAAGCATCATAGCCCAAAAGTCTAGCAGGCATCCTTACTTTCTGCATCTTCCCACCAGAGGGCAGCAATGCCTCACAGCTGGACACAAGAGACCTTGAATTATTGCCCTAATTTTTATTCCATTAAATTCTTCTATCCTATTTATTTCTCAGCATTGGCTGACCTTATCTGGATTTGTAAATTAAGAAGGATCAGACCTCACTAGTACTTGGATGAAAAACCACCAGTGGTTTTCAAAGCTGTAGGCTCTGGATTAGGAAATTGGGGGGGAAAATCGCACAAGGCAAAAACAATCTATATCCACATTGTTGCCACAAAAATTGCATAGATGGATCTGTGTAATCCCAGGAATTAAGGTCAATTTTTAATCTTATTTATCTTTTTGCATTTATACTTTGCTTATTCACTCTTGTGATGCACAAAGAATGGAAGTCAAAAGAAACAGAAAAATGCAAAAGTTTTTAACCACGAGATTTGCATTTCAAAGGCCTTCAAGATGGAGATAGCAAAATGAATGTGTTTTAGGCAGTGATATATGCTATATTCCAAATTTAATTTAATTTAATTCAAAGGATAATTGTTGGTATCTTCTATTGTTCAGCTGCAGCAAGACACCAATAACCTCAGAACTGTAAAAATCTAAAAAAAGGTCGACTTAAGAAACACGGGGCCATTCATTTTAATTTAGGAGATAGGTGACTCTCTGAAATAGTTTATGTGACGTTTATCTTCCAAAATTGCCAATGGATTCACTTAATCACACTCCCCAATTAAAATAGATTTACTCAAAAAGTGTGCTTGAGAAATGTGGAGCGGTAAAGAATCTCTTCTCCTTAGAGAAGAGTATGGTATGAATGAGTTTTAATGTTTTAATGTTTTAAATTTTTAAATGTTTTTTATTAGGATTTTAAATGTATTTTGAGCCGCCCTGAGTCTTCGGAGAGGGGCGGCATATAAATTGAATTAAATTGAAATTGAAAATTGAGAAGTCAACTTCCCCATTATATTGCAGAATTCACAATAAGCAACTCTTATGAATGGTTGCTAGGGACAAGGTGGCTCAGTGGCTAAGATGCTGAGCTTGTCTATCGAAAGGTCGGCAGTTCAGCAGTTCGAATCCCTAGTGCCGCATAACAGAGTGAGCTCCCGTTACTTGTCCCAGCTTCTGCCAACCTAGCAGTTTGAAAGCACGTAAAAAATGCAAGTAGAAAAATAGGGACCACCTTTGGTGGGAAGGTAACAGCGTTCCGTGCGCCTTTGGCGTTGAGTCATGCCGGCCACATGACCACGGAGACGTCTTCGGACAACACTGGCTCTTCAGCTTTGAAACGGAGATGAGCACCGCCCCCTAGAGTCGGGAACGACTAGCACACATGTGCGAGGGGAACCTTTACCTATGAATGGTCACTAAATGAATGGTTGTAAATTGAGGACTACCTGTAAGTAAATGAAGTACATTTCCCACTCACCTGATGGGATAAAGCATTTGCTTGCCTGGCAGTCATCTGCTGATCGTAACAAGAGTCACCAAAGACACTCCCTAGGATAGACGTTTGCTGCAAGAAGAAAAACAAGAATTAATGTAAAGTCATCTCTTTTCCACCCCAAAATGGTGCTTCCAGGTTTTACCATTACATTTTGTTGATTCTAGGATTGATTTGCTCAAATTCTATTGATAAGAAGTTACTGACAAGGCAGGGTTCTCAGAGTGATTAACAGAAACAGAACTCTTATAAAAGGGAGGGATAATTTGGAGTGGGAGAAAAAAAAGAATTGGGAAATAGAGAAAACATTTGCAGCCCTATCCATCCTAGATAAGGACTGCAGAAGAAAAATGTAGATTGGGGAAAGAAGAACAAGATTCAGACACATTTCTGCACATAGATTTTAAACACTTGGGAGTGGGACAGAGAAAGGTAACCTTCTTACATTACAAAAGTAGCGTAGAAGAATGTAAATTTTAATCCCATTGGTGGAGGTGAAGATCTTTTGTTTCTGAATAGGCTGGCACAATCTTTCTTAATGGGCACAAAATATCTGCTGGGGGCTATTAGGGGACAATTAAATGTTGATGAATATATCATATATTGCCCTCCAGAAATTGTTGACTTACATCAATCAAACTTTCAGCCACCTTGGACAATTCCTGGCCTTTCCTTTCTGGTAATGGAGCTTCAGTTTCAGAGGGTTCTATAGGAAATGTATCATCTGAAACAGGATGGGCATTTCTGGTCCCTTTATGACTTGTGGACTTCAACTCCCAGAATTCCTGAGCCAGCCCACCCCCACAATGCCCTCCCAGGCCAAACACAACCCTGATGCAGCCCACAATGAAATCGAGTTTGACACCCCTGATCTATTGGACAAAATTACAGGTCGTCCTCAACTTTCGACCACAACTGAGCCTCAAATTTCCGCTTCAAAGAAGACAGTTAGGTGAATTTTGCCCCATTTTACACCTTTCTTGCCACAGTTGTTAAGTGACTCCCTGTAGTTAAGTTACTAACACAGCTGTTAAGTGTATCTGGCTTCCTCATTGACTTTGCGTGTCAGAAGGTCACAAAAGGGGATCACGTGACCCCAGGACACTGAAACCGTCATAAATACCGGTTGCCAAGCGACCGAATTTTAATCATGTGACCAAGGGGATGTTTGCAACGGTCGTAAATATGAAAAACAGTAGTCTTTTTCCCATGTTTTTATTTTGATTTATGTTCAATGTTATGAGATTGGCTGTATTGTTTTAACTGCAGCTGTCTTTGTACGCTGCCCGGAGTCACGTTCTGTGAGGTAGGTGGAGATACAAATAATGCTAAATAAACAGATACATAAATGGAATCATTTTGTGAGGGCCACATCATTCCTTAGTCTAGATTCTAATCTTCAGAATTCCCATCTGTCCCGTTGGTCGATGCCCACACATTTGGAAAGCATCCAGGTTGGGGGGGGGGAGAGGGCCATATGCTGTATAATAATGAAAAAACTGCAGGTAGAATAAAGATTCTGAAACAGTATTAGATGCATGCATTGCAAGCTTCTGCAACAGAAAGATCTCCTCCTCCTTTTCTGCTTCGATGAGTGAGTCTTTTCGCCCTGCAAGTACCTTTTGTTCCATTAGAAAAACAGGAAACATGGAGTGGGGGTGTGTGTGTGAGAAAAAGTCCATTCCTTGCTTCGTTAATAAATCCTGCAAGTCTGTATCTCCAATGTTCAATACCAGGTATATTTTAAAGGAATGGGTTTGGAATAGTATCAAGGAATTTATACTTAAGCCCTAATCATATACACCAGGGGTGTCTAACTCAAAGCCCAGGGGCCGGATCCATCCCGTGAGGTGCTTAGATCTGGCCTGCGAAGCTGCCCTGGAAACAACGAAGGACCGGCCCGCGTGGCCTCTGCCAGTGAGCTCAGGAGGACTACCCGCAGCCCTCTCTACCTCCATTTTCCCTGGCAGAGGGTTGCAGGAGGCCGTTGCAGTCGGAAACGGAGCTCAGGAGCCTGTTTTCGCTGGCAGAGCGCTTGGGCCGTCACAGACGCCCCCGACACAAGTGATATTGAGCTGGCCACGCCTGCCCTGACCACGCCCACGCCTACTCCACACACACCCCCGAGGTCAAACGCAACCCTGATGCGGCCCTCAATGAAATCAAGTTTGACACTCCTGATATACACTGATGCCTTTTATTGTCATGTTAGAAATAAGCCTGAAAAATCTGCAGAGCTCTGGAGCTCATGTTAGAGATGGAGGGCAGGGTTGCTCCATCCCTTGGTGTCTCTGAGCCATGTGGCTATGTCCCTGAAGCAGGAGCCATTTTCAAAATGGCTGCAATGAATTCTGGCTTCTCCAAGGCCTAGGAACACGGAGGCCTGCCTTTTTTCCCTAACATGAGCTCTGGAATGGCGGAGATCCTCAAAAGGTAAGTGCACGACCCAGTGGTGGGTTTCAAAATGTTTTACTACTGGTTCTGTGGGTGTGGCTTGGTAGGCGTGGCAGGGGAAGGATACTGCAAAATCTCCATTTCCTCCCCACTCCTGGGGGAAGGATACTGCAAAATCCCCATTTCCTCCCCACTCCTGGGGGAAGGATATTGTAAAATCTCCATTCCCTCCTCACTCCAGGGGAAGGATACTGCAAAATCCCCATTTCCTCCCGATCAGCTGGGACTCGGGAGGCAGAGAATAAATGGGGGCGGGGCCAGTCAGAGGTGGTATTTACCCGTTCTCCGAACTACTCAAAATTTCTGCTACCGGTTCTCCAGAACTGGTCAGAACCTGCTGAAACCCACCTCTGGCACGATCCATGATGGAGGGTGGGGAGGAGGCTGTGGGACCCAATGAGGGGGCAAAGCAGGCCCAAGGTCTGTAGGGACCCAACCAGGTGCAATTGGGGGGGGGGAGAGATGGGGGGGCACTGCACATCCCTGTGCTTGATTGTAAGGGCAACTGCTGCGGTGGTTCTGCAGCAGCCATAACTTTGAAACTGGGTTGTAAGTAATTTTGGCAGGGGTTCGTTGTAAGTTGAGGACTACCAGTATTTGAGAGGCTGCCACAAAGAAGAGGGGGTCAATTCATTTTCCAAAGCACCAGAGGGCAGGAGAAGAAACAATGGGTGGAAACTAATCAAGGAGAGAGGCAACCTGGAACTGAGGAGAAACTTCCTAACAGTGAGGACAATTAACCAGTGGAACAGAAGTTGTGGGTGCTTCATCACTGGACATTTTTTTTTTTTAATTTGATTTATATGCCGCCCTTCTCCGGAGACTCAGGGCGGCTTACAATGCGCTAAGCAATAGCCTTCATTCTTTTGTATATTTATACAAAGTCATCTTATTGCCCCCACAAACTGGGTTCTCAATTTACCTACCTTAGAAAGGATGGAAGGCTGAGTCAACCTTGAGCCTGGCGAGATTCGAACCTGCAGTAATTGCAGGCAGCTGGTCTTAATAACAGGGTGCTTTAGACCACTGTACTACCAAGGCTTTTTAAAGTAAAGACTGGACAGCCACTTGTCTGAAATGGTATAGGTTCTTCTGCATGAACCGGGGGCTGGACTAGAAGACCTCCAAGGTCCCTTCCAGCTCTATTCTGATTCTGTAGCCTAAAAGAAAGCAAAGTGCTGTCTCAAAAGCATGGCTGTCGCTACTGTACATCAGACAACCTCAGCCAGTTTACACCACTGCAATATTTAAAAGATCCAAATGTTAAAGGTAAAAATTGCTAGAGTTGCAATTCTCCCTGCCTGCATTGCCTAGCCAGGCACCCAGAGAAGTACCTGATGATGTGCCCTCTGGAGCCAAATGCAGACCCTGCCAGGAGAGACTGGCAGTTCTACAGTGAGGCTGCCACTTCTTAATTACATTATGGCATGCTGAATTCTGGAGCTCATGAAAGAATGCATTTGTTTGTTTTTCGATGCCAATACAGGTAATCCTCCACTTACAACTGTTCTTTTAGCAACTGTTTGATGTTACAACAGCATTGGAAAAAGTGACTTACAACCACCATTTCTCACATTTAAAACCATTGCGGCATCCTCACGGACACGTGATCAACCTGTGTGTGTTTAGGATGGTTGCACTACCCGGGGTCATGTGACTGCCTATTTGTGACCTCTCCGGCCGGCTTCTGACAACCAAAGTTAATAGGGGAGGCTACAGCGATGTGCTTAACAACAATGGCCAAAAAAAAAAAAAGGTCATTAAAAGAGCACTTAATACGTGCCTTACTTAGCAACAGAAATTCTGGCCCCAATTACGATTGTAAGTTGAGGACGATCTGTTTATTTGCTCTTCCGGTTGACAAAAATCTGATAAGCCTTCAATATTCCAAGTCACAGACACTGGAAACAGCACCCCCAACGCTGGATATAGTTTCAGAACAGCTACAGGTAGTCCTTGACTTACAACAGTTTGTTCAGTGACCGTTCAAAGTTACAACGGCACTGGAAAAAAACTGACTCGTGACACCATTTTTCACACACACACACAACCGCTGCAACATCCCCGTGATCATGTGATCAAAATTCAGACGCTCGGCAACTTGGTTCATCCTTATGACCGTTGCAGCATCCAGGGATCTCGTGGCCCCCTTTTGCATGGAAAGGTTGCTTGTTCAGCGAAAGGGAAGTGCAGAGTTTTGAATCCAAATCTAGAAATGCATCAGAGCAGCTATAGCAGTGTTTCTCAACCTTGGTAGCTTGAAGATGGGTGGACTTCAGCTCCCAGAATTCCCCAGCCAGCAGCGCTGGCTGGGGGATTCTGGGAGTTGAAGTCCACCCATCTTCAAGCTTCCAAGGTTGAGAAACACTGAGCTGTAGGAATGCACCTTATGGCTCTCAGCATCTTCTTAAAGAAGCTGCACCTTTATGTGGGCCTGTTGCACAATCTCAGGAATATACAAATTGAGCTAACAGCACACTGGAAATCATTCACGAAGATTCCTAGATTACTATCCTTCTTATGAAAAAACAAGAAACACCACCTAGCTACTCCACTGTGTTGGGAAATAGAATGTTTTTAGAATCTGCTAGATTATAATTTCACCAGCTAAGGTCCTGCTCTTCTCCCAGCTACTGGAAAACATTCCGTTTTTTATGACTGAGCAATGATGCAAAACCATGTTATAAATGCTTTCAACCGGCTCAGTAGATCAGCAAGAATAGATGTAGAATTTATATAAATTTCCCCCCACGGAATCATAAATGCAGTTTTAATAACTACCGGCAGCAAAAGCTGCTCCAAAGATATTAAAACCGGGAAGTTTTTCACTGGTTCAGCACTTCAGGATCCAAGATGAGTCCCTTTGCTGCCTTTGCAAAGCGCGTCGGGCAAATTGGAGAAGGCTTTGCTCGGTCAACAGTTTTCCTCTTCCCCATTTAATACAAACTGGCTGAACAAACTGCTGTAAGAAAACCAAGAGGTGCACGACAGCACCACTGCTTTGTCAGGGAAAGAGGAGGAAACTGACTTTGAATGCAGCTCAGTCCTTCATCCGAGCCTAGGACCACAAGGCCTATGCAACTTTAAAGGGTCTCTATGCCTTGACACCACTAGCATTGTGCAAGGCAGGCAGAGTCCTTCAAGAGTCTCTCTCCTCCCTCTCTCTCGCCACACACACACACACACACACACACACACACACACACACAGGTAGTCGAGTCCTTGACTTAAATCCACAATTGAGCCCCAAATTTATTCAGTGGTGGTATAACTTTGAACGGTCACTAAATGAACTGATGCGTGTGTGTATAGGGAGAGAGGGAGGGGAGAGGGAAAGAGGGAGGGAGGGAGGGGGGAGAGAGAGAGAGAGAGAGAGAGAGAGAGAGAGAGAGAGAGAGAGAGTCTGTGTGTGTATGTAGTTGACTGGGCCATTATTTCTTTTTAACTGTGCCACACAAACTGTCAAGGGTATCGATATAATCCCAAGTGGGCAAAAAAGAAAATCACAGAGCTGGAAGGGATTAATTAGGTTATTGAGTCCAACCCTCTGAATAATATAGACAATAAAAAGCAGCCCCTGTGTCTCTTGTGTAATTTGTCCCATTATTAAACTGTTCTTATTATGTGGATTTTTTTTCTGTAACATTCAGTTGTTGTGGGGGAAAATAGGAGGAGGGACGGGTACTAAATAGGTTCGCCCTCGAATTGTTTATAAAGATAGATAGATAGATAGATAGATAGATAGATAGATAGATAGATAGATAGATAGATAGATAGATGATAGATAGATGTAGGTCTTTGGTTATTCGGGTTTTCTCCCGCGTAAAATTGGAAGTGTCTTGGCGACGTTTCGACGAAGTCTCATTCGTCATCTTCAGGCTGGTGTTTTCAGCTTCGTGCCACGAAGCCGAAAACACCAGCCTGAAGATGACGAATGAGACTTCGTCGAAACGTCGCCAAGACACTTCCAATTTTACGCGGGAGAAAACCCGAAAAACCAAAGACCTACATAAAAACACCCGCGAAAACCTCAGAAAACACACACACACACACACACACACACACACACACACACACACACACACACACATATATATATATTGAAGGAGGGATAATAAATAAAGAAGAACCTTCCTTCTTGAACTTAAATTTATTATTCTGAGTCTTCCATTCTGCAATGAGAACATTCTGTGTGGCATTTAATTTAAACCTGAATTTCTAATTACCCAATCGTTCTAATTACTCTTCTCTGAACTGGGTCAGAACAGAATGAGAAGAATGATTCCTTCCAACGATTTGGAAATTATGCTTCCATGGAACATTTGCCTTATTTGCAGCCCCGTCCTATCGTTGGCTCGTATTCAGCTTGTGACCCTCTATTATTCCAAAACAATTCCCATAAATACTATAGGTAGTCTTCAACTGTGAACCATTATTTAAAGTGAGTATTCAAAGTTAAAACGGCACTGAAAAATGTGACTAAGAAACAGTCCTCACATTTGCAAACTGACGGAGTATCCCTACAATCACATGATTAAAATTGGGTTGCTTGGTGTCTGGCATGTATTTACAATGGATGCAATGTCCTGGGGTCCTGTGATCATTATTTACAACCTTAACAACCACCTTGCTTAACAACAGAGATTCTGGTCTCGATCGTGGTTGCAAGTCAAGGACTACCTACAGTATATTCTCATCCCATACCCATGCGTTTTTCTAAGTTAAGAATCTTGTACTTTTCTTAAATATTTTACCTTTGGTCAATTTCTTTTTTTCAATCAAAAGTCCATCACAACTGATGTTTCTAACAGGATCAATCAAGAAGCCCATAAACCAGGAATCTGGTTTATCCCCACAATCTGATGTCCAGTATGCCCTGTTTTATTGTAGCTTTCATTATAGCTTTCAATAAATTTCTATTGTTCCAGGTATTTACATGCTCCCTGGTATATTCAAAAGTAGTCCACCTCTAAATATGGGGACTTATCCCCATTACTGTCCTAATAGCTATTGGTATTTGAACTTACATTTGATCAAGGTTGGCTGATTGAAGATGTGTGAACTTCAACTCCCAGAATTCCCTAACCAGCATGGCTGGTTGGGGAATTCTGGGAGTTGAAATCCACACATCTTCAAGCTGTCTGTGTTGAGAAACAGTGCTCTAATTTCTTCTATGAACATATTCTTTTTTTAAAAAGCTATCTAAATTAAAGTTGGTGCTGTACTTTGTGGTTCACAAAAGAAACAAATATTCATCACATAAAAGTACTAGAGAAAATAGACAAAATTCAACAAGGAGACTTGGCTTATACAGTGGCACAATTCTGCTACATGTTTGTTCTGTAAATATTTTAAAGATTCAAAAAGCACAAAAAATCACACCGATCCATACTTTCCCATATATCCCCCCCCCTTCAATATGCATCTGTCAATGTATTTCGTAGACCGCCCAGAGTTCACCAGAGTTGGGCAGTCCACCCCCCCAAAAAAATTGAAATAAATAAAATGCATTAAAAACATACTTTAATTCTGCACGTGCGATACATTTCGGCCTGCTTTTTGAGCCAAGAATAGCATCGTAACTTGTTAGAGAAGGGCAACATTCGAAAGATAATTAACACGAGGAGGCAGACATTAGTATGGGAAGAACAGGTCAGGTTCAGGTGGCATCAGATTTTAGCAAGAAGGAATTTCCCAAAGTCCTTTAACGCAACCCACCCAACTTGATGGAGCGTTATTTTTGAAACCATTTTGAAAAGCTGGATGAGAAAACAAAACAAAAAAAAAGTTAAGAAGAGGGAAGAAAATATATGAGAAGCATGGAACCCAAAGGCCTTAGAAGCATACAGTCCCTTACTTGAGGGGAGCTGCCAGGAGAGAAAGCTTGATTGGAGACAGGAGAAGTGGGAGACTGGTTGGCTGGGGAGCCAGCATTGCTGCGGTACTGCTGGAGTGAGCCCTACAGAAGGACACAGTGTTAGAGACTGTGGGGAGCAGGGGGAGAGGGAGAGAAAACACAGGTTTCTTTCATGTACAGGTGGGGGAAAGGGGGGGGGGAAGGGAGGAAAATGAGAAGAGAACAGAAGGCAAGAATAGTCCTGGATGAATTCAGCAGCACACAGTACGGTTCAACAATGCTCGGAGAAGTCATGAACCTAAAAAAGGGGCTTCTTCTCTCAAAGGTGCTTTTTTCAAAAGGCAGCTGAATTGGTTTTTTTCCTTGAGGAAGGAGAAGACGTTCCACTTCTCATCCTAGAAGCGTTTGCAATGCAGTCTTTTCAGCAGTTCTGAGAAGGTTTTCCCTATTTGCACTCTGATACAGGTCACCCTGAGGGCACCGAAAAAAGCCCCAAGAGCTCTCAGGGAGAGTGCTAACAACCAGATGACTGCAAAGAAATGTGAACCTTCCATCCCCACCCCCACCCCCCAAATCCTGTCAGACCTAATCCTTCCATTGCCTCCACCATTCTTCCAGAACCGATGAGGCTTCTTGGATGGGGAGCAAAAAGTCGTCGTCTTCTTCCTCAAGAAAAAACAGCCCAATTGCCTTTTGAAAAAGCACCTTTGAGACAACAATGACCTGGATGACTGAGAATCTCCACAGACTGAAAAGGGATTCTGTTACAACCCAGGATGATTCCGGTTGCCTGTTTTGAGTTGTTTCTCCCAGCTTTGGGGGGGGATTGAGTAACCACAATACTCTGAAACCTCAACTTGGAGGTGGGGGGGGGAACCCTCTACTTCAACTTTCGTGTTCCTTTCCTACCTGTGCAGCCCATAAGGTGGAAAACATCAACTTGCACAAAATCTTTTTCAGAGGTGCCTGTGGAAAAGGTTATAGAACTTGCATGCGTTCTCATGCTTCTGTGTGAATTTGCAAAGATTTATTAGGTGGAGAAGGTGCCACCTAATAAAAGAGAAGGCGCCTCCTCCTTCTCCAAAGGGTGGGACCAAAAACACTTCAATTCTACATAGGGGTATTAAAATTTATCCGAAGGACGGCTTGCTATTTAGCTTGGTGACAGATTCGGCTTTAACACCAGGAAGCAAGCCTACTGCAAAGATAGGCTGCTTGGAAAACTCACACAGACACACACACACACACACACACACACACACACACACACACACACACACAGGACAGCCAGTGCCACAGAAATACAGTCTTTCTTTTTTTTTAAAAAAAAGCCACCAGGCATACCTAATGCTAGAACATGGAAGGCAGAGAAATAGAGAGACAGCATTTTGTCACACAGCCCTGAAATCACTGGTACCTTGCCTAGTGGTTGTGTCTAAACATCATGAAAAGCCATTGCTTACTGCAGGGGCAATTTATTCTGAGTGAAAGCCACACTCTAAGTCAGGGATGTCCGGCCTTGACAACTTTTAAAACTTGTGGACTTCAGCTGCCTGGAATTCCCCAGCCAACTATGACTTTTGATCTTAATGATTTTGCAGGTTAGGACACAATTAAGCTGAACAGGTGTGGTTAATGTGAGGCATGTTTTTCCTGGGAAAACACAATTGTACCATAAACCATGGCTTGAAGGCTCATTTCAAACCATTCAATGTGGTTCGAGGATTAGCTGTTAAGCCACAATTAACCTAAAATGAAAATTTCCAAACTCCTTGCAACATACAGAAGTGGGGGCGGGGGGGGAGTCTGCAGAAAATGGGGAAGAGGGATGCAATCATCCATCCCAGTTAAAAGATGGTTACCTATATGTGACAGATTAAAAGAAAGCTACAATCTGCTTGGAGTTAATAGGCACTGAAGGTTCTAACTAGCTAGATCAATGTATATCAAACTTGGACACTTGAAGATGCTTGGACTTCAACCCCCAGAATTCCTCAGCCAGCACACTGGTTGGGGAATTCTGGAAGTTGAAGTCCACGCATCTTCAAGTGGCTAAGATTGAGAAATACTGGACTTAGATGACTCAAACCCAAGATAAATTTTCGTTATGGCTGGGCACTGATCTCACCTGGCTCTAAGGCTCTCTGAATCCAGCCTGGGGGACTGGCTGCGAGCAAAAGGAGAGGCATGGAAAGGATTATGGTTGGGGGGACTCATGGCTTGAGCTTTTTAGGGGAACTGCCATGACCAGCCACAAGTTAGGGGATGGATACGTTTTCAGGCACCTGGCATGAAAAATGAATGAAAAAACATAGCCGTAATCTTGTGAAGTTGTGTCCATTTATAAATTAGACCTCTATGAAGCCCAGCTGGAGGAGTTGTAGGTGAGATTGCAGGTGAGGTGTTGTTTTCTATTTTCCTCCGGGAAGCATTAAAAAAAGGGAAAAATGTCAAATCACTCCGTAGTTGTTGGACTGGCGTGAAGGAGCAGACCTCCCTCACAGATGGCAGCACCTGGTTGACCTCCTTGGGCAGGAGACCAAGTTTTAGATCGTAGTGATCTTGATTGATTACATGCATTTAAGATGTTGTCAACTCTTAGCAACCACACAGATACGATTTTCTCCAGGATGATCTACCTCTAACCTGACCCTTTGGCATTTCCCACATTGCACTCACTGCCGTTGTAACTGAGTCTACACAATGGATGACTGAAAAAAATATTCTGGAAGATGGCCCAGACAAACCATTTCTATGTTGTTGCCAAGAACAACTTAATATGGAGATATCTGCGTGGTCATCAAGAGTCTATCTCAACTTGTGGGGAGGTATTGATTTCCCTCCAGGTGGAAACTATCTCAAAATTATTCAAAAACTCAGTCTCTACCCAAGGCTTTTGAGAACCGCATTTATCTCTGATAAGCTTTGTAATCCAGTCCCTTCACAGAAGTCCCTATGGTACTTGGAGGACTACGTTTTCCAGAGGCTATGAGAGAGGACTGGCAACAGACCACATATTTCTGTGCAGTTTTCAATTGCAGTCTCAACGTATTCCAAACCGTACATTTTTCAGGAAGCAGAAAAGCTCTGACCAAGCCACTTCTTGTTTCCTATGCTTTTGTCTGAGATGTCTAGGAAGCTGGAGGTCCCAACTCCTCTTCCCAATCAAACTTACCGAATTGATGTCTATCCCCATGGAAGTCTGGGTTTGGCTGCCCGGAGGAGACTGTGGGATTGTGGAAGGGATAGAGACCGAGAGCGGGGGGAGCTGAACGCCTCGCTGCAAGCCGGAGGTCTGCATCAGAGAAGCGTTGGGTGGTAAAGCGCTCGCCACTTGGGTCTGTGGCTGCTGCTGCTGCGCGCTTGTCTGGGTGAAGAACGGGTAGGGGGGAAGCTGCTGTTCCATGGAGAGAGCGTCCAACGCCACAGCCTGAAGGAGAAAAGGACAGAAAAGGACATCAGTGCAGTGGAATCAGATTTCTTGGGATGAAGGCTTCAGAAGGAAACACTCAACTCTATTATGATAAACTTGTGGGGGAGACAGGAATGTTCCTGTTTTAACAACCTGGCTTTTTAGCATTTCCTAGGCTCTATGGACGTATTTATGGAATAAGTGTGCACCAGCGGTGGGATTTTACCAGTTAGGATCAATTTGGGAGAACCGGTAGTTCCGACAATCAGCTGGGAGCAAACCGGTTTACTCCGACGATCAGCTGGGCCCACCCGCCGGCCCCTGCGCTTTAGTTACCTTTATCTTCGCAGCTGATTAGCGCGGCAGAGCAGATTGCCGCGCCTCAGCTGTTTTAATTCCCTAGCACTAATGCGGAAGGTGATTTTTTGTTGAACCGCTAAGCGCGTGATCACCGAACTGGTTGTTAAACCGGAAGGATCCCACCACTGGTGTGCACGCAATTCAACAATTCAATTTAAAAGAATTTAAAATGTTTTTAAAAACATTTTACTTTCTTGTCATTCACATTTCATTTTGTCCCACCTTTTGCATCCTTTCTTTAATGATCCTATTCTACCATAACTTCGATATTAGTGGAACTCTTGTCCTGCAGCGAATTGTCCCACACTGAGTTGGCTGTGACAAGTTGTCCCGCAGCAAGTTGACCATAGTGAGTTGGCTGCGGTGAATTGGCCATGCTGAGTTGCCCTACACCCACACACAACACTGTGCAATGGTTTATTTAACCATAGTTTATTAAAGGGGTTTATTAAGTGCTCCCGGAGGTTGGTTGTTTTCTTGCAGGTGTTTCATTACCCAACTAGGGAACATCATCACTATGCTGATGTTACTTTGTTGGGTAATGAAACATCAAGAGCCTGTAGTACAGTGGACTAAAGCATTGTGATTAACACCAGCTGCCTGCAATTACTGCAAGTTCGAATCTCACCAGGCTCAAGGTTGACTCAGCCTTCCATCCTTTCTAAGGTGGGTAAAATGAGGACCCAGTTTGTGGGGGCAATAAACTGACTTTGTATAAATATACAAAAGTATGAAGGCTATTGCTTAATGCATTGTAAGCCGCCCTGAGTCTCCGGAGAAGGGCGGCATATAAATTAAAGCAAAAAAAAAAAAAAAAAAAAAAAAAACCTCTGAGAGCACTAAGGACCCCACAGTTCAACCTTGAGCTATAAATATTCTCTTCTATCAATAGTTTACTAACTATGGATTAACTACAATTTGCTTGGCTAACACAATTTGAGCTGTAAACCATGACTTGCAGGCCAATCCTGGGATTCACAGAGCATGCTAAGCTCTAAGTATGACTAACAAATTTATTATTTGATTTGCTTGCTACACATTTTGACTCAATCACTGTAGCTGAGTTCAGTTGATGAGTCAATGCATTGGGCACATTGATTTCTAATTAAATAATTAATTTCTTACTGCCTGCAAATAGAATTTCTCATTCCACACACCCCACCCCTCCACCCCCCAAGGTACATTTAAAATGAGTCAGTGCAAAGATAACCAGAGGCTGACATTTTGGAAGGCAACTCTTATGATGGTTGATGAAATCCAAAATCTGGATTTTGCCCATCGTGGTTTGGCATTCCACCTGGATATGGCGAAATAACCTCAATCAAAGCACCAACATGGAATTATAACTGGCTTATCCTTCCCAAAACCACCAAATCTACAATTGAAGGGAAAATTGAAGCAACATTATTATCAGAGTTGCTATACTGGTAAAAGCTCCCAGTTTGGAGCGTTCATTACGGATTGGGTCTAGGATGTTATTATGCAACAGCTTTCAAGGCCCCCTTGGAGAATTCCCTCTTGTACCTGAGTAATCGGTGAAAGGGGTGAAAGCGTAGGAGACACTTGCTGGGATTGGCTTCTCCTTGAATCTGTGTTCAGTGAGAGGGGACTGACGGTTGGCTGCCGGTGTTGCTGGGAAGAAGCTGACGTTGTTGTCATTCCTGTCCCCGACAGAGAAAATTAGCAGGAGCAATAAGATTAAGAGGGATTTTCCAGATGGATTTTCAAAACTACAGGTAGTCCTTGACTTACAATAATTCATTTAATGACCATTCAAAGTTACAACAGCGCTAAATAAGTGACTTATGATTGTTTTTCATGCTTATGACCACTGCAGCACCCCCCCCCCCAGTCCAGGGATGTCAAACTGGATTTCTTCAAGGGGTGGATCAGTGTTGTAGTTCTTTGCGGGCCGGCAGGGGAGGGGGGGAACAGGACAGATGCCTCCTGTAGCACCCTGCTGGCCAAACAGGGTATGGGGGGGCACGTGCAGCGGGGGCTGTGCGCCCCGTTTTGGCTGTCAGGCACAACGGGCCGGTCCTTTGCTAACTTTGGCTGAATCAGGCCTGCAAGCCTTGAATTTGACACCCCTGCCCTAGTTGCAGTGTCCTGGGATCATGTGATCATCTTTAGCGACCTTCTGACCAGGTTAAAGTTAATGGGGAAGCCAGATTCACTTAACAACAGGGTTACAGATTTAACAACTGCAGTGAGTCACTTAACAACGATGGGAAGAAAGTTCAGAAATGGAGCAAAATTCACTTAACAAATGTCTCGCTTAGCGACAGAAATTTTGGGCTCAATTGTTGTTGAAAGTCAAGGGCTACCTCTGTTCTTATGTGGCTGAGTCAGAATACCATTAATATTTCTATCACAACTTTTCTCCAGGAGCTCACAAAACAAGTTGAAAAACAGCTTCTGAAAATGTCATCGGGATTGGATCGAATGTTTCAAAGGAAGGAGGACCTGAGTTTTGTTCCTCCTCCCATCTCTAGAGTCGCTTGATTAGTGAGATGAGCAGCATATACATTTAATAAATTAATAAAATCTCTCTGCTAAATCACTCTTCCCCAAACTGGTATTCTCCAGAGCTGCTGTGCATTAAAATATCAATGATTATCAGGCAGCAGCATCTTCTTTTAATCCCTTTTGGGGTGGAGTCAGGGCAACTGAATGGAGCTGAGTATTTACTGGCCGGATGCCCTTCCTGTCACCAATGCGGAGTTATATTCAGCAGGTATATTCTCATCGTGCCCAGAGAGAGAAATATCTGCCTCTACCTAGGATCGAACCTACAGCTTCCTGATTTGTGAGGTGAGAGCTCCACCACTAGGCCACCACACCACTTATTATTATCAGGCAGCATGCTGAATAAGAAATCAGTCAAACAAATCTGGAGGGTTTCAGGCTGGGAATGGCTGTAGTATTTAATATTAGGTATGTTCATGCCTTGAGTTATTTATAAAAATAAATAAATAAAAATAAATTTATAAAAATAAAAAAGATGAGATTAAAAAAATCTAAAGGAGGTCGTTCTGAATTTACGATCACAATTGGGACCAGAATTTCTGTTGCTATGCAAAGTGGTTGTTAAGTGAGTTGTGCCCGATTTTACAACCTTTTGGCCACCGTTGTTAAGCGAATCACTTCAGTTAAGTGAATCACACGATTGTTAAGCAAATCCGGCTCTCTCCCAACCCCCATCCCCTTGACTGTGCTTGTCAAACACCAGCTGGGAAAGTTGCAAATGATGATTGCCTGATCCCAGGATTCTGCAGCTGGTGTAAATACATGCGCCATGTGCCCAAATTTTGGTCACGGAGCTGTGAGATTGCTGCAATGGTTGTAAGTATGAGGACCAGTCGTAAGTCACTTTTTTCCCCAGTGCTGTCATTACTAAGAAAACAGTCCCCGAGCAGAAATAAATAGCGAGCAGTTCGAAGTCGATGGTTAGGAGAGTATACAGGAACCAAAATAAAAATAAAATAAAATAAACCAAGGAAAGGGAATGCCAGAGGAGTAGCAAAAGGCTGGAAAGGCTGGAAGACACGTCTAATCAGCATAGATCGAGTCGAAACACTGGGCCATATGGGTGGAGTTTCTGATTGGCAAGACTCGATCAATGCTGCATAGAGGAAGTCCTTCCCCAGTCTGACTGCCTTCCCTTCCTTCGGAGAACAGTCCCGCCTGACTGAAAATAAATATCCTGGACAAGACTGCAAGAAGCTGTCGTGCTAGGAGGCATTTGTACACGCATGCAAAGGCCTTACCCTGATTGGCTGTGCTGATCCCCATGTGCGTCAGATTGGCAGTGAGGTTCCCGGTGCTGTTGGAACTGCTCAAGGAGGGAAAAGTGGACTCTTCTGGGTCGAGCGGTGTTGGGAGAGGAGAAGGGAAGTGGATATTTGTCAGGTCTGGCAGTGAGCCCCCTGTGTTGTGAGCCGCAGGGATAAGGGCAGTAGTGTTTTCTTGGTCAGCTGACGGAAATATGCTGCGTTTATGACAAAGACAGAGAAGAGGAGACTTTGTTAAATGGAGGCCAAGGCTGCCTGATTTATTGGAATTCACAGAAGTAAACAGGATGATTGTCTATGGAGATTCTGAGTTATCCAGGTCATGCTTGTCCCAAAGGTGCTTCCCCCCCCCCCGCAAGCGGCGAGTGGACTTCCTTGTTTTTCTTTGAAGACGTTTCACTTCTCATCCAAGAAGCTTCTTCAGCTCTGACTGGATGGTGGGGAATGGAAGGATTTATACTCCTTGTAAACAGCTGGTCCTTTGTACTCTTTTAGCAAGTGGTTAAAAAATAAACCTCCAGGTGGCCTCAAATGACTCGCTAAAATAATGCAAATGACCAGTTGTCTGCAAGGAGCATAAATCCTTCCATTCCTCACCATCCAGTCAGAGCTGAAGAAGCTTCTTGGATGAGAAGTGAAATGTTTTCAAAGAAAAACAGCAATAGCACTTAGACTTATATACCGCTTCACAGTATTTTACAGCCCTCTCTAAGTGGTTTGCCGAGTCAGCCTGTTGCCCCCAACAATCTGGGTCCTCATTTTACCAACCTTGGAAGGATGGAAGGCTGAGTCAACCTTGAGACTGGTTAGATTTGAACTGCCAAATTGCAGGCAGCCAGCAGTCAGCAGAAGTAGCCTGCAGTACTGCACTCTAACCACTGCGCCACCACAGCTCTTATAAACAAGAAAGTCTAGTTGCCTCTTGGGGGAAAAAAGCACTTTTGGGATAAACAGGGTGATAATTCCTGCCTGGAATCTGGATCATGACAATTTAATCTACCGCATCCTCCTGTCTTGCAAAAAGTAAGGCTTTTCTTCAAGACAGCACTTATAAACAACCACCATCTAAACAGAAGTTAGCTATCCAATACAATGGAGTGTAAAAAGATAGGTAATTAAAAATAATTTTCTAGAAAATGATAATCACTTTTAAAGATTTTTCAAAGAACCTATTCAAGCTAAGCGCCTATTACAGAAATTGGAGGGTTTCTACAAACAAGATGTGTCCTGAGTACAATTTAAAACCCAGAACATATTTATCCCATAAGAAGTCTTTTAAGTTATGGAGAGTTTTTTTAGCCAAAACTCCTATCAATTAAAATGTCCTGTGTTTCTATTCAGCTGAACTTCTGGGCCACAATCACTTATTTCAGGTTTGAAATAAAGCAAAATTCCTATTTTATGCACACCCCTAATGTCAAATCTTATCTCTATCACAATAAGCCATAATGGTTGACTTGAATTATAGAGAACTGTATTAAGTGTGAACTGTTTGATGCAACAACAACCCTCAACTATATTTAATAGGGAGCATGGCTTGCAGTAACATCAAAAACTGTGGTTTGTTAATTCATGCATTGCAGAAAACGTGCTAAGCCAAATATCAAGAGGCATGATCTTGCTTTGCTATTCTTGATACTCCTTATTGGACAGCAACTACTAAAATTATTGCAAGCCATTACTTTGGACTTCTCAGTTATTCCTCTCTAATAAAAACACATACACACAAAAGGACAGAGATTTGTTTTCACAAAATGATGGTGCTGGTTTCATATTTACCCAGAAACCAAATATATACCCTTCCCCTTAAACATACTTGATTCCTGGAACTTCACAAGATTTAGGCCTTGAGGATCCTGTCTGAAAGAGAACAGAGAAGAGTAGGTCAGCATGAGATACTCAGCTGCAAAAACAAACAAACAAACAAACAAACAAACAAACAAACAAACAAACAAACGTCATTATATCAAAGGTTGCTACCTGAAGCACCTGGATCAACCCAGACACCTGTACTACACCTGTACTTGTTTACTGAGGGGAAAAATGTCTCTCCTGAACTGGGAGATTCTCCTAGTCCATCTTCCCCAACTAACAGCCAACTCTTTCATGCAGTCAGGCGCAAGAAACCAGGACAACACCGTCAGCTGATCAGAGAAGTTTCTTTATTGCTGCTTCCCTATTTACAAGAATCTCGCCAGACTGACTTCACTCTCTTGAGAAAAACCATATATGCACTCCAAGGATTTAGAAGAGTAGGATAGGGTCTCTATCACTTCCTTCCCTGCAGAAATTCCAAGCTAACCAGTCCCTTAACTCCACCCCTCCTCCAGCTGACAATTCTACTGCACATGCCTCCCCATGAATGGAGAGAGAGGTGGATGATAAAAATAATATTTTTTGGGAGCTGGGCTGTGAAAGAGGGGGATTTCTATGTTGCCCCCTCTCCCTGGAGAAAAAAAGAGTGACAGAAAGTCAAATTGTTGGAATATGCTATAATCAAGTAACACAAAATTCAATTTCTGGCTGCTTGAAAATTAGAATTAAAAAGCGTTCACAGTATTTCAGCCCTGGTTTATACACCAAACATACCATTCACTTTAAAGTCTGAAATAGCCCCTTTCACTTTTATGTATGTGCTGCACTCTAAGAAGAAAGCTTTACTATCTCTGACAGTTCAATGGCGTCAGTAGCTCATATATCCCACAAAAATTAGTGCCAGTACCTTCTTAGTATCCCATCCTTGTTTTGAAAGATTTTTCTCTGTCTCTGATGCATCCTCCTCCATGCCTGGAACCGTCAGTAATAAGACTACAGTGTGAGAAAAAATATATGTGCTCTGAAAATCCCTGGGAAAGAGGAGAAGTGGGTAGAGAGGATCCTTCGTAGGGCTATCCCATCTCCTTTGTTCCCAATGAGCTTTCTAACTTTATAGTTCTTGTGCATGCTAAAAGTGGAGGCAAGCTGAGTCCCCCACATCACCTCCCAGTTTCTGATCCCCAGATATTGAAGGGAGGGGACAAAAGAGATTCCCCCCATCATTCAAACAAAAGAAGCAGCTTCAACACAGTTGAGGGCTCTGCTTTTATTAGGAAACATTGTCCTCGCTATCAAGCAAATGTTAAGCAGAAATCCCTTTAGAAAGACAGTGAGGACAGAACTGGGAGAAGGCTTGTGTGCGTGTCTACAGCCCCGTCCATTCTTCAAAACTCATGTGAACCAAGTGGACAGCTGTGCAGAGCTACAGTGGGAAGGGAAGATTGCTTGAACTGAAGACTTCAATTCACTCTTATCAGGAGCTGTTACTCAGGTAGAGTTACATTCAGCAGAAGGCATTTTTCAAAGCTTCTTAAGGAAAGATCACACACAGCTGAACAGAACACACACCCATCCAATCAGAGCACAGCCAACCCCCCATCCAATCAGAGCACAGCCAAACCTCCAACCAATCAAAACACACCTCCAACCAATCAGAACACAGCCAAGTTCCCACCCAATCAGTTCACACCCCCACTGGCAGTTAAAAGGAAGAAACAGCTGCGATCACACACATTGCTCCTAGAAGCACGAAGCCGAAGACACCAGCCTGAAGATGACGAATGAGACTTCGTCGAAACATTGCCAAGAAACCTCCAATTTTACGTGGGAGAAAACCCGAATAACCAAAGACATATATATATATATATATATATATATATATAAAAAGATGTCCAGGAGGGCTGCTACTTGTCAGCAAGAAACAAATAGTAGGCCAAATCCAACTTCAATACTAACTTGGTGTGAAGTTCAGATATGATGGACATTAGGTTATCTATGTCATTATATGGACCTTGAGAATAGCTGAAAGTTCAGAGATGCTGATCCTCTCAGCATATATCCCCGAAAACCAGAGAAGTATGGGAAGCTGCCTTGGGTTTGGTCACGTTACTAGTAGTCCATCTAACTCAGTTTATTTATTTGATTTATTTGGAGATGCAAGAATTTGGAGGGTGGGAGAGGAATGCAACTATTATTTGTCATGATTCATTATATGGTACATTATCTACGTTTTGTACGAACATAAGCATTAACATACTTTCCAGTGTTTTCAACAAGTCCATTTCTATCTCGATTCTTCCTCTTCGGCATCAAATACACAAACAGCCAAAATAACTTCAGCTTCTGGATAACATTTTTCTAATGTGAAATTTCATAATCTTTGCTGCATCTCTTCAATTCCTTCCTCCCCTTCCCCGGCCCCGCCCCGCCTCTAGCGAAGTTTACAGGCAATTTTGCAGCTTTATTTTTTTTCACAACTCCTGGATTGTGCTTGCTTTACTTTTTTTTAGTCACCTCTTTTTTGCTGCATATCCTGTGACCCAGCTGAGAAAGGCTCTGTCTGAGTGGGGGTCATTGTGCTCTGGTGCAGGGCAGAATCAGAATTGGTCCTAGTGACAAAGGGGAAGAAACCGTTAAAATACTAGCCGAGTATATAAAGCATTTGCAATGTATACGTTTTTAAACCAAAGGCAAACATTTAGCTCCCAAGCTGCTAAGCGTTCCTCATATTCCTATAATATTCTCTGCTTTGGATAGAGTTTATGGCCATGGTTCTTCATGAACTGATATCCAAGCATAATGCAAGTAATGCGAATGGCGAACTATTAGAATACCTAAAAGGGCCGTTTTCAACTTTGTGAGCACAGCAAGCCATTCAAACTGACTGCAGAGGTCGATTCCAAACTCATAGGAGCTGAAGGAAAGTGGGTGTTAAAAAAGAACAGGATCTTGCCATATCATGTGTGTGTGTGTGTGTGTGTGTGTGTGTGTGTGTGTGTGTGTGGTCTGTGTGTGTACATATAGGTGTATATATATGTATTATATCCACACACACGTATGTGTGCCTATAATACATACACACATACATACACACACATGTGTGTGTGTGCATATTGAGATTCTGCATCAGAATTTTATTTTTTAAGCTGAGCTATTGTGTTCACCGAAAAAAGTGACAATAAAGGTTATGTTATTTCTATTGTGAAAGTCCCTATTTTATGCATATATGTCAGCGATACTAAGTGAATTTATGTGAGTGTCTTTTATAACTTGATTGCAACCCTCTTTCTTACAAAATCTGACTCTTTCTTGCAACATTCAAAATGTGGCTCCTTACTTTTACAATTATATGTACACTGAGATCAGAGTTCGTGTGTTCTGCCCCAGCTCCAGATTTCCGAGGTCCTTATCAAATTTATTAAGTAGCAAGAATAAACAAGACCTGCAAAGGTTGGCAACCAGCCCAGAAAACAAGATATGATAAACCAAAATACTCTGATCATAAATACGAGTTGTTTCCATCAAGAAAGCACTAGCTGCGTGCGACTTAAATAGGCTAAGGGAGTGGCCAATTATCCTCAAGCCCTATTCTCGAGTAGACCTCCTCCTCCTGAGCAGCCACTCCTGCCTTTTGGCAGCCCTGTGTGCTCAAGCATTGAGGAGAGGCTCCTCCACTTCGCTCTCTCCACTTGAAGGAACCTCTGGAGGTTCTGAAGGCCCTGGCTGAGTCTCTGCCTCTGGCACCACATCCTCTTCAGCCTCTTCGCTGTCCGACATGAGCGCTGGCTGCGCAGGCTGCTGGCGCGACACCACACCAGCCTCCTCTTCGTCGGGATCAGCCATGATCCGCACAGGCCGCTGGCGGGCCACAACAACGTGAAAGACCACAGTCACACATATAAAGCTGCCCTTCTACTGATATCACTCTCGAAGTTATTTCTGAAGTTCCATTCCTTGCCTTCTAGAAAAAAGGCAGACTGCAACTTGGAAGCTGTTTCTGTTTTTTGTCTGTCTTAGAAATGTTTAAGGACTGTCTTTAAATGTGTGAAGGATTGTGATGAAAAAGGTAGAGCAATCTCCATTGCTTCAGCGGGTGGAATTAGGTGGGGCACCTTACTGGGAAGAAAGTTAAAGAAGCATCTTAAGCCAGGAAAATGTTTAAAAATCAGGGATGTGCTATTGAAGGCGGAGGGTTTTCCTGATGGAAATATTTCCACAGAGGCTATTTTGAAGACACGGAAAATGAATCCTGAACTGCAGAATTTGCTTGGAGTACTGGACTGAATTAGATGTCCACCATGATCATTCAACCTGTGGTCAACATGTGGCCACTACTATATAAACAGAGAATAAACCCCATTCCCTTCTAGCACTGAAGATGTTACCTAGTTAAATAAAGAAACTTCTGCAAGAAAACAACCAAACTCAGTGAGCACCAAGGACCCCACTGGGGTCAACCTGTCCTACCTTTGGAATGCTTTGGAATGTTTTCCCCAAATTATATATTAGGGAAACAGAATGTTCAGAGAGTGATTAATTTCCTAGGCTTTTAAAATTATTTCATTCTGCTGCTGTGGTTTTTAATTTGTTTTGTTAATGTTGTTTTGACTATGTGAAGTATTTATACTAATTGTTAGCTTGCCTGAGAGCAGAAGTAGTGAGGAGAAAGATACCAATTGTCATGAATATGCAGTTAAGTTTAGAATAGTAGATTGAACCATTTCAGATACACTTTAGGAAAGACTGCCCACATTCCAATCCCAGATTTAATTATGGTGGTTACTCAACTGTGGTAGTAAACCATTACTAGCCCTAACCTGGGTTCTTTTTTAATGCCATGCCTCATTTAAATTTAAATGGTAAATTGGTAAATGTAATCAAATAAGATATGGTCCAGGATTCACAGTCCACTAGCCTTTAACATTTTTACTATAAGGAGCATATAGTTAAACCCACGGACACATACCTAATCAGTTAAGCTAATAATTATAATTGTTTTGTCAAATAATCTTTTTTATCCGAATTACATGTCTGCCCATCTCAATGAGTGACTTTGGTTGGCTGCACAAATTGGATAGGTAAATAAATATTTCTTGGATGATATGATATATACCGTAATATATTCTTTACTGGGTAAAAAATATGCTTTTAGAGATCGCTGTGTAAACTGAAAAGTTAGACATTTATATTTCAAAATTATCGTATACATACCTTCTCCAGTTTGTATCTGAAGGAGGAGACAGGTAGACAGTACCATATGGACAGCTGTCCACGTAAATCAGACAGTCAAGGGAGAAATGTTTTTTAGATGTTTCTTTCTCTCAAGAAATCTTTTTTTTAAAAAAAAACCCCACACTTTTTGCCCTATTAGTTCTCTTCTTTTGGAAACAAATAATGACTCGCTGTTAGTGTGATGCCATTATTTTACCAGGACTGTTGTGTTCTCTTAGTGATCCCAACCAGCCAGGATCACATAAAATAATGATCTATAACCAAACAGAGGTAGTCAGGTGACAACGCTGCAGAATCAGCTAGAGCAATGCCACTTGACTCTATTTATATAAGAGGTGAAATCCAATTTTTTTTTTACCACTGGTTCTGTGGGTGTGGCTTGGTGGGTGTGGTCTGGCTTGGTGGGCGTGGCTTGGTGGGCATGGCAGGGGAGGGATACTGCAAAATCTCCATTCCCACCCCACTCTGGGGCCAGCCAGAGGTGGCATTTGCCAGTTCTCCAAACTACTCAAAATTTCCGCTACCGGTTCTCCGAACTGCTCAAAATTTCTGCTACCGGTTCTCCAGAACCTGTCAGAACCTGCTGGATTTCACCCCCGATTTATATGTCCATTAAAAGCATAAAAAACTGGTTAAAGAACAAAGTGCCTTGAAATTCAGGCTTATTTAGCCTAGGAATTGTTTTGAACTAACAGAAATCTGTACTTCGTCCTCCCCAGCTTCATTTAATCACCCTATTTTAAAGAGGAGAGGAAAAAGCGTTTTGTCATCGCTATTGTTCAACCCTTGCTCATCTAATAAAAACCATCTACAGATCTAAGAATATTCCTGCTTACCCCATCCTACTCATGCCATTTTATCAAATCAAAGGATATCTGTCTGCCATGCTTATCCACAGAGAGAGGGCGCCGATGTGGTGAGCCAAGGCGATTCCTGTCACGATATACCCTGTCTACCAGCCCATGGTGTCGAGTTGTCCTACTGGTGTCCAACCCAGATGGCTGAAAGGGAGTCTAAAGCAAAGACAGAGAAACAGCTTAAAACACAACCTACTGGATGTCCCACCATAGGATCAGGCTGCTGGAGGGAGATAACTCATGTGACTGTCTCACCTCTGGGGAAATTGGTATTGTACAAAGAGTGTGAAACCTCTATTTTCTCAAAAGATTTAATATACAGACACACATACAGGTAGTCCATGATTTACAACAGTTCATTTGTTTTTTTGTTTTTTTATTTTGATTTATATGCCACCCTTCTCCGGAGAGTCAGGGCGGCTTACAATGCGTTAAGCAATTATAATTATTGACCGTTTGAAGTTATAATGACACTGAAAAAAAATATTTATGACCATTTTTCATACTTATGACCGTTGTAGCATCCCCATGGTCATGTGATCAAAATTCAGACACTTGGCAACCCACTCATGTTTATGATAGTCGCAGTGTCCTGGGCTCATATGATCACATCTTGCGACTTTCTGACAAGCAAAGTCAATGGAAAGCCAGATTCACTTAATGGTGTTACTAACTTGACAACTGTAGTGATTCACTTGACATCTGTGGCAAGAAAGATGATAAAATGGGGCAAAGCTCACTTAACAACTGTCTCATTTAGCAACTGATATTTTGGGTTCATTGTGGTTGTAAGTCAAGGACTGCCTGTAATTTATAGGGATACATTTAACTTTTGGTACAGGACACAGAACTGAATCTTTAGAAGGCCAGATCCTGAAGATGAAACTCAAATACTTTGGCCACCTAATGAGAAGGAAGGACTCCCTGGAGAAGAGCCTAATGCTGGGAAAGAGGCAAAAGAAGAAGGGGACGGCAGAGAACGAGGTGGCTGGATGGAGTCACTGAAGCAGTCGGCGTGAGCTTAAATGGACTCCAGAGGATGGTAGAGGACAGGAAGGCCTGGAGGAACGTTGTCCATGGGGTCACAATGGGTCAGACATGACTTCGCAACTAACAACAACAACAACAACAACAGGACGCAGACACTTTCTAATGTTTCTAATGTTCTTGTCATACTTCTGAGAAGAGCTGGTATAAAATTCACCTGGAAGGACATGTCCATCGCACTGCTGCCAATCTGATTGACGTTTGGCAAGGATCCTCCATAGTACTGGCCACGGCTCTGCCCCAACTGCAAATACTGGGTTTTCTGTAGCTGTAACTAGAAAACACAAGATGCAGAGATTAAGCAAGAGAAAAGGAGTGTTCTCATGCTAATTACAGGGGTTCCCAAACTTGGAAACTTTAAGACTTGTGGACTTCAACTCCCAAAATTCCTGACCAAGCATGGATGGTTCAGGAATTTTTTTTTTTTTTGAAAAAAGTGTTTTATTTTATTTCTTATAAATATATTGTAAATGTACATTCTCTTATCCATAATTAATCACACACACACACACACACACACACACACACACACACACACACATATATATATTTGTTTGTTTTCTCAGGTTTTCACGGGTGTTTGTATGTAGGTCTTTGGTTATTCGGGTCTTCTCCCACGTAAAATTGGAAGTGTCTTGGCGACGTTTCGACGAAGTCTCATTCGTCATCTTCAGGCTGGTGTTCTCGGCTTCGTGCTTCCAGGAGCAATATATATATATATTCTAAAGATTTTTTAAAAAATATATATATATTCGGGATTGCTCTTCTACCCTTTCTTCTCTCTTATTTTACAACAATCCTTCTTCTCCTTCTTCTTCTCTCTTTCCCTTCCCTGCCTTCTTCTATCCTTTTCTTTCTTTTTTCCTCCTCTCCTTCCCCTTCCTTTCCCCCCTTCTCCCTTCTTTCCCTCCTTTCTAACCTTTTTTCCTCTCCCTTTCTTCCACTCCTTTTCCCTTTCTTCTGTTCCTCTCTCTCCTTCTCCCCTCCTATCTTACTCTCTACTCCTCTCTCCATTCTCTCTCCTTTGTTGTCCAATATTTCCCTTATTGGTATCCGAGCAGCCCCGATTTTCTATTAATATATACTTTCTTTTCAATTTCTTTTCTATTTTACCAATTACACATATATCATCATGGTTGTACATTTATGTAAGTGATCCACCCCGGATCACCCCAACGATGCCCTTGAAGTGATGTCCCAGTGCCTGGAGGCCGTACGGATCTGGATGGGGAGAAACGGGCTCAGGCTCAACGCATCCAAGACCGAGTGGCTGTGGTTTCCGACGTCCCGATATAGTCAGCTGGCGCCATCGCTGGCTATTGGGGGCGAATCATTGGCCCCCACGGAAAGGGCTCGTAACTTGGGCATCCTCCTGGATTCACGGCTGTCTTTAGAAGAGCACTTGACGGCCGTAACCGGGAGGATTTTTCATCAGGTTCGCCTGATTCGCCAGTTACGTCCCTTTCTAGATCGGGACTCGTTACGCACAGTCACTCATGCTCTCGTCACCTCTCGTCTGGACTATTGTAATGCTCTCTACATGGGGCTCCCCTTGAGGTGCACCCGGAGGCTCCAACTGGCGCAGAGTGCGGCCGCGCGGGTGGTTATGGGAGCAACATGGAGCTCCCATGTAACACCTCTCCTGCGCGAGCTGCACTGGCTCCCGGTGGTCTTCCAGGTGCGCTTCAAGGTTCTGGTTACCACCTTTAAAGCGCTCCATGGCTTAGGACCTGGTTATCTACGGGACCGCCTACTACCACCAACAGCCTCCCACCGACCAGTATGCTCCCACAGAGAAGGGCTCCTCCAGGTGCCGTCGGCCAAACAATGTCGGCTGTCGGCCCCTAGGGGGAGAGCCTTCTCTGTGGGGGCACCGACGATCTGGAATGAGCTCCCCCCAGAGATACGGAGGATCCCGGATCTGCGCACCTTCCGCCGCGAGTTGAAGACGCTTTTATTTCATCAAGCGGGCCTCGCCTAAATCTTCTCCCTTTTAAGTGTAAATTTTAAATTTTTAATGTATTTTAAAATTATGGGTATTTTAAATTATGGGTATTAATTCAGCCAAATTTATTTAATTCATTTTATTCGATTTTAAATTTTGTATATCTATATGTTTTATTTCATGGCTGTACACCGCCCTGAGTCCTTCGGGAGTAGGGCGGTATAGAAATTCAATAAATAATAATAATAATAATAATGTAGTAACATTTTTCTTCCCATCCCCCTTTTCCATTTACACAAGTGTCATCTGAATTTCTATTTCTTTTTGTCTTCTCTCTCATGGTTCAGGAATTCTGAGAGTTGAAGTCCACAGATCGTAAAGTTGCCCTAGTTGCTCACCCCGCTCAAAAGGCATATTGTCAAGAAAGTATTGTCACTCTACAGATCCTAGGAGAGTCATATTCACACCTCTAGAACCTCATGGGAGAAGAACACATCTTTTTTTAAGGTTTCTTTTTAATTTTAATCCTAGAAAACATGCCCATAGTCCATCATATCTCAGAAGCCTTGAAGGGAAAAAAACTCCCCTCCTTAACAGCACCTAGCTGGTAATAAGCAAAAAGCTGCCTCTAGATGCTGGCTCCTTGCAGTAGTCACAATTATGGTTGCTAAGCTTCTCCTGTTTTATACACAAAAACTCTTTATCTCACTCTTACTATGCAACTCTTCCTGCCGAAACAATGTGTGTGTGTGTTTTTTAAAAAAAAGATGTTTAGGATTATGATATTGAAAACTGTCTTTCAAAAATTCAATTTTTTCTCAAAATTCAATGTGAATTTAAAGATCCCAAAGATCTACTGCAATGCCTCTCAAAAGCCAAAAGAAATAGGTTTTTAATGAATCTTTAGAACAGTAAGAGTAGGAGGAAGATGGAAAAACAATGTTCCTTTGATTTCAAATAATTCCACTACTTTCTTTTCTTCCTTTTATCTCTCTCTCTCTCTTTCTCTCTTATGATGCCTGAATTATTTCTTAAGCCATTAACAATCTATCATACTAAAATGGATTTCAGGCTAATTGCTATCTCCATTATCTCGAAACATTACAGATTTTCACTCATTATTTTCACAGTAATAGCATTCAGGTAATCCTCAACTTACAAACAGTTCGTTTAGAGACCATTAGAAGTCACAGCGTCACTGAAAAAAAGTGACTTATGTCCGCTTTTCACACTTACAACCATTGCAGCATCCCCATGGTCACATGATCAAAATTCAAACACGTGGCAACCAATTCATATTTATGACATTTGCACTGTCTGAGGATCATGTGATCAACCTTCTGACAAGCAAACAGGAAAGACAGATTCACTTAACAACCATGTAACTAACTTTACAACTAGAGTGATTCACTTAACAATTGTATCAAGAAAGATCATAAAATGGGGCAAAATTCACTTAAATGCCTCACTTAGCAACATAAATTTTGGACTCAACTGTGGTTGTAAGTTGAGGACTACCTGTATTTGTCAGCACCCTGATAACGATCAAGAGTTTGTATAAACCATAAAGGACCGCCTTCCTGAAACCTTTTAACAACTATTTTATTATCACAATTCTTGGTTATACAACTGACATTGTTTTCTTTCACACACATACAGTCCCACCAGAGAACCAAGTACCTGAAAAATTTCACTGATAAACAGACAGAACCTAGCCTGTGCTCTTATTTATTTATTTTTTTTAATTTGATTTATATGCTGCCCTTCTCCGGAGACTCAGGGCGGCTTACAATGCGTTAAGCAATAGCCTTCATTCTTTTGTATATTTATACAAAGTCATCTTATTGCCCCTACAACTGGGTCCTCAATTTACCTACCTTAGAAAGGATGGGAGGCTGAGTCAACCTTGAGCCTTGGCGAGATTCGAACCTGCAGTAATTGCAGGCAGCTGGTCTTAATAACCAGCTTAATAACAGGGTGCTTAGACCACTGTACTACCAAGGCTCTTCCTTTATTTTAATAAAGGAAGTATTTTAATAACATGCATATGATCAATAAAATAAAATAAAAACATTTCAATCGATGTGCCTCAACTTTTCATCTCCTAATTTAGTGTAAGGGATGCAGCAAAATCACCTGCATTTTAAAGCAGTCATTTTAATTACCACTTTAACGTACATGAAAATACATAAAACCACCCTTTAAAAAAAGGAGAACACCTGCTTGAAAAACAGCATTTTTCGTCCCATGAACCATCAGACCATCCATGGGGCGCAGGTGATGGCTCAGAGAGAATATAATCCACCCCTTATTCTGCATCTTCCCGGGCAGAAAACAAAATCTTGCAGTTCTACCTAGAGGGGAAAAAAACCTCCATTTCTTTGGTCTTATACAGAAATTTTGAGAATGCAGAATCAAGAGGTCTTTTAACAATCCATTTAACTCCCCGAGAGAGAATGGTGCCCATTATGCTACTGTTATGGCTGCCTAATTAAAGCTTCAATTGGTTTTAGTTGAGATATTTTCTCCTATTGATGTAGGAAAAGAGAATTTCAAGGCCAGAGGCTGGCTTGGAGCTATCCATGGTTCTGGTTTTAGCTTTTGGCTTGCTCTGGATGGAAATCTGTAACTTGACCCAACCTTGACTGCAGAGATTTGGGTGTTTTATTAGGTCTCTCCATACTAAAAGCCAACCTTGCCTGATATTACTTCTATGAGCCTCAGATAACTGCAGTCTTATTTTTTTAAAAAAAACAAAACTTAAAATTCACTCAAGAATGGGATTAGAGGAATCTTTACTCTGATCCATCAAAGTAAATGGAGACTAAAGGAACCTTGCTTGGTTGTTTATTTATTAGCAATCTTTATAATCCACCCAAATCCCAAAAGACTCCGGGCACAACAGCAAATAAACAAAAACAAAATAAAGAGTGATAACAAACATCGCCAGCTATATATCCAATGTAGATTCTATCAATCAGACCCCCTAAGAACTGAAAGAGTTATTTATTTACTCAATTTATAAGCCACCTCAATCACCATAGCAACTTTCAGATAACGGGAAATCATAAATAAATTTGAAACAACGAAGTGTTACAATAGTCACAATAAAAGTATTAAGAGCCTGCGTCAATGAAACAACACAATGATCGCACAGCCTACCAACAGAGCCTTAACAGCCTTCCTGCACCAGAATAAGTCCAGAATATCATCACCTACGGATCAGGGGTTGAGATATACAACTGGATATCGTCTGCACCAGGGTGGATTTGATTTAAATCAAGCTGATTTAAATCATAATTTAAATCATGATTTAAATCACTAGTAAA